AAAATGGAGGTTATGCTCTATCCTCTGAGATATTTGAGTTACTTCCCAATTACCTCCAGGATAGGGAGAGGAGGGTCCACATTGTCTAAAGGGGAGTGTTTATCACTAAACTGTTTTCATTGGCTACTGTATTACTTTTGTCACAGTTTTCCACCAGGTCCCCTATGGAAGTGTCCACCTGGTGGAAGACCTGCATAAATACCGGGCAGGTAGCCCACATTAAACCAGATTCCTGCTCTCGTATTTGGGAGGATTATTCATATGGTTTTCCTGTTCGGCTGTTTGGAGTGTGGATTTCGGATGATTGCTTGTTCGACTGATTGGAGTGTTCGGTAGTTGCCTTTGTATTCGGGAAGGGAAGATCTCAAACAGCCTTAACCCCTTCTTTACCCAGGGTGCCGTTACACCCATAAACTGAGCAGACGCTCTTGATAAGGGAGTATGGCTGTCACAACTCACTTGATCCCCCTGTGTGACTCGCTTGTCTTCCCATTAGTTGCAAGCCATTGGGGCACATGTCCTTGTGACTGCGTGTGGTGGGCCACAGCTATATACATTAGTCACATCACGTCACCTGTGCAACCAGTGGCACGAGGATTATGTGCAGTCGAGCTGCAGGACCACCCAATAGGCACTTACGTGGTGGATCCGGACCACAGTTCCCCATAGCAAACCCAAGTCGTCAAGTATATTAAAGAGTCAGAGGGCGGTACTGGGGTTTGACAGATGTGGCGTAGATAAATAAACGCGACCGAGGGGGGCACTATAGCGAGCTATAGTGCCAGGAAAACAACTTTGTTTTCCTGGCACTATATTTCGCTTCAATGTATCTGTAAAAAAATTATGTTTTATAAATGTACCTATATGGATTTATGACACTTAGCACTTTCTTGTGCTAGTTGACCTAATTATTCTTATTCTGAAGTACCTAGTGCGGTGTGAGCTCATCTTATGATACGCTCAAACTGAATGAATTAGGGGACATTAAAGGGACACTGTAGGCATCCAGACCACTTCAGCTCATTGCACCAATTGCATTTAGTGCTGCAATGTAAAACACTGCAGCCCTAAGTCTGCCTTCAGTGGCTGTCTACTAGACAGCCACTGGGGGCGCTTCCTGAATCGAAATGGACCGTTATCTGACACTGGACGTCCTGACTCTCTGAATGAGGACCTCCAGCGTCAGATTTTCCCCATAGGAAAGCATTAAATAATGCTTTCCTATGTGGAGGTCTAATGCACGCGCATGCCATTGTCACTCATGCACATGGTCTCCCCCGCTGGCTGACGTTGTCAGGGGAGGTGCGTGGGCGGAGCCTGGTCTAGCGCCGAAGGACATCGGCACTGGATTCAGGTAAGTGGCTGAAAGGGTTTTAACCCCTTCAGCCCCGCGAGAGCGGGGCATCTTTGAAACCTATAGTGCCAGGAAAAAGGGTTTGTTTTTCTGGCACTCTAGGATCCCTTTAACCACGCATGGCAATAACCCTGAACTTATAATGCACCCACTGAACTGGAAAACTTGTGAGTTATGCTGTACTAATAATAAATACTTATCAATAGTACGTAAAGGGACACTATAGGCAGGTAACACCCATCCACTAAGAATCTTGGCAAAGCAAGGTTTTAACAGGACCTGTTATCAGTGATCTCTGACAGGGATGGTTGCTGTGACGTGAAAAATAAAAACAACAAAAACATCAAAAGTGTGATCACATTTTGTAATGATGTATAGTAGGCCCCCCACATTATGATAGGCAGTAGGTTGAAACCTTTGTTTGTGACAGAGATTGAGCCGAAGCCTTTGATTTCTAGAGGATAATTTACATTTTATTGTATCTTATCTATTCTTTGAACATATCCCACCCTTGTCCTTCCATCAAAAAAGTTTAATTTTTTTAGGGCATGTTTTTGGGGCAGCTATAGTCTTTGTGCCTAGGGCTTTTGAGATCTTCCATTGGAAGAGGTAATCCAATATAGAATACAGAAAACAACTTCAAAGAATGTATACAGCATCCTTAATTGTACCAGAGTGATGTTTATTTATACATACATGATGTTGGGCAGAGATATAATATAGGAACAACTCACCACAAACTAGCTTCCCCTATAAAACTAATATGGACACATGAGACTGAAGGGAAGTCGACATAACAGACTTGAAATAAGTAACAGATTGGCAGTGAGGGACAATTTGCTAGCCACAGAAACAAATGTTATGGGGGATGGTCTTAATGGGTTCTGAATAAACCCCTTGCGTGTATCAGGTAGTCTGACAGAGAAAGCCAAACTATGTGGTATATATGTATGCGTGCAAAGATTGTTTTGATTTTCTTTGTATTAAGTAGAAGCAGTTTTTGTGTAGAATCTGATCACGGATCACTTAATAGTAGCATTTATAGTTAATAGAGTGCCAGTCAGAATAAGAAAAAATAAAAATAAAAAGTTTCCAGTGAATCTAAATACTGAATTGCAAAAATTATTAAAAAATAAGTAATTCTCCAACTCACCTAGAGTCACAGTTTCGCTATTTTAGTCTGAACTTTGCAATTCGGTTTTTAATTAACTAGAATTCAGTGTTTACGGAATAAACACAGTCATTTCTTTCTCCAAGTGAATGGCAGAGCAAAATTCAGCTACGGTGTTCAAGGACATATTTATGCATTTGACTTTAGAAAGAGTAGAGGGCAGGTATTGTTTGCAACCCTCTACTTTAGTATAATTCCCTATAAGAAAGTAACATTATGTTCCATCTGGAATTAGCATTTTATAAACAAATGGGCTAAAGTTATTACAAATGGGAACCCCTGATGGGAGCTACAACAGAGGGTGAATTCTTTTTTGTCTATATTGATCTTAAATTACTGTCTGTTTAAAAACACCCTACTGATTTATTACAAGGAAGATACATAGAAATTAAAAACTGGTGATGAAAGTATTGCAGTAAAAGAAAAAAAAATGTAAAAACAAAATATAACATTTTAATTATCTTTCTCCCCATCAACCCATTTTGTGTGTCTCTTTTCCCCCATTTCCCAGCCCCTCTGTGTGTCTTTTCCCCCAGGCAGGAGTTTGGGACCTACTTTAAATGCAGTCTTTACTGAAATCCAAGAAATTTGAATGCAAAACCATTCTACAATAGCTGACATAATTCTTTAAAGGATCTCTATAGGGTCAGGAAAACAAACATGTATTCCTGACCCTATAGTGTTTAACCCACTATTTGGGTGGCTTGCCTCCCCCTTAGCCCCCCTATAAAAGTTTGAAACTCACCTTATTTCCAGTGTTGCGCGGGTCCGCCGGCACTGGCTCTGTCCCCTTTGTGACATCATCAAAACGGATGATTTCAAGCCAATCCAATGCTTTCCCACAGTAAAAGCATTGGATTGGCTAAAATTGGCACGAGGACGGGGCCAAATGCGGTTTTGGCCAATCAGGATCTCCTCATAGAGAGGCATTGAATCAATGCATGTCCATGCAGAGCGTGGGGATGCTGAATGGCAGGGCTGCTTACTGTGCAGCCCTGAGCCAGGAAGCACATCCAGTAGCCATCTGAGGAGTGGCCACTTGGAGGTGTCCCTAGGGGCAATGTAAACACTGCCTTTTCAATGAAAAGGCAGTGTTTACATGAAAATGCCTGAAGGGAGCTATTATACTCACCAGAACAACTACATTAAGCTGTAGTTGTTCTGGTGACTATAGTGTCCCTTTAACTCAGTTATAGTCACAATTTGGCCATTTTAGCCTGAATCTTGTAATTTATCTCTGTATCTCCTGTAGTGTAGCCAAGCTGTGAGTAGTTCTCATTCCTGTGCAGTCTAAACCCATGTGAGTGGTGTTAGTAAATTGAAACAGAGGAGAGGATTACCACCAGCCTTGTATACAAACTAGAAGCCCTGATAGCTCAGCCAAACTGACCCATGAGATCAGTGGCTACAGGGCATGGATATAGGTTTTCTGCTTGTGTTTCAGATCGTTAAAATCTCCAACCAACAATTTTTGGACTGGGGGGGGGGGGGGTTCATGGACTCTTATATGTTTAACAGCTCTGGAATAGAGAGTCCAAGGGGCAGCTGCTATGGACCCTTTAAAAATATGGCCCCAGTATGGCTCTGAAGACAGCTAGCATTTGACCAAACAGATTGATGTTTATTTAATGAACAGGGAATTGTGGTGAATTGAAAACAGAATTTCAAAAATGTGGCCATAATAACAGAATTGAAAAAAATTTAACATGTTTTCCTGTTTTTTAGATTTAACCTAAGTTTTGCCATTCATTTTCCATCTAAGAACAATTCACTGTCAAGTGAAAAAAACATGCAGGTATATTTAGGAATTGAACAGGCAATTAAAATATTTACACCAAGGGGGGGCGGGGCCTGACAGCCAAGATGGCCGGTCGCACTTAGTGAGAGCTCCAGCACCAGCAGGCACAATTAAGCTTTTTCCGACCAAACTACCATCGACAGCTGCTCACGGTGCCCAGGGTGCGATGCAGGACCGATCGAGAAACGGGAGGATGCCTGTCTTGACTCGGTACGCCACGAGAGTGCTTGGGCCGGCCATGCGGCCTAACCTGTAGCGGGTCCTAGCGTCTGGGGGAGGTGACCGATCCCCCAGCGCGGGACATGCTCACCCACAAGAATTCAGCATAGCCCTGCTACCCCCCCTATGGACCGGTGGGGGATATCACGGTCCTCGCTGGGGACGTTTACCCCCACAACACAGCCTGCAATACAACAGACTCGCAGTACCCCGGGGACTGCCATCAGAGCTGAGTCCAAGCAACCCGAGGAGAGGGCGAAAAAAACGGCTAATAACCACTCTGAACAAGCGGATTACTCAGCTAGGCTAGAAGCGATCTTTGAAGCTTTCTGGCATCAGCTTGAACGGCGCACACAACAAAATGCTGAGAAACAACAAGGCATCTGCTCCTCAAAGCACCCACGAGGAGGTCATAAAATGGCCGCTGCAAACAATTCCCAGCGCCCACAGGACCAACGATGCTGCCCAACCCTGCGCAGGAAACAGCAGTCTCAAGCAACTGCCCGGAGCAACAAACCTCCTTCAGGGGAGGGAGCCCGACAGGACCACAGTCAGTCCCATCGACCACACACCACGAGGGCCTCCAAGAAAACGGAGCTCCAGAAGTCACACGGCCCTACCAAGCATGGAGGAGCAGCACAGGAACACTGGCAGTGATTCCCGCACTAAACGGGACGAGGGGACCTGATCGGTCATTGTACCACCGCAACAACCTCCCAAGACACCTGCTGGGGTATAATCAACAACTGACACCTGCACTGCACAGAGGATGCCACGCGGAGACACCCCCAGCATGGCCTGCAAGAGGGATCGGCTGACTGGCGCTGAGAGCAGCCACTCGCAATGCGTGCAGAGTCCAGAGACAATCAGGACAATTCAAACTAAGATGCAGAGAGCAACCTCCAGTGAGACATGTACCAATGGTTGATTAATATGTACCCAGAATAGATTTGTGTCAATGACTAATTAATAGGTGCCCATAATTAATATGACCCTCTGATGGATATGTGCCAGCAATTAACATGATATCCATACCGGTTTTAGCACGATCCTAGCGTTTGGCGGTGTGATTCCCCGCACCACTATGCAATAGCTATCCTCTCCGCAAAAGCTAGCAACTCCTATATGCCAGACTCACTCTATATTCTCTTATGAATATTAGCTGATGTGAAAGTTCAGGCACTTCTCCCCACTAATAAGCTACCTACAACCCAAGGCTCAGACATGCAAGTACCTTTAATCCCAAGCAAAAGCGATGCAGAAATAAGCACTGCTATGAGACATAGGGGTCACTTCACCTTCACCTTCCCCTATATTTATTTGACTAAGCTTGTTATTATTGGTGGCAATCAGTATCAGTGCCTACGATATGTAATCGCTATAACGAAACTGGTTTTAGTATCACTCATATGCACTGTATAGTTTCCATCATTGTTCTCTTATTTGCAGCAATGTTTTAGCTGGTAAAGGATCATCACTTGTTTCTTTTATTGTTAGCAGGCCAGACCCACAGGCAAATATAAACCAAACGTGTATTTATGACGTATACTTACATGACCCTGCTGCGGCTTTCATTCTTGTTTTACGCTCTTAAAATTGTTTAAAAATGTGCTTTCACCTCAATGCCACATATGTATAAATCTATGTTATTGTTGTGATTATGTCTGCTGTTGTAGCAACAAATATCATCTTGTCAAACCATGCACAACAAAAATAAAAAAATTCAACAAAAAAAATAAAAAAAAATATTTACATCAAAATTACCAAGCAGGAATTAAGGAAATTAATGTTTCCCAGTTGTCTATTTTGTATGATAAAGTCGGTTCTTAGAATGCAAGGAGTAAAACGGAGACAGTTGTGCATTGAATGGACACTTCATGTCTACAAATGCATTATATTTTAAGTACATTTAAAAAATGTGCAGTTACTATTATGTGCACAATTTCATAAACCCTAAACATATACCTTATTTTACTCACTAGCTGCAGATCTGGCCTCAGCAGCCAGTTAATTTGTTGCCCACACTCGCTTCCTAACGCTAATCTGGACTAAAATTCTTATCAGGCTCAGCCAACCACTGAATGAAATTGGTTAAAATGGTATTCCATATAAGATGTTTAGCAAATGGGTACTTCACTATTCCATTACATGAGATGTATTTTCAACTTTCAAGAGCCTTAGCCAGAAGATCACTGAGCATGAAAAGAGTTGTCACCAGCGATGTGCGGATTGTTGCACAATATATCTATGATTGTATTTGCCCTCCCTAACCTGAACTCCCACGAGATACCAAACCACTATTGTAAAAGTTGTCCAGGGCTTATGAAAGTATGCTGTAGACAATGCATATCCTTAACATAGAACTGACTGCCCTCCCTTTCTTCCCTTCTGTACCCTCGTTTAACAAACTACTGAAAATAAAGATTGTCAAAAAAAAAAAAAAAGAGTTGTAGTCCAGCAGGCAGGGCTGACGCAACTCTTAGGAGGCACAGGCGCTGCAGTCCAGGTGACTGGCAGGAGGGGAACCTACATTGTTTCCTTTCCCTTCATGTAGTGTGGTCGTGCGCACCACTGTGGAAGATCTTCTGTATCCTCTAACCAGGGCCGTCTTTAATTTTGATTGGACCCTGGGCAAGCATTTACTTGACTACATATAGATACACTACCTGACACACATGCAGATACACACAAGAACATACACATATACACAGACTACATATAGATACACTGACACACACATAGACACACACACAGATACAAACACTGACATACCTGCGGATACAAAGGTACACACACTGACTACATATAGATACACCGACACACACACACGCAGATACACACAAGAACATACAGATACAAACACTGACACATACACACACACACAAACGGACAACATACAGATCCACATTCTGACAGACGTACTGACACAGACTCACACACAGACAGCCACACTGAAACACACATACACTGACGGACTCACACATGCACAGACATACAGATACACTGACAGACATACTGGCACATATGCACAAAGATAGATGGACGGACATACTGAAACACACATACACACAGACAGACATATTGACAAACACAGACATACAGAACCACACGGACACTGACAGACTCACACATAGACATATTGACACACTGAAAGACATACAGACATTCTGGCACACATACACACAGACAGACATACATACTGAAACACACATACACACAGACACTGACAGCCATAGAGACATTTTGACACTCACAGACAGCCATACTAAAACACACATACACACAGACATAGAGACATTTTGACACTCACAGACAGCCATACTGAAATACACACATACATACTGAACCACACAGACACAGACATACTGGCACACATACACACAGAGAGACATACTGAAACACACATACACACAGACACTGACAGACATACGCACATACAGACATTTTGACACTCACAGACAGCAATACTGAAACACACATATATACTGAACCACACACACACTGAGACTCTCACACACACACAGATACATTGACAGACAGGCATACACACATACATACATACTGACACACACACACGCACTCAGACACTCATGCAAAATGTGATAACCACCCTCCAGTTTCTTACTTTTTCCTGGAGGGTGGCTTCCCTGGGGTCCAGTGGGCTGGCTGGGGAGGTTGGGAGTTAAGCTCTCGCTCTCTCCGGGCCTGGCCCCCTGCGGAACAGCTCATCCTCCCGCGCAGCTCCTGTTTCTGTGGGAGGAAGTGATGCACGACTGTCACTTCCTCCCAGTGCTTCCAAAAAGCGAGGGCCTGGTCGCGCTGTTAAAGCGCCACAGCACCCGACCGGGCCCCTGCTGACAAAGGTCCACTGGGTGTTCCTAAGTGCATGGGCCACCCGATTAGTCCCCATAGTTTGCGGGCAGAGGGCAAACGGGGCAGCTGCCTTGGGCCCCCCAGTAGGGACAGGGCCCGGGGCAGCTGCCCCGTTTGCCCTGCGTTAAAGACGGCCCTGCCTCTAACCAGTCTGACCGGAAGTGCTCATTGAGAGCAATGTCCAGTTTGCTGTCAGACCGGTCACGCTACATGGAGAGAGATCAGCAGGCAAGCAGAGGAACTGGGGAAGAGGACTCAGAGACACTCAGTGGCGCTGGGGAAGGGAACAAAGACACTCAGAGGGACTAGGGAAAAGAACAAATATATACACAAAGTTGATGGGGGAGAATGAGACACACAATAGGGCTTGGGGAGAAAGATACACAAACAAGCTTGCAGGAAGAAGGGGAGAAAAACACACAAAGGGGCTGGGGAAAAGACACACAGAGGGTCTGGGAAAAAGAGGTGCACAAAAGGGGTTGATGGGGAGAAAGAGACACACAAATAGGCTTAGAGAAAGTAAGAGACACAAGGGGGTTGTAAGAGACACACAAAGGGGACAAAAAGGAGGACAAGACACAATAAAAGAAGTAAGACATTTAAAGACACACAGGTGAATATGCTTTAATTTTTGTTTTGTTTTTTGGGGGGCGAGAGGGATTCATCTTCGCCTGTGTAGTCAAAATTCCATCAATCGTGCCAGTGGTAGCAGGCAGTTTATTGTACGAGACACAACAACATTATGGAGCTCTTAGAAAAAAAGGACATTAGGATATAAAAGAGAGACAGAGGGATTTGGGTCCAAAATAGGGTATTTCCCTCCTAAATAAGGACATTTGAGAGGCCTGGTATACCAACACCAGATGCAAAAGTTGCACAAAACTAATAAGTAAGTATTGAAGCTAGCAGATTAGGCATACACACAAAAATAAAGTGTGTGTATCTCAGGAATTAAACAATTTAAAAAGAAAGATTAAAGGGACAGGACCTTTGTGGTTGGTTATGGTATTTAGAGTATCCCCTTTAGTAACCACATACACCAGATGTGGTTCTTACATATATAATTTTGGAGATCATAATAGCTGACCTGGAAATATTCTCCAAGTCATCTATGCTTCCAGTGTCACTACTTTGACCTTAAATTACAAATTTACATTGAATTAACTTTGAATTCTCACTTTAGCTAATAAACCTGTATGTTCTACAATCTGAAATCACGTGGTCTACTTCTGTTGCAGGAAATAGCTCTTTCATGGTTGAAATTGTTGGGTATTCAAAGTGAATTTCAAATTTTAGTTCAAGACAGAATAAAAATCTCAAAGTCAACTATGTTTGCCTCAGGACTATATTTCCCTTAAATGTTAAATTCACTTTGAATTCCCAAATCACAGTTGAATAACCCTGTTGGTTTCTTCTTGATTATTAGGTTTAATTGCTTATGATGAGACATTTGTCAGACACCAGTGGGGAAAAAAACAATTAATTGCTTTTAATAAAAGTGTTGCGCATACACAGAATACTTATTCGGACATTCCTTTGGAAGAAATGCCCTCTTTTCACTTGTTTATCTATATTGAATACCAGCACTTATCTACTGATATGGGAATAAAGGACCCCAAGGTTATTATTGTAAGTCTCTGGCCTGTGGACACAGACGTACAGATCAACATCAAAAAGGCAGGTGCCTCCCTGCGCAGCCTCAGGGTTTACCTTCCAAAAGTAAATAAAGGTGTGCCACTGAGCTGTTAGACAGTGATCAAATAAAGGAACACCTTCATATAAAATCAGAATAAACATAATACAATATGAGAAGCGCTTGTATGAATCAAATTTCAAATACATGTAGGGTTCGTTCCCTAAAAGGGTTTTTGGTCCCTTTAAGAAAATCACATTAATATCCATTTTACACCTTTGCCCTACATTAGCTTTATAGTGTTATTACAGCCACATATTAGCATCCCATTGACTTTTATTCCTATTGTTCTTAAAACACATTGCTTGACTCTGGCAATTGAAGAGTTAATTTACTCTTTATAAGGCGTGGCAACTCGCTCAAAAAATTGGTGAGGCTTATCTTTGACTGAGTCTATGATTAAGTCTTGTTTGAGACAAAATGCATAAGACTTGTAAGTGCCTGTCTGTTAATATGATTACTTTTTTTCTATGCACTAACAAGTTATTTTATTATAACCAGTCCAGCCTGGGTATTTTAGGTGTGTGACTACCAATTATTTTAAGCCTATTTATTCATTAATTGATTCAATTAAAAATGAATGGGGCACAGATTGTAAGAACATTTAATTGTGGTAAATAAGTAACTTCCTTACATATTGCAGTTAAAAAAAAAAAAAATTAAAAAAAAACACAACATGAGTAAGAAACAAAAGTGTGTGTAGAAAGTAACAAACTATTTGAAAGACCACTCTACATACATAAAGCTATTCTGTATTGAGTATGCAATTTTAATTGCACATTATAAAAGTGCCTTATAGGTCAATTAAAAAAAAACACCTCCCTGGCTGTCAAAATAGCCAGGGAGTTTGTCTTCTTCTGCCACTGCTTCCACAAAATCATAGTGAGCCTGTGCATGCCCGCAGAGCTCATTATACCTGAGGTCTCCTCTGGCTCTCCCAGGCTGCCCCCCCCCTGCCATGTGGTGCTTTTGGCTGAGAGTCAGAGTCTTGTCAATGATTGGTCATTTCCCAAGCGAAAAAGGGGAGGGCTTGTAAAGGCTGCAGACATACACACTGCATCATTTGCAAGCTCTTTTTAGAAATACCCACATGACAAAAATGACAATCTAAATGCATGCATATTTTTCATTGGGGGCATATTTGTTTTTAATATGTAGTGTGGTGTGTTCCTTTAATGTGCAGAATAAACCATGAAGCTATGATAAGCACACTTGGAAATAGAATGGTACAAAAGATAAAATATTGTGCAGAGACACATATTGAAATCAAAACTCCTGTTCCTTAGATATAATCCATCAGTTAACTCCCTTATCATCAAAAAGAGACAAGTGAAACCTCCAAGGAGATATAGAACCTCTGACTTGATCACTGACAGGGCTAGAACCAGAATTCGGGAGGGGCACTGCAGGATTTTCTGCTAGATTTTATCTTTAAAAACCAAGCACATGCATTTGCACAAACACAGATAGATACATTTACAACCATGGATACACTGATAAATACCGACATCTACACTCACACATATACGGATTAATATAGGTTTTGTGACCCAGCACATACTTGAAAATTAGAGAAATCTCAATGTATACTTCCTGGTAAAATATTTTTATAAATATATATATATATATATATATATATATATATATACACCCAAACGCATATACCTATGCCCACAGACAGACACCACAGACATATACACCACATAAACATTTACACAGGCATTTGATGGGGAGTGGGGGGTCATCAGCCACTACTGTCAGCCAGACATAAACCCCCTGACTTGAAAAAGGAAGCATTTCCCCCCAAATCTACCACTGATCACGGATGTCCAGGATACGGAAATAGATCTTCAGGAAGTAGATAGATAAATAGCAACTCATCGTGTTTAGACTTTATCAAACTTCCTCTTTAGACAAATATATTATTCAGCAAATGGCCAGTTGTGGTCAGTTGTAAATGGACTAAGAAATTCTTCTCAAGTTATTCACTACAGTGTGAATTGTCAGGAATTCAAAGTGAATTCCATACTTAAAGCCAAAATAGCTAAATTGAAAACATAGCCTGTGTTGAAAAATGTATTAATTAAATCTTTTTTGGCCTACAAATTAAATTCACTTTGAATCCCATCAATTCGCACTATAATCAATAAACATTTCGGGACTGGTACAGGACTATTCCTACATAGAGCAATTATTAAAGAGTAAATGTATTGAAAATGTAATTGCGCCAAACAATAGTTAAACAAGACAAACACTAAAATCTAACAAAACATGATTGACATACTGCTAGGTGAGGAGGGCCCTACCCAAACGAGATTACAAATATAAATGTGATATTGTTTGTTGGAATAACTATGAATATGTATTTCTGAGTGTCTTGATTTATCTGCATTTTCATTTGTGCACATTGTTAAATGGGATATCTGATAACTTGTTCGCAGAATTTGATAACCAGAGGGTCTTTTTTGTCTGTGAAATTTTGTAGATTTTTAAAAATCAGAATACTTGGAAGTTGTGATCATTTAACTTGTACAGTAAATGGTGTGAACGGATCATTAAAGTGTACTTTTGGTACATGCAATATATGCGAATTGTAAAGAGTATGAAATTAAATCTATACATTGTACTAGCAGAATTGCTAGTATATATATATATATATATATATATATATATATAATAAAAAATGTGATAATTGCTCTTTAATGTATGCATTATTTCTTATATTTTGCGTTTTACAAGCTAAAATGTCATTTTTAGGGGTAAAAAGTTTTTCAAAATTAAGTGCTGGTCCATTTTCTTTTCCTAAGAAAAATAAAAAGCACAGCTACTGCTGAATAGTTGTAAAATGCGCAAAATATCTGGCATATTTTTATACAACATATTGATCAATATGTATAGATATGTATCCATGCCAATATATACAGAAAAGGCTCTCCAGTATGACTGAATAGCAGTAGAATTTATATTTTAGTGATACACAGCACACAAGTAGACAGACAAACTTCAGCTGAAAAATAAGCAGAGAAGACCACTTGGTGCATATTTTCTATCAATATACATACTGTAACTTAAGCACTTCAGACTTTTTTTCCTCTTGAATGGCCAACAGTCCCCGCCCAATGCTGAGAAGAAGGTTTTGTTTGGCCGTCTGTGTTGACGTCCCTCCCCTGTGCCCCATTTCCGTGTCAATGGGATACAGAGTGTGTATGTTCGGATCGTGGAATCTTCACTGTGCGTCTTATTAGTATTGATAGGCTGCAGCGTAAGACTGCATGGAGCTGGCCTGACTCAATGTGGAGAGGGTTCTACCCACATCTAATCTGACGATTTATGGACGAGGGGTAAATCATGGATCCCCAAACTGCAGATGGGATTTTACAAGCGTCTCAGTGCATTCATGTGCAGCTGCAAGGGGGAGCACCTTGGGGATTCACCCTAAAAGGAGGACTGGAACATGGAGAACCACTGATTATATCAAAGGTATTCTAGGGGAACCACTGACTTTCTTTAGTACTGTGGGTTTAAATATTTACCCTGTTCTGCTCGTTATACTTTGTTCAGGTTTAATAGATTTTCTTTTTGTTTATAAAAGGACAATAATGTATTCATTTATGGCTTGATTGACCTTGGTGATAATTGTTCCACTTTCTTAGTTGTTTAGCCTGATGTTGAACTGCAACTTTAAGGCTAAAATAGCCAGGCTGTGATAACAGCCGGTTTGGTAGTTTTATTTAATTTAATTTTTTATTATCAATAGTAAAGGTTTTGGCTTTTTTTTTTTTTTTTGTGCAATTCAGATTTTCATTCACTAGTAAATAAACCGCTTTAGAGATTGTGGAAAACAATTAGTGTTATACATGGTAATTGTAAGCCATTTAAATCTTTTTTGTAGGATGGATTTAAAACCATTGTAAATGTCGGTCTAAAATCCAAAAAAAAATTTAAAAAAATCATCCACTTCCTTTATTGCCCTAGCAGATTCTTTTGTCACAAATTCCCTTTTTTTCCTTTTACAAGATAACATTGGCTTCAGTCTGCAAACAGCTATATATATATATATTTTTTTTTTATGCAAAGATTCTAAAAAAATTCTCAACTCAGAATCCAAAACAAACCTTCAAGATTAATCTTTCTATTGTGACTTTAGAAACTGGCTAATGTGGTTTCAGGGTTAATTAATCCCAAAAGGCATGTTATACATTAACACTTACAAGTTAAAAAAAGCAAGACACCTTAAACCTAAACCTCTGCTTAACAAAAAAAAAAATACTTGTTGGATTTTTCCACAAAACAGCAAGCTGTAGTGACTAAAAACATTTAAATATGACAAAATAATAGAGTTGGCAAAAAATGTACAAAAACACTTGAAGGTTTTGGCCTGTGTTTTGCCAATTCTGTTTAATTTCACAATTCACTATTTAGTGAATAAACCCCACTGTTTAGAAGTAGTTGCCAAGTATTATTTCTTGCATTTGGTAGCCAAGCCAAACCAACAGTTAGGTTTAATCTGTATAGCAGCCAAGACATCGCTGCGCCTGTACAAGTCTAGGGAAGGTAATCAAAAATGTAAGTGGCCCAGAAATGTCCTAATGTGTTTTATACCCCACCTCCTATAGACTCTATGCTTGTTTGAGCAGGGCCCTCTTCAACCTATCGTTCCTGTAAGTTTTCTTGTAATTGTCCTATTTATAGTTAAATATCCCCTCATAATATTGTAAAGCGCTACGGAATCTGTTGGCGCTATATAAATGATAATAATAATATTGTAGTAGCCATAGCCGCCTGCCTTCTGACTGGTCTGTCAAACTCTAGTTTAGATGCTTATTCTCAAACTCCAAATTGATATCCGAAGGTAAAATAGCTAAGCTGTGCCTACAGTTGAGTTAGAAAATATTTGCAGTTCAGCTATTTTTGCCTACCAATTACTTCAATTTGCTACACTTCAGAGTTTAGTGAACAGTCCCTTATAGGGTAGGGAGAGAATGGCAAAAAGGTATCCTCAGCTGATGCAGAACTACAACTCCCATGATTCTTTGTCAGATTTTGTTTTGACATGGTATCATGGGTGATGTAGTTTTGGCCACAGCGGGTGTAAGTTGCTCTATAAAATGCATGTAATACATATGTAAATATTATCTGCATAAAGATCTGTAATGTAAGACACATGTTTCTATGACTCTATAAACGGTTTATAGGGGGTTTCACTAATAGCACATCTGTGTCTGTGTACACATTAACTCCTATACTGCATTACAGTGACTTCAAGTTTGGGAAGACTCCAATTTTCATTTTATTTTTTCACAGTCCTTATTATAGTCATATATTTTTTTTTTTTTTTTTAGAAAAAAACATTGGGGATTCATTCATTTTGTCTGTGTGGTTATAGTTGGGATGTTTAACCCCCCCCCCCCCCAAAAAAAAAAAAAACCCAACAACAAACCACAACCCAAACTTCCCCCCTCCCCCTAATTATAATTAAGCACATATTTCATATTCCATTAACACTGAACAATTGAGTGTAAAACTCTTGACATGTTTGGGTGAAATATATAAAGTATAGCCCTTTTCCTAGTTCACTCTTCTCTGGATTCCAGTAGGAAGTGGTTGAGAGTGAAACCCCCTGGATGCCTTTTGTTCAAAGAGGGAAGGGGGAGGGAGATGTACAAGTTATAGAGGTTGTGTTTTTTTTTTTTTTCCTTTCCCTCTCCTTACTGCCTATATGACTTTTATACCTGCATTTCCACTCAGAGTAAAGTGACACAGATAGTTTTACTTAAAGAGATTATGGAATTTTTGCCTAATAACATTTGATGCAATGTTTAATTTGTTGATTTTCATTGAATTATTATTTTTGAGTGGTTTGCTTTAAATTGTTATGAACTGTTACATTTTAGAGAATCCTTTCTCTGCACCTAGGGTGGTTTTTAACCCCTTAAGGACCAAACTTCTGGAATAAAAGGGAATCATGACATGTCACATGTCCTTAAGGGGTTAAAGGTAGTTATTTAATTTATTTTTTTAATCCATAATGAAACAAAAATGTATGCACTTAACTAGACTGTTAAGTGCTTGCTGTAAATTTGCCTTATCCAGATTGTACATTAGATCCTTTTGCATGGTTTATCCATTTGGCATTTTAAGGATTATAGAGATGTCCAGCATTGTGTGAATTCTTATTATTCTTAAAGCGGCACTGTCATCGCCTGGGGACTTTGCATAATTTGCGAAGACCCTTGACGGTAACATCGGAGGGAAGATGTAGGGTGGGGGGCAGGGAAAGGTGAGATTTATTAATCTGTACCTGTCCCACATGGGTGCCATCATCTTCTTCCAGACAGTCCTCTTCTGCACCTGGCATCGAGGTTTGTCTCTCGGGATCCTCCATTGATAAAGCTCTCTCTTTAGCCATCACTGGTAATGGCTGGGAGATTGACACATCTTGATGGCGTTCGCTCCGCCGAGTTAAATCAGGAGCAGACATATGAGTGCAGATATTTTTTCACTCCATAGTGTCTGTCTAGCTATGCTATGTCCTGTGAAGTGATGCGATTTTATAGCTCTACAACTGACTTACAAATGGAGGTCAGCGGGGGGCGGGGCCTGACCGCAGGACTGAGAGGAAGCAAACCTCTGCAGCTCCTGCCGAACAGCGCAAAAAAGCGAGGAAAAAGCCACAAAAACGACTCCACTAAGCTAATCAAAGGCCACCAGGTGACAGACGACACCGGGACGCATACGGCGATATCAAACGAGTGACAAATGCCCCGGTACGTACCGGCCACACGGTTGAGGCCTACCAGCATGGTGGGAGCGGGAGGGACGGCCGCCCTCCCTCCACCAAGACAGGCCAGAAAAGTGCCCCAGAACACCCGTTCCCCCCCCTATGGACCGGTGGGGGTCATCCCGGTCCACCCCTACGCAACTCTCTGGCAGAGCGGGAGGAGAGAGACAGAGACAAGGAGGCACGGGCCTGCCACCTCTGCAGCCCGCAAGATGGCGGATGTCCCTCACACTGCAGGCCCAGGAGATGCGGAGCTCGACACGGAACTCAGACTGAATGCAATTTTCGCCGCGTTTTGGAAGAAGTTAGAGGCGCGCATGAGACCCCAAGCTCCTGAAGACATCCTTCAACAGGGCTCTCAAGGAGCTGGCATGCGGGGAGTGCAGACCCCCAACCCCAGATACATGCCCGCGAACAAATGTCGCCTGCAAAGAACGGCCAGGAGGCCCAACACTCGGAGCCTTGCAAAAAGCAGCAGTGGACCGGGGCTAATACCTGAAACCGCACAAGTACTCAGGAAGCACCGACCCAAACAACCAGCCTTGGCAGCAAACAATCGGCATGAGATCAGACAAGGCAAACCTCGCCCGGAACGAGCGGTGGGTCAGCAGGGCAGAAATCCCTACAAGATGACCGCACTAAAGAGACCGTCCCAGAGCCGCAGCGAAGCACCCAGCGCAATGGGGCTCACCAAGGGAAGGACCTGGCAAGGAGACATAGACGAAGACCCGCACAAAATCCATCACGCCAGCACCACCCTCCGAGCATCAGGCGTGGGATGAACAACCCGGACTGGACTCTAAAAACCGTGAGCTCCATATTGCTCAGTATAGGGCTTCATATGTCATACTGCTAAACATACCTCGGACTAGATTCACCATTGCTGTCTGGACTGTCCATTTATAGCAGAACCTAGTTAATGCAGATCCTGTGTAAATGAGCAGACTCCAGCTATTAACATGTTTTCTTTTCTGTGACATACCTGCCTCGCTCTCCTCTCACTCTCTTATAACAAGCAACAACTACATAGTCATGCTTATTACGCTTGCACTATATCTATTTTCATACACTCATCTTGCCTACTGAAACACCTTAATTGCAAAATTGAAGCATCTACATAGCATGCCATAGCATTGTTTTCCGTTGTGTTTCTTCCTCGCCTGCCCTGCTGTGGAGGCGCCACAAGCGTATATGTTTTACTTAGCATGCACTTACTACTCAAGCTATACTTACCTTAACACTTAGTCCAGAAATGCGATGTATAACCTGTAACCTAAGCATATTATAACTTTGAACAAAAAATCTCCAAGCTAGCATGGAACGTATTCTTATCAATGTAATGCTTTCATATCTTTATACACCATGCTTACTGTTACCTACTACTATAATCCTAAAAATGTGCTGTAACTCAGACATGCATACGATTTGCAAACTGTAATTTTCCAATGTGATGTTTTGACATGTCTCTGACAAGCTCTATCTTTACAATGCACTCAAAAATAAAGAATATAAAAAAAAAACAAATGGAGGTCAGCATGTAAGTAGCACTATTCTCATAAATATGATATTTTTCCCTGTGTATGCTATTGGCTGAAAGACATATTACTGTGGTATCTATGGTATGGTATCTAAATGGTAAAGGTGGTCATCTTACATATTTGTCTTTAAACTGGAGCTTAATTTCAATGGCAGCATGTGATCTGATAAATAAAAATAATAAATATATATATATATATATATATATATTTTAAATGAATGAATGATCTGGAGCGTAATCCCACTGCAAACTTTGATGACCCCTACACATGTGACAAAGAAAGCTAGAGTACACTAATGAATCAACATACCAAATGTTTTCCATCAGACGTACAACACAGTAATTGGTAAAATGAACCCTACAGCACTCCTCTTACATACAGTGCCCGTAAATAATTACATTTACAGCACATATCTCACCGTGCCCGTATATCTCTAAATATTACATTTACAGCACGCCTCTCGCATACGATGTCCATATATATCTAAATGATAAATTTACAGCATGTATCTCACATACAGTGCCTGTACTAGTTGAGTATTACATTTACAGCATGCCTCTCACATATGGTGCCCATATATCACAAAAAATTAAGTTTACAGTACAGGTTTCACACGACCATATATCACCAAATGTTAAATTTACAGCATGTGTATCAGTCACTAAACATGTATCTTACACACTGCACCATATGTTACTAAACTAAAACTCACAACACTAACTCGCTAAATATGCGTTTTACTGCCCTCAGAGCACCTCATCTATTAATATTACACTGGAGGGACATCAGCAGTGCTCTTAGTTTAGAAATATTCATAATTTAAAATAATCCCATGTGTAGTAATAATAGAATAAGGTACAATTATGTGCTGTCCGTTTCTAACTAGACTTATGTTTAGGTTAAAAGTGGAATAATAAAATTTGCCAGATATTAGCCTTGGTCTTAAATAAACACTATAGCATTAGAAATACAGACCTGTATTCCGAATGTTATAGTATACTCTTCTGCATATAGTTTAAGGCTCCCCACCCCACTCCCGAAAAAGCGCTGTGTTCCTCCAATGAAATGGAAGTTAGCTGTAGGAACAGAGTTGTCATATCTACTAAACCAGGGCTTGACAAATTTCCTTTGAATCTAGGAGCCAGGAAAAAAAGTTAGGAGCCAGGTTTTTCAATGTCAAAAATATAATTCTTAAAGGTACTCTATAGTCACTAGAACCACTACAGCTTAATGTAGTTGTTGTTCTTGTGTCTATAACCTGTCCCGCCACACTTCAATGTAAACCGTACCTTTTCAGAGAAAAGGCAGCATTTACATTGTTGCCTAGTAACACTTCTAGTGAAAGTCACTCAGAGGGCCTCTAGAGTGGGTCCTGGGTAAGTACTGCACCATACGCAGAACCTACGTTTAGCGTCTCCACGCTCTGCATGGAGGCGCTGAATGTTCCCCATAGAGATGCATTAATTCAATTCATCTCTATGAGGAGATGCTGATTGACGCAGCGTGGCGTTTTGCCACACATGCGCAATAGCGTCCCAATGCTTTCCTATAGGAAAGCATTGGATTAGCTGAGATCATCAAGATTGGAGACAGGGCCAGCTGCAGCAAGACCAGCACAGCGTGGGGGGGAAAAGGTGAGTTAAAAATCCCATACACGTGTGATTGGAGGGGGACCAGTCACCTAAACACATACTCACACTCACTCAGTGACACACATACACTCACTCACATTCACTGTCACTGCAATAACACACATTAAAGGTACACTCCCGGCACCCAGGCCACTTCTGCCCATTGGAGTGGTCTGGGTGCCAACTCCCACTACCCTTAACCCTGCAAGTGTAAAAAATTGCAATAATTACCTTGCAGAGTTAACTCCATCTCTAGTGGCTGTCTACTAGACAGTTTGGGAAGACTCCAATTTTCATTTTATTTTTTCACAGTCTTTTATTATAGTCATATTTTTTCGTTTTAAGATCCAGCGTCGCTCAATTCGTTTTAAGATCCAGCATATAAAAAAATAAAAAATAATCTCTCTACTAGACAGCCACTAGAGGGCACTTCCTGCTCTATAGCACAGGAAACCTGTGCTAGAGCATCGCTGGACGTCCTCGCGCTGTGTGAGGACCTCCAGCATCGATAAATTCCCCCTAGGAAAGCATTGAAAAGCATTTTCAATGCTTTCCTATGGGGAGCTCTAATGCGCATGCGCGGCATTGCCGCGCATGCGCATTAGGTCTCCCTGGCCGGTGGGTGGACGTAATCACTGGGAGGAACGGCGGCGAGCAGAAACCAGGTCTCAGGTAAGTGACCTGAAGGGGTTTTCACCCCTTCAGCAACCGGGGATGGGGGGTGGGAGAAAGAGGGAACCTGCAGTGCCAGGAAAACAGATTGTTTTCCTGGCACTGGAGTTTCCCTTCAAGGTGACCACCCAGCCTCCCTACCTGGAGCTTGAGTAATTCGGCCAGTGGGGCTTTAGTCATCTCCCTGCTCTGCTCCATACAGCTCTGTTTAGTGATCCCAGGTCCAGAATTATGTCATATTCTGGCTCCTGGCATCTCTGGAGGATGTGGGAGAGAGCAGAGCAGGGAGGGAGGTTACAGCTCCCTCACGCGCCTGCCAGTCTGTTTCAATCCTCCAGAAGCCTCCCGCCCGTGCGCACGCCTACTCTCTCCATCAGCTGGCTGGCCGACCACCCGGAAATGCATACCAATGCTCTTTATGTGCCGGCCACCCGCCCGCCTCCACTCATAGGCGGCTGACTACCTCGGGCTGAATGGGCCAACAAGTGGGATTTGTCAAGCCCTGTACTAAATGGCAGTGCTTTACATTTCAGGGTTAAAACTAAAGGGCCATTGCACCCAGACCACTTCACTGACATAAAGTGGTCTGGATGTCTTTAGTGATCGTATTTAAAGATTACCTGCATGTGTAAAAAATTGTAAATATTAAAGGGTTTCTCCAAACACCATATTAAAAAAAAATATTTTTTGTTGGAAAGACCATTTAACTGTCAGAGCACTAATGCCAAATCGTTTTATGAAATCTTTTCAGCACTGGGTTATAAAAGTCACAACTAAAGAGACATTAGGAAAACCCAAGTACTGATTTGACTCTGTTATGACAATTGTAAGCAGTAATCTACATGGCAGGCCTGTTCTTTCAGTGATGGTAGTGACCTATAATCCACTTGAACTTACAGAAAAATAATACTGTGTATTCTACCGGTAGGAAGTTGTTTTGTTATCCATAAAAAAAGTTTTTCCTGGTATTGCAACATGGTACCTCGTACTCCATAAGTTTCCTTCCTTGCAGTGGTTGCCTGTTTGACATGAGACATAGTATAGGAGTAATGGGGCAGGGAAAACGTACTGGATATCCCAGGGCAGATGCAGAGCAATAATGATGCAGAAAAACCTGGTGTTTGTCCATTGCTGTGATATGAACCTATAGTGTTAGGCAAGTACATTCATTTTTGGGAAATCTGTCATGTTTGGTTCAAACAAGAGTCCACAACGAATTGGCAGTACTCTAAAGGAACTAGACCACTTCATCTGTATGTGATGCATGCTGGATCTCTTATTTTCGCCAATCCAAGCACACAACTATATAGACAACCACAGACTACAACCTCAGTAATTGCTCCTTGTGGTTCCCACACTCACTTGAGTCAGAGTACATGCTGGGACTCCCGGCAGCTGTGCTCTGGCTAACTAAAGGGTTGTACATTTACTGAGGTCTGCAACCAATGGAAGTGTAGTGTTCACATTCAATGCCCCCAAACACTGTCCTTCATCTAGCAGCCCTACTACTTCCCGTAGCAGGGCTAAACGCCCCCAACAAGCTGCCTGCCTTGCACCCGTGACATGCAGTTCAGGGTGACAAATGCCTGTAGGGGCATCAGGTCATGGTACTTTTCAGATTACTCTAACCCTGGGGCACAAAATGCACAATAGGGGAAAATATGTGCTTTCCTTTATATTGAGATAATGACTGTGCAAGATTCGGGGTGTTCTTTACCATGATATTCTGAGATAGTACTGCCCCCAACCCAATTTTGGATGTATTTGTCCTTACAGTAAACTCTGTAGAAAAGTCACAGGTTACTGGAACTGTTTGGGTACACAAAGCCTCCTTCAAATTTACAAATGCTTATTTAGCCTAGAAAGACTATATTTTTGCTGCTAATGATTTTGTAAGGTCTGTTAGAGGTCTTGCAATTGCAGGGAAAGCTGGGATAAAACTCCTACAATAACAAAAAGCAAAAGGTCCCAGAAAAGTCCTACTATGCTTTTTTAGTAAGAGGATGTGGCCAACTTTTATGACTTCCGCATCGGCCAACTGAGGTCTAACCAAACCACTCCCAGTTGAATCACCTAGGTATCTTGCTTTTCCTAAACCGATAGTACACTTCGAGAGATTCCTAAGCCAGACAAATTGATAGCAAACAAGCCTGTCTATTCTTGAGGAGATATGAATACTAGTCAGCTGTAATGGCTATATCTTCTAGATACATTGCAGCATAATGACTAGGAGATTTCATAATTCTGCCCAGCTAGAGTCCCATATAAGCCAAACTGCAAAACCTTTTGTAGTGATGAAAAAGCTGTCTTTTCCTTTGCTCTGCCATTGAAGGGTACTTTCCAAAATTCTCGTTACATGTAAAGTAGTTTGGTAGCATACTGTATACAGTCTCTCTATGTTCAACAACATCAGGCATTGGATAACTGTCAAATTTGGGTGCGATCATTAATATTTTGGTAAGTGTTACAAAATATTAATGATAGATCAGGATTCGATACCAATACAATATGGCTATTCCATTTGCTTTGTGAATCCGCTTTTAATGTCCAACGTTTTAAGATCCAGCATATAAAAAATAATCTCTGCATTTATAACCTCTTTCTGGTCTTCGATAACATGCTTAAAGGACCACTATAGGCACACAGACCACTTCAGCTCAATGAAGTGGTCTGGGTGCCAAGTCCCCAAAGTCGTTTTTTTTTTTTTTTTGTCAATCTTTCTTTTATTGAGGCAATTGAGTTGGGATACAGAAAAAGAGAGAGAAGGGAAACGTGCAATTTTAGGTACATGTTAGGGAAATCACAGCTGTAAATAACATTTCCTAGATAACGGTGCCTCGTTTTTATGGGTTAGTAAAACTTGAACATGCTGAACTGTTACGCTTAGTACGTATGGCATAGTTATTTGTACATGCTTATCACAATAGAAGGTATGCTATAGGTAGTTGTTGTTAGTGAGCACCGGAGGTAGGGCAGGAGCCCATGTCTAGCTGAGATAAAAGCTTTTCTAGATTGGCATGTCTCACCGTGTGGCTGTTTCTTCGCTAGGTACAGTGCTATGGGTTCTCTTGCTACAATAGTTATGGCTCTACCTAGTCTTGTCAGCTCGCTTGGACCTAGAAGAACCCTTTAGACATTCTGTTAACAGGCTGAGATATAGGCTTATCAAGTTATACGGTATAGTAAGGCTGAGCTGAGGTCAGTTACTACGGCACAGGTGACACTTTTTAGATTTAGTGGACACAATGGCTATGTAATTGCATTCTACTAACGTCAGGCTTATTTTACATTATGAGAGACCTACATAACAGTAGACAATAATGGGCTATTAAGTAACTTATGGAGGCCCCTAGTCCAACAGCGTACAGCCAGTATATGCTGGGCTTGTGACTGGCAGTGTGTACAGTCTGAGTGGGGTTCCGGATGTGCAGTGAGGACCACAGCTGGAAGCGTCTACGTGTAGGTCCCCCCGAGCCTTGAGTCCTCGATCAGCCAATGCCCAAGCGGGGTGTGGGGATATCGTGCGTTTGGGGTGTCCCCTGGGGGATGGTGAGATGCGGATGTTGGAGGGCCACCTTCATGCCCCAGGCCATAAAGAGGGCCAACACCTGCGGCCCACAGACTCGGGAGCTACTCGAGGCCGGGTCTTCCCTTTTTCGGGTGCCCAGGTGTGCCCGGTTGTACTGCCGCCGCCAGCGGAGGTCGGGTCTCGGGCTGTGTGTCTGGTGCCTTGGAAACATTCTCCGGTTGGCTCTCGGCCTAGTATGGCTTGTCAAAAGCGGGATAGTTGCGGTTCCGTATGGTGTGCCTGAGTGCGCCCCCCTCTGATTCCGCCTCACTTTCACCTCAGCGTAGGTGTGGGGTCTAGATTTCTCCCCCCTCCAGAGTTCCCTCCGGGTGGGAGTCTTGACCGCCAAATGCTTCTCAGAGTGGGTCCCCTGTTTGGTAGGTAGGCAGGTTGTCGTGGCTGCTCTTCGGTTGATGCGTTGCCAGAATTTATGGCAGATGGCTTCAAACCTGGCTTCAAATAGGGCCCTCCATTGAGTGTGTGGGCTACTATGCTGGGCTTCCCGCGTGGCGGCCATCTTGGTCTCGCCACAAAGTCCGTGCCACACAGTACCCCTGCTCTCCAGTTCTCCGTGCTTGTGTCCCCTTCCGTGTCCAGTAGGGGGGGGGGTTCGGAGTATAGCGGATCCGCGGGCAGGGCCCGAGCTCCGGGAGATCGGCCGCCTCTCCCTCGTCCAGGCCCCAGCAGGTCGCCTTCGGGGTTCTGGGCTGTCATTGATGGTGGTTTCAGGGTAAGTATAGTGTCGTGTGCCCGGAGCCCCCTGTGTGTAAATTCTGCCAAGTCTTTGCTTTTGAGCCCAGCATTTAGGCTCAAAATTGCTGTTTTCTTCATTTTCATGCTGGAGCTCAAGCTGAACATGTCTGCTCGCCCCCTCCCCAAAGTTTTAACCCTGCAGATGTAAACATAGTAGTTATATAGGCTTCCTGACAGCCACTAGAGGCCGCTTCCGCGATTCTCAGTGTGAAAATCATTGAGTAATGCTTCCCTATGGGCGGTTTGAATGCACTCGCGGCTCTTGCCTCGCATGCACATTCAGAACTGACGCCAGCAGGGGGAGGAGAGGTCACCAGCGCAGACGGCGCTTGATTAAGGCAAGTGGTTGAAGGGGTTTTAAACCCTTCAGCCCAGCGGGTGGGGGCCTTGAGGGAGGGGGAGACCTAATGACCCTATAGTGCCAGGAAAACGTGTTTGTTTTCCTGGCACTATAGTGCTCCTTTATGGATATTGGTTCTGCCTGGAATTATCGATAACACCTCTTCTTCACTTCTGATAAAATCTCCTACCTCTTCTTTTTGATGTGATGACGATACCTCTTCTACATTAAACTCGGGGTCACTAGTCAGTAACTACCAGCATGTTTTATACTTCTGTTGTTCCAGGGCTTCATTGACTCCAAATAGTATATCTGTTCTGAGTTCCTTCTATTACTTTGTCTCCCTTTATCCACTTCCTCTATTTGTTCAATAATATCACAGGGGCCACACAAAGCAGCATGAACTTCTCCAGCGTAGAGACCAAAACTAGTAACTTATCTTTTCGATGAAAATTCTGAATCTTGCATTCCTGTTTTTGATGTTCTTCTGGGATGCTTGGGCTTTCTTCCTGTGCTCCTTCAAAGTAGGAATGACAGCTGCTATTCTTTCTAGCAAATCGGCTAATTCAATTATATAGTGATATGGATTCCAATTCTGCTGCCAAGTTTAGCTATATCTAATGGACCTGTGGGATGCTGTGAATATAGACGTTCTAAAAGGGAAAAGTCAGTGTAAATTTGTGACACCAGTTATGCCCATCCTTGTTAGCTGTGTTTCTCAACATATTTTTCAAGGTATTAAAACTTTCCATCCATCCAGGAAGATAAACTGATGTTTTAAGATGGTTAATGTGAAGATGTTTGTACAATAAATTTATGACTTTTTGTATAGATTGGGTATCCTGAACTGTTAAAATGTATTTTCGATGAAACCTAAGTTTGTTTGTTTGTTTTAGCAATGAAGTAATATGTTAGGGCACAGCTTCTGCATATTTTGTTGCATAATCCAGAACCAGTAATACTTTACCAAGTAACCTGTTAAGTCTACGACAATTCTGTCAAATGGTGCTTCAGTTATGGTACTAGATGACTCTGGCGAGCAACTGCAATGAATGTGAATAAAATACCCCCTGGCCAATAAAATCTTTTGTTTTCAATGACTACATGTCTTCTCATAATTTGAAAGTTTTAAGACTGTATGCTTGAAAGGCTGGGGAACTAATTAGTTTATTTACTATATAAACATCCCTTTCGTGCAAAACTGAGAGTGTGTGTGTGTGTGTGTAAAAACATATTGTGTAATTGGATTATTTTTACCTTTTTTATAATGACCATAAAAAAAAGATATATCTATTTATATATTTATATATATATATATATATATATATATATATATATATATATATATATATATATATATATATATATATATATATATATATATATATATATATATCCCACCCACCCACCCACTGTATTCCGTGAACTGTCCTAGATTTAAAATATTTGACTTTAATTACTGAAGATAAACATGGGAAATATGTGGGGGACAGAGCCTGACTGCTGAGCCAGCTGGTAGCACATCGCCTGAGCTCCAGGCCTGAGACCTTTATTCTGCCTGCTTTTCAAGCAAAAAACTACTATAAATCGTACAATGCTAAAAGGGGTCACCTGTACAGACAGGCAACACCACTTATGCAGCCTTACAGCCAGCAGTCGGTAACTCCAGGACGGAGCGCAGTTGTGGCCTGTGGGAGGCCGGGGCGGGTAGAAGCGGACGCTCTCCTCACTCTTGGATAGACTATCTACCCCAAACGTGCTCCCTCCCCCTATGGACCGGCAGGGGTCATCCCGGTCCTCCCTGGGGTGAAGCCACACTTACCGCACCCAGAACTGAGGGAACCCGCAGAGCTGGAAACCCACACAGTGCAAGCTAAGATGGATGCCAACACGATGCCAAGTGCAACCCAGACTCCTGTGACCTGGGCCATACAAGAAGACCGCATTGCCCAGGTCTTCGAGCACTTCTGGACGCAATACTGGGAACACACCAAACAGAGTCAGAAAATATCTGCCATTGCGACCTCGCTCCATGCCGGCCCCTCACAGAACAGAAACAAATCGAGACCGTCCGGGCTAAAACCTAAAGCAACGCAACAGGTGGGGAAGAAGAGATGAAAGCCTCATAAAGTGTCCCGACGCAGACCACATGGGCCACAGCTCCTTAAGAGAAGAACCCTTCGATGCCACTCAATCCCGCATATGACCTCCACTCATCACAAGCAGTGGAATCCTCATAGTGGGCCCAGAACAAGTCTTGCCTCCAACACCATGTAGGACTTATGAGACCAGAGAGGGGAACAGCCACCTAACCTGGGGCTGGTGTGGTATTGTGAAGCAGGACTCTTGTAATTTATCTCACAAGGGCTCTAGTCATACAGTAGAGGGCATAGGTGAACAACGCCTTAATTATAGATGGCACGGCACAGTCATGGATGCGGTTTAATAGCCTATATATTGTGTATTTGTTTACCCAGGGGTATTCATTCACTCACTATTAAATGGTAGATGATTGTAATATACATTATAAAAGCAGTGAGATTTTATTTTATAAAATCGCGCAATATGCATGACATCTCATGTATAGTTTCATCTCGTATAGCAGGGGTCTTCAAACTACGGCCAAGCATTTAGGGCCACCCGATGGGCCCTATATCTTCAGGGGCTGGTCAGCGCTGCAGCCGTGCAATAGTGTGACTGGGTACCTTTAAAAAATTTCAGCCGCAAAGTAGTGCTCGGAGGAAGTGATGGCTGGTCACTTCCTCCCAGCTCCCTCCCCGCGGGAGGCAAGAAAGACAGGCGAGGATGGGACTCCCATCAGCCACAGAAATGTACCTGTTTTCTCTTGCGTACAATTTTAAAGCTTTGTAGACTCAGACATGACAAGCTTGTTTGTCAATTTGTGCACACCAAAAATAAAGAATTAAAGAACAAAACAAAAAAAAACTTGGGAAATGTGCAGTCAATAGTTTTTGAGTGTGTTTTTTTTACACTTTCTCCACTGATATGCCACCATCCGCTCGACTCTTCCGTCAACTTCTATTTTATCGAAGGACACTCTAAGCACGTTGACAACATGCACTGTTCTGTTGAAAATAGTCTGTGGACATTCTACCCTATTTTATAAAAAAAATTTTTTTTTTTTTTTTCTTTTTCTGGGATGAGGGAAACCACTCTCTTGGCATTTACAGAATTGCCTCTCTGCAGGTGCCTTAATAAAGCATAATTACACTTTTCTATGTTCTCATATTTAATTATGTCCAAATTACGAAGTTTAACAAATAGTGAAGAAATAAAACCTTGCAAGTAAACTGAAGGGAGATTTTGCCTACTGCTGAGGGTGAGGTTCCTAACCCTAAGAATGATAAAGCTGTGTAATTCTCTAACTAAAAAGGTTTTATCAGATAATTTACAGGTATGTTTTTTTTTTTTTTTTTTTTTTTCAAGCAATGGTATGGGGAGATTTTTGGAACAACAGAAGATTTAAGGATCTAACATATAATATGTGGGCAAACAGCTGATTGATCCAAGAAGAAACCTGACTTGGAATCAAGATGTTTTTGTTTTGATCCCAAAATTGGAAATTGCTTTAATTTTGAGTTTTTCATCTAATTTTGGGTCAGCAGCAGTAATAAGTGTAAGAAAGGCCAAACCCGATGGACTTGAGTATTTTTTTTTTTTTTCATCAGCCTATATTACTATGTAACTGTAATGCTGCAGCAGTAGAGGGGCCAAGTTTTGGGTCTTTGTCAAACTGCTTGCGTCGTTTGACAAAAGATTGTACACAAAGATTCCTACCCCATAACCACAACAAGCTGGAGTGGTTATAGTGCTTAGAATGTTCCTTTTAATGTCTGAGGTCAGTCACACAAACTCTTAAATGTTTGCATAAAGGTACACATTTACAGTAGAAAGTAAATATGTTAAAGCAAAATATTTTCAGCTTTCTCCATGTACTTTGTAATAAGTCTTCTCATTTTGTTTCCAATTTATTTGGACTGTTTTAAAAGTCATTCTTTGAATTTCTCCCAGACCTTCACTTTTCAGAATGTACTTTCTCTTTCATGAAAGAGTGACCCGATGTCCTATTTAAAAGTAAATAATTTTTTTTTTTAACAAATGTTTTATGAAAACACTTTTATTTAAAAAAAAAAAAATTTATAACCCTGTAAACCGTATGGCGGTCCTTCCAGTTTCTGCGATAGTACGTAAATGAAGATGGCTTTATGCAGACATGTAACTAAGTGCACCTTGCAGTGTTTTCCCAGAAAAGTTCTTGGTCATGTATTCTTATTGATTTATAACCATTTTTAATAGACTTCAGAATGAATATATGGCTTTGGTTCATGTCTATTTTCAGTACAGTCCATTTTGAGAGAAATTTTCTAGCTTTTTTTTTTTTTAAATCAATCTGCTTCCTGTGACACGGATAGTTTTAGACTGATTTCCAACTCCTTATTATCCATGAATGTTATCTGTAGGTGTGATTAATCAAAGTGTCTATAGTACTAAACGTGGACCACTCAGTGGAACCAGCAGCCATATTAAAATTTAGATTCCTTTTGCAACAATTTTTACAACAGAACTCTTTGATAAATACATTCCTACCACTCTGTGTATAGGGAAAAGGAAGGGGACAAACAATTACATGTATGAAAATTGGGTTCTTGGAGGGAGTGAATTGCAGGGGAATGTGTGGTTGTGAATTCTAGAGTGGTGTACATAAGGGGTTTTAATTTGGGGAAGAAAGGGGTTTAATATCAGGGTAATATGTTTGGCGGGAAGGAGCTTAATTTTCTGGAGATGTGGAAATAAATTGTGGAAGAAGGGTTAATTGGAATATTAATGTTAGGATGTGAATATGGAGGGGAAGAGGAATTGGGAAGGAGGGTGGAGATGTGGAGAAACTGTTCATTTGTAAGTAGGAAAAAACCTTTTATTATAAAGTGTACATTTCCATCTCCCCTCCCACCCCCCTTAGTTGGAACAGGAAATGCAGCAATCACAAAACATTTATATACTGGATCGATTTTCCTCTGCCACCTGTGTACACTTCATTGATTTTTCTCTCTCATCTGTAATAATAAACCTGGTTTACCAGAATAGATGCACTGATGATTTCTGTTTTGTGTACCAAGTTGGCTCAGCTGAGAACAGAACCTTGTGACAATGATATTTGATTAGCAAGTATTACAAATGCAGCTCCAAGCAACATAACCACTACATTGTGCGGGTGAGCACACAAAGACTTTACACCCTAAAGTCACTTTTTAAGCTTGTGAAAATTTACTCACTAAACTTGGAATTGGGGCGAGCATTTAAAAATGTATACCAAAAAAAAACACTTTAAAAATCTTCAACTTTTCTTTTTTTTCCAGCTCTGCCAGTTTAGCCTTAATTATGCTATTTCAACTCCTTTTTAATATCTCACCATGTTTAGTGAATAAATCCCATAGTACAGAGCAACATATGTCCCTTGCTTCAATAAACACTACTGTACATTGTAAAACTGTTTAGTTGACCTAAGGTTTAGTGAATCTAAAATATAAACCCAGCCACCCAATATATGTTTTCTTTTCCTCTCATTAACCTTTGAATAATCTGGCAAAGCTAGTCTCACTCACTATTTTTATGCTCTCTTGGGCTTCTACAGAAAAAAATATATTTCCATGATTTTACCAGTCTGTTCCTCCACCTATAAATGCAGTTCAGAACTGAAATATTCATCAAGTTCCCTTTGTATGTGACACTGTCATGGCATTATCTGTCCATGCCTAAGCTTGTATCATTGCAATTCTCTTTCTTACTGGTTGCCTAAAAGTAAACTGTAACAGGTGTGAACAACTTTCTTACTGTACAGAGCCAGGTTTAGGTTGTCCAGAGCCCTAGGCAAGATGCCTGATTGGAGCCACCTCCTAGAGCCATGGGCTCTCTTTGTTTTTTGTGTGTGCATGTTATGGCTGAGTGTTGTGTTTATGTTTGGGAAGGCTGAGTGTGGCTGGTTGAATGTTGTGTGAAGTGTCTGGGTTTTTTTGAGGAAGAAATGTTTGTTTGTTTGCTCCCCTTCTTCTTAACTTTTGGTAAGAGCGGTTATTATCCTTGGTGATCCAGTGGAGACCATTGTTTGCAGGATCCCTGGTGGTCCCGTGGGGGAGTGTTGTGGCCTGCACCACTTTGAGTTCACATCCCCTTAAGAGCTCCTTTGTGGACCAGCACTCAGTCAGTGACTCTGGATGCGGAGCTCTGAGTCATTGAGAAGTGGTGGGCCACCACAAAGGAGCTCTTAAAGTGATCTAAACCTGATAAAGGTGCGGACCATGTACTACCTTGAGGTTGTAAATGCGCACAGGGCAAAACAGGGAGAACATTTGATTTCCCTGCTTGCACATTAAGGGCACCCTCACAGCCAAAGTTGGAACTCTATGCAAGATTGGAAACTTTGCAGCATCCTATATTACCTTATTGGTAATCTGGCTCAGTAACAGTGCTCAGAAGGGTAACTCTCGTGCAATACAGGTACATTGTAAGAAAGGACCACATTTTGGGTGTATTAGTGTTTTCATGCCTTACTTTGCTTTGAGTTCCAGGCTGGCTAATGTCAATTTTGTGCAACTTTCCTTGCACAGAATGCCATTCATTTGGCTCAGAGCATTTAGCTGATGCATTCAGCCAATCCATGACCGCGGCATCGGCACACGGATTCTGCAGCTCTGCTGAAGCTGGATGTACATCACCAAACCAACAGGCAGACCCAAAGCCTATTGCAGAACCAGGTAAAATAGGAACGGGACCGGGGTACTCCTGGCATTCTACCCACTTCAGCAGGCTTAAATTAAGCCTTTATATTTGGCATGGTACCAGGGAATTTCTGGCACTATAGCCGCTACAGCAGGCTGCTGTGGTTATGGTGGTTAGTGCTCCTTAAACCCCTTTTGCCCATGTTTCTTACACTCAATACCGCTCCTTTTGAGCACATGCCTATATATCTATGTTATAGTATAATGGTGATCGCTTTTAAAAAATAACTTGTATGGTTTTTTTTCCACATAAAAAAAAAAAACAAACAAAAAACCTCTACTAAAAAATGAATTATGATATTCCTGTGCTATGTTTCTAAAAGGTTACATAGCATCTGTGTTGTCTGTCTTTGTGAATTGGTGCACTATAGAGGGTTTATTATGTAGGCATGGGTGAGGTGATTGATCTGATGTCATTCACTGAGCCCATGAAAGTTTGCTGGATGGTAGCAGGTAAGAAGTGTGTTAGCAACTTTGTGGAAAGTACTTTACAGGCTTAACTAGGAAAGGAAGTGAATCGTAACTTGCCTCACTGGCGCTTGTAAATAAAGTAGGTTTACTACCCCTTTTAAATTTTAATGCCTCGCTATTCCTTCATTACAAACTAGTCCTTAAATACTCTCTGTCAGCATGAAATGTTCTGCTTATTTAGTGTTAGGAATTCTGCATAGCTCTGCTGATACTAAATAACTTAAACGAACGCTACACATTTTATTCTTGGCACTATAGTCCTGGAGTGGTTGTTTAGGTAAGCACTCCCCTCCAGCCTTCCCCCGTCAGATTGCAGTAAAAAAAGTATTTAAAGGACCACTCTAGGCACCCAGACCACTTCAGCTTAATGAAGTGGTCTGGGTGCCAGGTCCAGCTAGGGTTAACCCATTTTTTTTTTTTATAAACATAGCAGTTTCAGAGAAACTGCTATGTTTATGAATGGGTTAAGCCTTCCCCCATTCCCTCTAGCGGCTGTCTAACAGACAGCCGCTAGAGGCGCTTGCGTGCTTCTCACTGTGATTTTTCACAGTGAGAGCACACCAGCGTCCATAGGAAAGCATTGATAATGCTTTCCTATGTGAGCGGCTGAATGCGCGCGCAGCCGGAGGTGGAGGAGCGGAGGAGGAGAGCTCTCCGTCCAGCGCTGGAAAAAGGTAAGTTTTTACCCCTTTCCCCCTTCCAGACCTGGGTGGGAGGGGGACCCTGAGGGTGGTGGCACCCTCAGGGCACTATAGTGCCAGGAAAACGAGTATGTTTTCCTGGCACTATAGTGATCCTTTAACTTACCTTTTTTCCCTCGTTTTGCTGTTCTGGCTGCGGCTGGCCCTTCTTTTGTGGCTGTGAGCATCAATCTTGAAGATAACAGCTGATCCAATGCTTCCCCATAGGAAAGCATAGGTATTGTGCATGCGCTGCGCCCATCAGCATCTCCTCATACATATATACATTGAATCAGTGAATTTCAATTGGGAGCATTCAGCTGAACTTAGGTGCTGCACACAGTGCAGTCATGGACTAGGAAGCACCTCTAGTCTGAGTGACTGCCTCCAGAGGTTTGTAGACATCAGATCCTCTACATTAAGTTGTTGTGGTTCTGGTGACAATAGTGTCCCTTTAAGATTAACCCCTTAAGGACACAACTTCAGAAATAAAATGGAATCATGACGGAATATTTCCGTCATGTGTCCTTAAGGGGTTAAATACAGAAAGCTCTCAATTTTAGCAGTGCTGAAACTCTATACTACTCAAAGATATTCTCACTGCCCTTCAATAAGGAAGTTTTTATATATTCAATGTTCAGTGAATAATTCCAAGCTTTCCAATGCTAAGTTTTCCTGCATCTTAAAGGGACACTATAGTCACCAGAACAACTACAGCTTAATGTAGTTGTTCTGGTGAGTATAATCGCTTTTGTCAGACATGTAAACACTGCATTTTGTGAGAAAAGGCAGTTTTTACATTGCCCCTAGGGACACCTCCAAGTGGCCATTCCTCAGACGGCCACTGGATGTACTTCCTGGCTCAGGGCTGCACAGTAAGCAGCCCTGCCGTTCAGCATCCCCGCGCTCTGCATGGAGACGCTGAATTTTCCTCAGAGATGCATTGATTCAATACATCGCTATAAGGAGGTCCTGATTGTCCAAAACAGCATTTGGCCCCGCCTGTGTCGATATTAGCCAATCCAATGCTTTCCCTATGGGATTGGCTAAAAATCTGCCATTTTGATTATCTCACAAAGGGGGCAGAGCCAGCGTCGGTGGACCCGCGTGGGTTGCTGGAAATAAGGTGAGTTTTATACGTTTATAGTGGCGCTAAGGGGGGGACAATCCACCTAAATGGTGGGTTTAGCACTATAGGGTCAGGAATGACCTTTAATAATGACCCCAGAATCTAACGCTGAAATGCTCATGACTGGTATTCCTTTAATTTAAACGCACTGGGATGCATTGGATCATTAGATAATTGAGTGGAATCTTGTATTAACCTATATCTAATCATTTTAATGAAATAGTTCTTTAAGTTGGCAGGACAAATACAAAGTGTGTGTATGTAATGAAAGGGTTTGGAGTACATGATAGTCCAAAAAGCCACTGCATTTTCTAACGGGTGCACGTCCCAAGGATGTCAAATTTTTATAGTTAATATACACTAAAATGCTAAAACCACATTTGTTTCGTCATGCACAGGTCTAATTACTGTTTCAAATAATGTTAATGCAGGTTAAAATACACCCTTTAGTTCCTATTAAAGATTATAGTTTGCCCATACAAATGTAGAGGAATGTTCCTGGGTTAAAGGGTGTATTCATAAAAACATTTATAATGCTAAAAATACAATTTCAGGATTAGTTAATTTTATGTATAATAATACTATGCTTAATTGCTAGGTTTGGGAAGTTTTTATCTTTTATTTTTTTTAGCATGGCATGTTAGGAGTTAATATAATTCGCAAGAGGTGCAGAATTGGAAACCTTACACCAGTCTTGCATATAATGCAGCCTTTATAGTTTAAATCAAACATTCCATTGCTTTTTTTTTTTTTCCATACTGTTGATTAAAATTCTTTCAATATGTTAAAATAGCAGGAAAGCAGAGTTCTTTTTATACATCTTTAAATGCTTTTCTGGATTCGATTCATTCGGTACTTATTTTATAACGTGGTTGTCTTTAGCAGACACTTTACTCTCACATGAAACGTTAGTGGGTCTGTTACTCATATTATGGAGCTTGCACTCTGAGAATTCACCTACTCTTGTAGATAGATTTCTCAGCTCAAGAGTTTCTTTGAATAGCTATATATTTTTTAAACACACAATATTTATTTTGAATGTTGATATTCCTATTCGCTTCAGATATAGGGTTCCTCTTTGTTAACATGAAAAAATTAGGTAGGGGAGGAGGGGAGCTTTTAAACTAAAAGGAACAGTGCCATAACCACTACAGCATACTATTGCTTTGGTGCTTGGATGGTTACTTTAACTGCAATCCAGCACTGAAATAGTATCTTCTCTTCAGAGGCTCCTCTCACAATGAGATATGGGATTGATGATCCATATTGCAATACAATGCTTCTCAAAGAAAGGCACTGCAGTCCTATGGCACAGGTCTGTCTGACAGCCACTAGAGGCATATTTCTGGACACCTGTAGTCATTGCCATTTCTCTGAAACGGCATAGTTTTTACATCATTCAAATAAAGAGATTGCATCTGTAAACCAAAACCACTACATTAAACCCATTCTCTGCCAACCACTTTTTTGATTGAAAAAAAAAATTAGCATAACAATTATTTAAACTGTGGGGAGGGGGCGAGAGGTGTGAAAAGTGTTAGACATATACAGTGACCTTTTTCTTGCAATATTTCATACAGGGTAAGGTGTGACCAAAATGGGCAAATACCCTGCTTAAAGGCATTAATAGCTGTATTTCCCTCCAACTGCAGAAGATATGTATAACCCATTTAAATCCTTTACTGTTGGGGAAAGAGCGGAGGTGAAACTTTATAGACTACATTTCATTCTGCAAAATACATAAACATAAAAACATTTAAATTCAATTTTGCGAGTTATATAGTGAACACGTATTTTATATTTAATTTGACATGCTAAACAATATAAGGTTGGTTGGAACTACTATACTTATAGACTAGAATGATAAAAAGAAATGAGAATACTATTATCATATGATAAACATTATCAAGCTAGTTATGACTAATGGCAAACAAATAGCCATACATTGAAACTTTCTAAAGAAGTAGAATCTGGAAAACTTTGAGAGAAAAACCTTCAATTAATAATCAGTCACCATTAATTCATGTGTTATCATAGATGTGGTTAGCAAATGACAAACGCCAATCAAATGGTTTGAATGGGAACTGTCTGTTCCCAGGTTTTTGTCATATAATGTTGAATTGTCCCTATATTTAACAAATCTGTATTTGCTAGGTATGAAAAATCTAATTAAATGTAGAAATCCATACCTCTTTAAATGGGCGACTCCATCTTTACTCTCTAAGTGCCAGGAATACAAAGCTGTATTCCTGGCACTATAGCTCCTTTTGCCTCCCCCTGCCTCGGCAAATAAAAGGTTAAAAATCCCTTATTTGCTAGTCTGATGCCGGCGCCGATGTCCCTCAGCGCTGGATCGCGGCTCTGCTTCCTCCGACAAGCTCCCGTGCACGCATTAGACCTCCCCATAGGAAAGCATTGAGTCAATGCTTTCCTATGTGGAAAAATCTGATGCTGGATGTCATCCTGCAGTGCGTGTGGACGTCCAGCGTCGGTTACCGATCCAAAGGCCTGGGAGACAGCCACTGGAGGCAGACTTAGTGCTGCAATGTAAACATTGCAGCTTCTCTTGGAACGGCAACGTTTAACATTGCAGCACTAAGTGCAATAGGGACACTGAGCTGAAGTGGTCTAGCTGCCTATAGTGTCCCTTTAATCATTATAAAAGCAGTCCCTTGCCCCTAGCACAGAGAAAGCATACAGAGAAGAAATTAAACTATGTTTCTATTTCTTCTCAATGTTTGCCTTGTCTGAACTGGATAATGATGTCATATGCTAAATCTTGATAATACATTTTAAAACAAAATTAAGCAACATATGGAAAAAAAAAAGTATTAGGTGATTTTCAGGGTCTTATTCAGCGGTGTGACCATTCTCTTTTAATAAAACATTACTAGTCAGAATTTTAAGAACGCATACATTTAGAAAAACTTGAATAGGCACAGGGATCCCCAAATGAAAGTATATTAAAGTAACAATAAGCACCAAAATCACTACATTATAATGTAGCGATTTTGGTGCATAGATGCTGTCTATTTTTTCCGACAATGTTAAAGATTAGGTAAAAAAAAAAGATAAGGTCCCCAGATGTTTTAAAACTACAGCTTCCATTATGCTTTGTCATTCTAAAGGCATGCAAAGCATCAAAGGAGTTGTAGTAATACAACGTCTGGGGATCTACCTTTTTGGGCACCCCTGCATTAGAGTGTTGCCTTTTCTGAATTAACTTCTAGATTTCTATCCAACCAAGAAAGCGTGAATTAGGTGAGTGACTTCTCGGTTGTTTATTTATTTATTTGTTTTTACTTAATAAATCATGTTATATACCCTGCATCTACATTGGACACATTCCTATTGTGAAAGGATTTATTAATATACTACAAATGATGTGTATATATACAGTGTCAAACCGGCTATAGCACGCTCCCTTACATGTGAGCTTGACCATTTATATACTGTATTACTGGAACCTGAGTTACGCTGTGAGCCGTTCTTTTTGATGCAAGCTGTGTAGGTCATGGACTATTGTGAAAAGTCCATTAGCCTTTTCCATTTCAGCCAAGTATATTAAATTAATATGTGAGGTATTTCCTTATGAGTTAACACTGTCTGTCACATATACAAGGTTGTCTGCGCTATTATATTGGTTATTTATTTATTTAATGGTGATTAGAATGACAAAATCATAGTGAAATACATATAATCTGGTAATTTTTGTGCTCCACCAATCTTTTTGCTTTGCTATTTATCTGTGTAGAGGTTTGATAGGGGCACGCACAGGTGTTTTTGAGGTGCTCACAACTTGTTGTTTATAACGAATTCTAGAGGGTTGAAAACTGAAGTGAAATTTAAATGTAAGGTCAATATTGCCAAACTAAAAAACTGTCCACTACGTATCCAGTTAATCTATTTTGGCCTTACAAGCTGCAACTCTAGTTGGGTTGTAGATTTTTAACAAATCACTATTTTTTCTTTACTTATTGGTCCCTAAGCTAGTATGCTCAGCATAAGAGCTTTAAAAGACAGAAAGTGACTATATGCAGTTAGTTAGTGTAAATACTATAAATTAAGAAATTTTGTATAAAGATCAGATACATTAATATTAACTTCGATTAATCCATTGTTAAGAGATTAGTGGATAATACTTTGATGATTTGATGAACCACTAGTCCATAAAAATTAAGTGGTTTAGTACATATTAATAGTAATAAAAAATTAATAAAAATATATAATCAATTTAAAAAAAAAATATAAATTATAAATATATAAAACTATTTACAAAATGCATATATCTTTATAAAAAGTGGTATGATTCAAAATCATCGGTGAGTCCATATGGTTGCATAGTGTTAAGATTAAAAATCCACTGCATCTCTTTGTCCGATTTAATTTAATTGGATCTCCGCCTCTCCAATTCCCAACTATTTTTTGAATTTACGTAAAATTCGTTAAGAGTGGATCACTGCTGGCGGTGATCCAATTAAATTAATCTGACAAATAGAGATGCAGTACATCCTGAATGTGGTAGATCTGTTGTGTTGTCAATGGATCCTATTAGTTGTTTTCTATATATACTCAGTACTCAGTGAGAGTGGACATCTGGAAAAATGCTTGATCGCTGTAGTCCACCTTTGGCTTAAAATACATTTCTCTCACTGATAAATGTTCAAATTTAATGATGTGCAAAATCTGCTATATACAAGGTAGTTACTTTATTACATTATAAACAGAAGCTCTGAACTTAGAGACAACATGCACAGTATGCAGTGCACAAAGTGTGTTGATTTTTATTCACGCATCATTAGGATTGGTCTTCTTGGGGAACATTACGTTTTTGACCAAGTCATGGATAAGGATTCAAAGTAAGCCAGATGGCCTGCAAGAGATCTCTTTTACGACCTGATGAGTCTTCACCATGGTTAACCTGATCTGCATGACATAAAGCAATGTAAACGTGTTGGAATGAAGAGTAACCTGCAGGAAGATAGATTGAATAATGTCTTCTTGCACACAGATCATTATAGAACCCAACAAAGTTTAAAAACATTTTTAAAAATTATACATTTTATTTAAAAAAAAAAAAAGTGACTTTATTTTGTTTCTTTTCACTTCAGTGCCCAAAATTTCTACTCACCACTAGCTGTTGGCAAATGAAAATTAAGCCTAGGTGAGTAAAAATTCATTGTTGATGATTGTGATATGCACCCTCTTGTTTTGCTTGCTAGTGGTGTAAGGCAGCCTTTAAATTTTATTTGCCACTGCAAGTTTGAAGGGTCTGTATTGCAATCATTTGGTATGAATTTCTACATGCCTAGGCTAAAGTTTTGCTAAGATAGCGATATTGAGATATTTTTTTTATATATATATATTAGAGCAGGCTTCCCCAAACTCCGGCCCTCCAGATGTTAATAAATAAATAAAATCTGGTAATTTTTGTGCTCCGCCAATCTTTTTGCTTTGCTATTTATCTGTGTAGAGGTTTGATAGGGGCACGCACAAGTATTTTTGAGGTGCTCACAACTTGTTGTTTATAGCGAATTCTAGAGGGTTGAAAACTAAAGTTAAATTTAAATGTAAGGTCAATATTGCCAAACTAAAAAACTTTCCGCTACGTATCCAGTTAATCTATTTTGGCTTTACAAGCTGCAACTGTAGTTGTGTTGTAGATATTTAACAAATCACTATTTCATTTTTTCTATATATATGGAGCAGATCCATATATATATTAGAGCAGGCTTCCCCAAACTCCGGCTCTCCAGATGTTGCTGAACTACAACTCCCACTCCCATGATTCTCAGCCTCTCTATTTCGTTCATAGAATCACGGGAGTTGTAGTTCAGCAACATTTGAAGGTCCGGAATTTGGGGAAGCCTGTATTAGAGAGAGAGCGATATCTCTCTCTATATACATAAATGTATTTTTTTTTACAGTGTTACAAAGTATGAAATTTAATATATAACCCCCCCCCCCCAGATGATGATATGACCTAATTGTTTCAGTCCCCCATTCTAATTATGTTGCTGCCCTCTGGTGCTGATAAACATGATGTTTTAGAGCTCTTTTATATTGCTTGAGCTTACAAAACGGATTATAAATGAATATAGGTTTTTTTATTTTTCTTTTTTTTTTTCAATTTACAACATGCAGTGATAGTGTCAATTTGTAAAATGTCTGTTCTTGATAAGTCTTGCAATCCATCTTGATAAGGGGTTAATACAGAGAGTAGTTAATAATTGCATGGGTCCCCCTGTGTCTTGCATTCCTGAAGTCACTGGTCACAGCCTGTGTCACAGTCTGAGAATGTGATCTCCTACCCAGCCTTGGGGACTCACCGCCTCCTACAGGAGGGAGGGAGCAGGTCCAGCTGTGGAGAGGCACTGGCCTTGGAAGTGGGAGGGAAAGCTTAATTTCAGGGCTGTGGGTGTAATCTCTCTGCAGCTGTTTAAAAATATATCTCTGCAGCATTGGCATAATGTGTGAGAGAGTGCAAGTAAGAGAGGGGGTCATTGCAGACAGGAAGAGGTGTCTGTGTGTAGAACGATAATGGTAATACAGACGTGTGTGTGAATGAAATGTATACAGTGCTTAGGACAGTAAGGCCAAAATAGAGTATTGGGGTTAATTCTGGGATTATTCTTTGGGAAGCAGTGGGACATGCATTTATCAGTTTGCTTTCAAACTGTTCTAAATCAGTGAAGTTGAATTTAACAGGGATGATTATAGACCTAACGGAGAGGAGTTTTTAAGTCCTGGCCATTTTATACTGGTAACAAAGAAACTGCTGGTAAAATACAGGCACATTGTGTGGATGAGACCGTGGTAAGGACATGGGGAGAATCCGCATGAATTTTAAATTGATAAAGGAAAAGAAGAGCACATCACATACAGGGTTTAATGAGAAAAAATTGTAGGAAGTTCAAAATGGAGAATATGAGGAGAGGAGGTCATAAGTCGAAATATGCAGCATGTGAATTGTCTCAATTTAAGAGGGAGCTGTATGTCACTGGAAATTACACCATCGATTGAAAATGACCTCCTATAAGTTGTGGACAGGGTTTTCTTATGTGATGCTTAGTATTTCTGTTAAAATGTGAAATGAAATAAAGATTAAGCAAGTTCAGTTCTGGTACAGTCTGGGAACACTAAAAATAAGGAGCAAAGCAGAGACCTTGTATTGTTTTATGCTCTTCTACCAAGTATGTTCAGTGACAGACATGGGCAACATTGACAGCAATGAGTGACAGAAAACCAAACTTTTATTTATTTTATAAATCCTCAAAACATATTTGCTATTTACAGTAAATGGTATATTAAAATCCTGGAAAAAGACTATTTTAAAGGGTTACTCTGATCTCTATGCCCACTTCTGCTTTTAAGTGTGGACATGGAGCAAGGGATCTGTATGTTCAAAGTTTCAGCTTGAAACCCCTCAATAGATCTGCACTTTTGTGTCCGGGTCTAGTTGCACCTCCAGAACAAATGACTTATAGGAACAGTAGACAGTAGTGTCAAGAATACAAATGCCCCTGTCCCCTCATCTATAAAAAAAATAAAAAAAATATGTAGTTTACTTACCTATTCCCAGTGTGGCATGGGTCAGTTTCTGGCTCTGCCCATGCTCCGCCTCCCGCCCAACGTTTTGATAATCTTTAAGCCGATTCCCTTTTATTCCAGAAATGTGGTCGTTAAGGGGTTAATTCTGAGTACAATTACAAAATACACTGGGAACAGACTATATATTTTATGTGTAAAGTCAGCAATTTGTCTCGGCTCCTCTTGCGCTTGTCTGAGCTCTCCTTGCTCTTTTCTATTCAACTTTTATTTCTTTTGAGTCTTTTCACACTCCCTTCTCCACAATCCAGATATTTTGTTTTCATAAACCCATTTTGTATCGTGCTTCTCTAAAATCTGACTTCTATCTTGCTTGGTCTCAAGAAATCTTCCATCCCACCATAGCGCTAAAACATGCATCTTGCTCTTGGGCTTTTCTCACTCCTTTCTTAACCTTGGCATTCATCTATTTCCCTCCCAGTTTTTGCTTCCCCTTTACCCTTTCCTCAAGCTCTGGAGTTTCTTGCCTAGGTCTCCAGAGATCTGTACCTATGACTCTACTGCAGCTCTTCCATTATCTCAATCACTCCCCTCTTAGGCCTACTTCCACTGCATGCTATTTCTATTATCTACTTTCCTGAAGGTCTATTATAATTTTTAAAGTCAATCCCCCTTGGTTCTATATATTGTCAAGGTTCACTAAAACCCAATATGTGGAACTTAAGTTAACAGGACTGCAAAGAGATAGGATGGTATATTACTGGATTTTAAAGTGGCCAGACTTAATGCAAAAGAGAATAGTAATACGACAGTATCAGAGAGTAATGTAATCAAATGGACAAGCCAAAGGCACAACAGAATGGAGAATGTTCAAGGTACAAGCCGAGGTCAACAAAGCCAAGATACAATAGCAAGAATAACGTGTTCTCGGACCACCACAAAGGGAAAACCACGACAGGGCGCAGTACTAAGGTTGAAACAAGCTCGTATAGCCTTAGGAGGGTTGACGTGATGTACTCACGTTTGTCGGTTACAGCAGAGGAGGGACTGGAGCCATATAAGGGCTCAGAAATACAGTGGCCCGCATCCGAAACTACTTCAGAGGAACAGAGAAATGCCCCATTGTACCCAGACACATGGTAATGCACCGTGACACATATCAAACCCAAGCTGGTCTCTTGCCCTTAACCCAACACCAGTTGCTTGCCTTATGAAACGGCTCTTTCCACTGGTGCCAGTGTCTCTTTAACGTCCTATCCAAATCCAAACTTCTCTTTTTATACTATTGGTGTCTTTCTTCACCTTTCAGCACCCTCTGAATCACCAGCCCTAATTTTATTTCACCTTCCCTCTGGTTTTGTTACGTCTTTACTTTCCTCCATATCTTAAATTCAGCACAATGATTCCTCTCTTCATCTACCACTAAAGCACATTGCTCTCTCTCTCTCAAGCTTTCTTTTCTTGGCCTCCATCCTAAATGACTTGCCCTGATATACAAAAGGGTTTTTGTCCCTGTACACATTTTGACGCCCGCTGTGGGACCAGTCCCCTCCCTTCATTAAAGACGACCACGCTGCTGGCAATGCTTCATGAAGACACTGTGAGATGTTTAAAGGCCAATTTGTATTACAACTTCAGAATAAGATCTTACAAGGAAAAGAGCTGTCAAGTTGGAAAACATATTGCTCTGCAAGAGGTAAATATTCGCTTACCTTATATTCTAGGTTTGTAAGGATTATTTCATCTAGATATTTAAAAATATTTTGTCTAACCAGCATAAACATTTCATTGCTGATCTGTAACTGCCGACCAAACAGATGTTTTTTAGAGAGCTTATATTAAGTATCTTACCTGCCGATGTGTGGGTTAAGAATCTATTAATATAATTCCATTGTTTGTGTTCCTTAATTGTACTGTTGTGGTACTTGAACATATCTGTGATGGATTTATATGTTTGTGGTTACCATCGTGCATGACTGTTTTAGCAAGTTCTTCAGCTGCCATCCTGGTAATAAACAAAACACATTAAATGGGGAACTATCACTTTTCAGGAAACGTAATATATTTATTGGTGCTTATATTTAAAGGGACACTATAGTCCCCCAGACCACTTAATCTCATTGAAGTGGTCTGTATGCAGTGTCCCTGTTCCTTTAACCCTGCAATGTAAAGCATTGTAGTTTTAGAGAAAGTGCAATGTTCACATGGCAGTTTTAAGACTGCCTCTAGTGGCTGTTTACCAGCTGTCACAAGAGATGCTTCCTGCAGCTTCTCCGTGAAACGGCGTTGGACGTCCACACGCTTTTGAATGAGGAGGTCGAGCGTGTTTAAAAACCCTATAGCAAAGCATTGAGTTAATGCTTTAATACGGGGAAGGCCTAATTCATGTGCTCATTAGGTTCCCCCATTGGCAAACATTGGAGGAGGACAAACCTGACACTTGGTCCTGGAATCAGGTAAGTGTTTAAAGGTTTGTTTAATCCTATTCGTGGGGGCAGAGGGACAATTTTCATGTTCGGAATACAGCGTAGTATTCCTAACACCATAATGAGAAGTTCAGAGAAATTGCAATTGTTTACGTTACAGGGTTCTAGTTGCTGTCTTCAGAGGGCACTGGACATTGGTAAGTGAGTGTGGGGGTAAGAAAGTTTTTTTTTTAACACTTTCATTGCCAGGTGGAGAGGCTGCAGAGGAACACTATGCATTAGGAATACAGTTTTTTATATATATATGTATGTATGTATGTATGTATATGTGTATATATGAAAGACGGTAGACCGCGCCAAAAGATGCTCAAAGTGAATGTGATAAAATAATGGTATATACATGCATATAGGCAATCCAATATTGTAACGGTGTAGATGACCCTCAAAGGAGATAAAAACAGAACAAAATAATAGTGCAGTTTGTCATATAAATAATTTTAACACTTGTATGTAAAACCAGATAAAAGACTAACCCACATTTTGCAGAGCTACTGAGAGGTCTACTGTATAGCGCCTGGATGGTATAATCCCCGTCCATCTGTTTTTAAAGACATTTTTCTATTTAGGAGTTCTTTTATTCTAAAGGTTATTCGGCATGACATATGGATTTGTAATGTAGGATGAAGCTATATATATTCATGCAGTAATTATCATTTTTGATAAATGAATTTCAGTAATCCAAGTTAAAGGATCACACTAACTATCATGACTACTTAAGGAATTTGAAGTGGTCATGGTGGTTAGATATGCACTGTTTCGTCGTGAAACTGTGTATGTGTAGATGCACTTGTCAAATGTTCCTGAACTTGCATTTATACCATTTTACACCAACACCTTTAAATGTTTTTTTAAAAAAAGAAGCAATATAAGAAATACATATACTTCCCTAGAGTCCCAGATTTGGTGTTGGTCTTGATTCGGTACCCTGTGTTATATTTTTGGTAATCCTACGTTTAGTTTAACCCCTTAAGGACACAATTTCAGAAATAAAAGGGAATCCTGACTGAATATTTCCATCATGTGCCTTTAAGGGGATAAAAAAAGAGAAATTGTGGTAATGAGATATTATGTATGTGTACTACTACATATGGCGGCGCAAGAACAGGCTTCTTTGTAATAAGGACTTAAAGGGACATTTAGTGTTTAGGAATGCATCTTTGTATTTCTAACAGTACTCCCTCTACCCCTGTCCATGAAAGGATTAAAATAAAAACACAATTCACTTACTTGATTCCAATGGCCCTCTGTACTGGATCGTGCCTTCCCCTTAATGCGTGTGTCGCAATGCTTTCCTTTGGGGAAATGCTTGACGCTGGGCATCCTGATGCAAAGCGCGAGGACGTCCAGCGTCAAACTCCATGTAACTGCTGGAAGTAGCTCTAATGGCTTTGTAATAGAAGGCCACTAGAGAGGCAGTCTTAACTTTTGCAATATAAGCATTGTAAACATGTTTTTTTCTAAAACTACAGTGTTTTACATTGCAGGACCAAGTGGGAAAGGGACATTGCGCCGAGACCACTTCAATGAGATAAGGTGGTCTGGGTGCCTATTGTCCCTGTAATGATTACTATTACTTACATTGCTATAGTAGTATGTGTGTGCATTTACTTCAGTTGACTTTTTAGGCTACATTGGATTGGATAATTCAAGTTTAAAAAAATTAATTGCTTCATTTTAATTTTAATTTTAAAACAAAATTATGATGGAAACTAGAACGCATGCTATAGAATGAAAACTGAGAAAGAGATTATCTGAGACTCCTGTAACATTCTTGTATTTGAAGCAAAATCTTCATTTGTATATGTTTGGGTTTTAAGAAGGGGGAAGGAGCCTTTGTGAAAATACAACCCTCTAATTTCTTTGCCAGGAAAAATAAACACACAATAGGATAGGGAGGAGTTATAACGTTACAGCAGGAAGTGCTGCTGGCTTGGGGGGTCTTCAAAAAAGAAAACGAATATCCCCACACACATACACATTTATATACACACACACACACATGCAACCCCCATAATGGTGCCTCAAAGATGCAGCGGGGGAATTGAGGAATTTCGGCTAGCAGAGTTCCTCTGACCACACAGCAAAACCCCTTTCCAGCACATCATTCCTCCATTTAAATTAGCCTTTTCTATTCACTTTACTCTTTAATTTTCCAAAACGTAAACTTGTAAACCCTAAGTTGTAACAAACCTTTGTCACATTCCAATCAGAACCATTACTGCGTTCGATAAATTTTTATATAAAAGTGTATTTAATCTTACCAGTTCTACAACATCCCTTTCCTTTTAAAAGATAAAGGGATTTAGGTATTCAAAATAAAATTTGATGTCCTTTTTTACAGTCCTGACAGAAACTAGGAACAAATCAAAGCTTTCAGAGGAAAAAAAACATGTTTAAGGCATTGGTAACCTGAAATGAACTTTGCCTTAAAATTTTACTTCTGTCATCAGGGCAAAGCACCCAATAAATAGTAAGGGTGTTATATATATTTTTGTACTTTTCAGATACACCCCATAATATTTAAAAGGGATATGTGCATTTAACACACTTTAATTCATTGTGTAGGGCCATGGTATCCTGTTAAAATTTTAAGAGAGAGAAAAAAAGTTTTAATAGATAAAATATAGATTTTCTAGTCAGACATTTTTAACCTGTGCATGTACATTATTACTCTATTTAAAGGGACACTATAGTCACCCAGACCACTTCAGCTCAATGAAGTGGTCTGGATGCTAGGTCCCTCAGGTTTTAACCATTCACATGTAAACATAACCGTTTCAGAGAAACTGCTATGTTTACTGTAACGGAACTCCCCATTCTCCGACTGAGTACCTTCCATTGATGGACGCTTCCTAGCTTGCGCCGAGGACGACAAGCACCGCACTGGACACCACAACCACGGCAGACTCCACAACCGCCGTAGCTTAACTGGAGTCTCGCCGTCTTCCTTCCACCCTGGATCAGCTTCTGTCCTCCTGGACCGTGTGGGAAAGACCTCTTCCTTCCACCCTGTATGAACCTCCAGCATCCAGGACTGTGTGGGGAAGACCTCTCCTCCAGGAGAGTGTATCAGAAACAGCTCTTAGAAGAGCTAGGTGATTTAAAGCTCAAGGGAGTATGCAGAGCATATCAATCCCCAGTGTGATATAGCAGAAAATATACAGTTTTACACAATTCTTATAAATTTAAAAGTATACATGCAATATTAATAAAAGTCCTTTAAATATAAACCTACTCAAAAATCATAAAAATCCGTCCAGTAGTTCAAAAGTTAGTCGGACATCCTTTATGAGCAAGCACATTTTCATGCTCAAAACAGTTCTATGGATTTGGGCTGTGCGGTCGGAGTGTTCGAATCTTCTAACGTGACTTAGTCTCCAGCCACAGTGTCGAAGTGAAGAAGAAGGTACGGGTCAGCGGTGTTCGTGCAATTGGGTAGCCGAAAACCGTTCCATAGATTTGGCTGCACACACCTCTGACCGCGTTTGTCGAATGGTGCCCACTTCGACTACTTCGGCACTTCGGATGTATCCGAAGTGCCAATTTAAAGTTGCAACACTGCTCCAAAGTACTTAAAGGGCCAGAAACAGCATTCTGAAAATCCATTATGCCCAAATCCAGTTCTTAAAGGGTCAGTAACAGTATAATATAAGTCCATAAGCCCCAACTCAGTTCCTTAAAGGGCAATACATCCCAGGGGCCATAGTCACATGGCAGGAGACTGGCAATCAGTCCTCTCCAATGCCCAGTGGCAAATGGCAGTTTGTCCCATTTACATTTGGGGTTAATCCAGCCTCTAGTGTCTTTCTTCCGAATTTTGCCTCCATCGCGCAGAGCGTCCATAGGAAAGCATTGAGAAATGGACACTTTGAATGCGTGCGGCAGTTGTCGCACATGCGCATTCGGCTCCATTGACGTCGGACGGGGAGGAGAGGTCACCACCTCCGAAGGAGCCCGGCGCTGGATTAAGGTAAGTGGCTGAAGGGGCTTTAACACCTTCAGCGCCACGCAAGGTGGACCCTGAGGGTGAGGACAGCCTCATGGCACTATAGTGTCAGGAAAACCGCTTTGTTTTCCTGACACTATAGTGATCCTTTAAGATAAATCTGTGCTTATAACTATTTTTGTTCTGTGTGTTTGTTTATATGTTATATGTCTTGGGCATTAGAGGTGTGTTAACCCTATAAAAATTAAAAGGTTAAACGTACAGGGCCACTGCATGCAGACCATTTCAATGAGATGAAGTGATCTGGATGACTTTACTGGTCCTTTGAGGGACCAGCAAGGAAATATAGTTGTCACAGTGCTATGGAATTTCCTGATGCTATGTAAATAATAAAATAATCTGTAGAGTGATTTGAAAGTTATGCAGGTAATACTGTAAATTTACCACTATAAACGCCTGTGGTATTGGGATAAGTTGCCAGTAGAGTTTTCAGAGCTCAAAGTTGACTGTTCTAGTATCAGGGCCAGTGGAAGACTTTTTTCCGCGCTAGTCAAGACCACCAAGTCAACCTTCTTAATGATGCGGACTTCGTTTCTAGCGCGCCAGCAACTGAACGGAGTGGCGTCACTCCCTTCCTATACCTCCTAGCCAGCACTAGCATGCACTGTGGTTGCTATGGGTGGAGATCAGAAGGATCTGCCAAGAAATTGAGAGACAAATGGGAGAAAAAACTATTTTTAAATAGGTTTTTCCTCCCACTCTATATATTTTCTAGCAAAACTGCTAGAACCATGTATAAATGGAATTAAATGATCTTTTTAAAGAGCTAAAGTTGTTTTGGGCCGCGATGGCCGTGGGGCCGAGGCCGGCAGGGGAGATCACAGGATCTCCCCGGCCGGCCCCTGCAGGGCCATCGCTATCCGAGCGCCGGCCCTGCTGTGTGCCTCCATGGGCCGGTGGGGAGATCAAAGATCTCCCTCACCGGCCCAGAGACACTGTTAACAAGCAGCTCCGCCGGGTCCTCTCGCGGGATCCTGAGCGTTGCCGCGGTTACCACGGCAACGTTCAGATCTTCCGAGAGTGAACTCTAGCCTGCGGGTTAGAGTTCACTCTCACCGCTGGACCACCAGGGAAGGATGGCAGCACGGCCCCCCTCAAGGCTCCCCCTCCCAGGCAGAACGGCTCCCTCCCCCTCCCAGGCTAAAGGTAAGAAGGGAGGGGGGGACATAACTTTTTAAAAAAATTATTAATAAAAAAAAAAAAGTAAAATAAATTCCCTAACAGCCCCCTCACACACACAGCCCCCTCACACACAGAGCACCCCACAGACGCACAGAGCACCACCAGACGCACACACCACCCCCAGACAGACAGCACCCTCACTCCCACACATATACAGCACACACACACACACATATATATATATATATATATATATATATATATATGTATATATTATATAAAATAACCCTCAGTGAGTTAACAGACAAAGAAAACACCCTCACACACAGCACCCCTCTTACACAAACACACTGCGCACCTCACACATACAATATGTCCACATAGATAGATATATATATATATACACACACACACACTACAGCACCTCTCACACTGCACCACTACACACATTACGCTCCAGATACACGCTAGATCCCTTACCCTATATGCACTCTTAATCCTCTACACAGACACACACACAATCTTCTATACACACTCTGGGTCCCTTACACACTAGATCTCTTACACACACACACTGCACCACCTACACACACACTACATTCCTTGTAAGCAAACACATACAACATTCTCTAAACACACCCTCTCTACAACCCCTACACACACTACGTCACCTATACACACACTACTGCCCGTATGCACACACTCGCTACATCCCCTATAACACTATGCCCCTATACATGCACTCTCTACAGCCCCTAGCCACACATATTACACCACAAAATTGACCTATTTACACAATACCACACCACACTCTACACACAGGCAATCCCACAAGCATGCGCCAAACACATGCACCATACACTTTCCTGGCCCTTTTGTCCTCTGGTATCCCACTTGTGGAGACACCAGAGACAATTTAAAAGCAAACACAGCGCAAGCATGTTATTACATTTGCTTGTGCTGCGCAGAACAAATACAGGGCCTTTTTCTAATGCTAGAGCTCTTCAGCGGGGCTCTGCGCATTGAACCAACATGCTCATTTTCAGAGGGGGCGTACTTGTCATTACTGATGACAAAACACACCCCCTCTGGCCCGCCCCCTTCTTGGGGGGCCACTCTAATTGAAAAATGCCCGGGCCTAATTTTTTTCCCAGTCCGGCCCTGCTTCCTACTATTTATCCAGCGCATGAGAATGAGGTGTATGCTTAATTAAATGTATGGCAATTAGTAATGGTAGGTAGCGTCATTTATGGCATTATTAACCAGGCAGAGATCACCACAATGCCACTGCAATTCCCAGACAGATGTGGTAAAAAGTTAGTTATAGAATGTGAATGAATGATGACATTTCTCGACTGGTCCTGTGAGTTGTCAAAAACTTCATGAAATTGAAGTCGCTTTGGAAGTGCTTTCAAAGAGTGAGTTTACATGTGGCAGGCCACTTGCTTCAGTTAAAGGGACACTATAGCAATACAAAGCCTGTGCCTTTTTCTTTTTGACTCCTCTCCAGTATAGTGTGATGTACAATGTAAACTAAAAAGTATTTACTGTCCTTTTCTCCAGCGCCGAGTCTCCCTCAGGACTGCTCTCCGCTCTTACTTAAGTCTTCTTGGATGCACCTATGGTTCTTTCGTAGAAAATCATTGTGTGCTGCGATTCTCTATGACAGAACGTGATGGCAATGCCCATGTGCACGTGACATTGCGGTATGCCCGGGTGTCCGTGCCCAGAAGTAACAGTCCCAGCTCTCTTACCCAGCAGTGATACCAGTGTTCTCATATTGCCCATTATATAGGGCCACCTTTTAACAGTAGTGCAGGGTAGCCTTTTGCATTTATTTATTTTTATGCTGTTAGACTTTTAATGGTGGTGTCCAGCGTTTGAAGATGAGAATATTTGTTCCCTGGTTGACCATCTGCTTTTTTGACCTTGCCTATCCCAACTTCTGACCACCCTCCCTCCCTCAAAAAAAGCCCAGCATTCTGGCAATCATGTGAATTAGAAGATACAAGGTATTTGGATCCTCCTTTTTTTATTATTTTATCTTAAACATTAAAGATTAGCACCTCAAACCCAGGATGCATATCTCCATTCACGCGTACATTCCATTCATCTGGCTAATTTATTAATATGTCTGGTACGCTAGTCTGACAGAGTAGCTGAGTGACCTAATGAATGTGACCTCTTCAGTAGGTCAGTCTCATCTAGCAGTAAATATTTGAAACAATTCATCCCTTGTTACAGGAAAAGAACTTGTAAAGTGTATTTGTGTTTGCAACCTAATGATATGTGAGAAGCATTCATAATTAATTTAACTGAGCACTCCAGGCTTTTAATTTTAAGTATATGTGCCCTCTGTCACTTAACTTTTTTTTTTTTTGTATTGTTGAATATTTATTGTAAAAACTGCAATAAAAGGATTAAACACCTGGAACCCAGTCTCGTTCCAAATTCTCTGTGATCATGTCCTATGTCACACTGCAGCATCCTCCTTTTTTTTTTCTTTTTTTTTCTTTCATCTGTGGTCCAATAAAATGTTTCTCATCGATCACTGAATCCTTTAATGTGCATGCGCACTGTGTTCATGTTCACAAGCAGAATATGGCCCAAGTGACCACTCCTCTTGCAGCTAAAGCTGTTGAAAGGCTGTACAAAGGGTGTTGAGAGTAAACAAGGGGCTGGCTGGAGGGAGGATAGGCTTCTACTTGCAGGTGTGCTCACAGAATCTAATTAATCTAGTTATTTTTTATTAACACAAATCTCCATACAATACAAACCATATCCAAATATCCACTTTGGACTTTGCTCACCCTAGGAAAAAGCTTTGCCAGTTGTGAGTCACATTTTGTTCTACAGAGTATTACAGTAACACTATAAGGTTAGGAACACAAAACACCCCCCTCTAAATATAGTAAAATCATACCTTTATTCTAGGGATCGACAGATTAATGATCTGGCCGATATTCTGTATTTTCGGCAATATCGCTATCGGCAAATATAGATACCGATATTGCCGATAATACATACCAGGACCGCCGGCCCATGACAAGCCCGGTGGTCCTGGGGGGCCAAGCAAGCTCTTACTTGCTTTCTTAGCTGTTCCCTTCAGCTCCCCTGTGTAAATCTAGCGAGTCCCACGGCCGTCAGAGCGTTGCCACGGGTTACCATGGCAATTCTCTGTGCGGCACGCTAGCCGCAAGATTTACACAGGGGGGTTGAAGGGAAGGGAAGTAAGAGCTTGCTGCGGGCCCCCCTTCACAGTCCATGCCACTGGGCCAGCAGGGAATGCCATATCCCCCCTCCCTGGCCAACTAAGAATCAGGGAGGGGGGACTAAAATAAATAAATTAATATTTAAAAATAAAATAAAAAATAATTTAAAAAATTGCCTCCCCTCCCATTTTACACAAATTACATACCTACACACACACACTCACACTCTGCATTATAAAAACACACTACACAAATACACTGCATTCACTATACACACACTACACAAACCCACACTCTGCATTCATGATATATATACACACACACACACACACACACACACACACACACACACACACACACAGCATCCATTATATATACTCACACTGCATTCATTATATACACAAACTACACAAACACACACTCTGCATTCATTATATACACAAACTACACAAACACACACTCTGCATTCATTATATACACACACTACACAAACACACACTCTGCATTTATTATATATATACACACACACACACACACATACACTCTGTATTCATTATATAGACACTACAAAAACACACACTACACACACACACACACACTGCATTCATTATATACACACACTGCATTCACTATACACACTACACAAACACACACACTCTGCATTCATTATATACACACTACACAAACACACACTCTGCATTCATGATATATACACACACACATTGCATTCATTATATACACACACTACACAAACACATCCTGCATTCATTATATACACATTTTGCCTTCAATATATATATATATATATATATATATATATATATATATATATACACACACACACTACACAAACATTCATGATATATGCATTCATGATATATACACACACACATTGCATTCATTATATACACACACTACACAAACACATCCTGCATTCATTATATACACATTTTGCCTTCATTTTATATATATATATATATATATATATATATATATATATAATATACAAACCCACACTACACAAACATATATATATAACACACACTACACAAACACATCCTGCATTCATTATATACACATTTTGCCTTCATTATATATATATATATATATATATAATATACAAACCCACACTACACAAACACACTCTGCATTCATTATATACACACTACACAAACACTCTGCATTCATTATATACACACTACACAAACACTCTGCATTCATTGTATACACACACTACACAAACACTCTGCATTCATTGTATACACACACTACACAAACACACACTCTGCATTCATTATATACACACTACACAAACACACACACTCTGCATTCATTGTATACACACACTACACAAACACTCTGCATTCATTGTATACACACACTACACACACACTGCATTCACTAAACACACACTACACAAACACACACACTCTGCATTCATTATATATACACACACTGCATTCACTAAACACACACCACACACACACACTCTGCATTCATTATATATACACACACACTGCATTCACTTTACGCACAATACACAGTCACTGGTGACTATAGGTTCCCTTCAGCTATTAACTGTTTAACCAGCACCAGAAGTGTTAAAATACAGATATGGCACTAGCTGTGTCTTTGCAGAGATTAGATAAGTGATAATCACTAGTATACACATGAGATAACTTACCCTCCATAAACTTGTCAAACTGCCTATTTATCTTCACATTTGTAGGGAATGGCTGACAGCATTCCTCGTATTTTACTTGGAATAGGGATTTAAACTCCCTTGGTGTCACCATATTTTACCATTCCTGGTTTCATACTTCCCATAGTTGCATAACTACCGTATATACTCGTGTATAAGTCGAGTGCAGTTTTGTGACCAACAATTGCGAAATATGCAATGCATAAAACTTGGGGCTATGAAATTCTGTGATTTTTATAATTTTGTCATATTTTTCCTAGGTAAGATCCTGGAACATAATCCTATATATAATGCAGAGTGTGTGTTTGTATGAGTGTGTGTGTTTGTATCTTAATCCCTGGTGGTCCAGTGGCATGGGCTGGGCAGGGGGGGGAGCCGGCAGCAAGCTGTTACATACCTTTGTAGCAGCTCCAGTCAGCTCCCTTCACCTCCGTGCAGCTCCCCTGTCAGCTCCCAGTGTAAATCTCGCGGTCTGCGTGCCGCGAGGAGCGTTGCTACGGTAATCTGTGGCAATGCTCTGACGGCCGCGGGTGTCGCGAGATTTACACTGGGAGCTGCACGGAGGTGAAGGGAGCTGACTGGAGCTGCTACAAAGGTATGTAACAGCTGCTGCCAGCCCCCAACAGGACCGCCGGGCTTGTAATGAACCTGGCGATCCTGCTCTGTATTATGGCAATGTAAGTTGCCATAATACAGACCTTGACTCGAGTATAAATCGAGTGGGGCCTTTTCAGCACAAAAAATGTGCTGAAAAACTCGACTTATACTCGAGTATATACGGTACAAACTGTCCTGAATTTGGGGATTCTGTGCTACATCTCTAGGCTGTTAGCTCGTTTGAGCTCGGTCCTCATAAACTTATTGTTCTTGTAACATTTTGTATTGTTAAACTTCCCCCTTTTATAATATTGTATAGCGCTGCAGAAAACAAATTGGCGCTCTATTAAGGCCAATAAAAGTTAACCACAACATCTGGGGATAACTGGTAATATCCCCAATACTGCAGTATATATGCATCAGGTGCACTCTTCCTGCACGGTGTGCAGTCTTGGGGCATTTCTGGGAGTGCTGTTAGTGCCCGTATGTAGCCTTCTTTATACGGGATGTGATTAGCCACAGTGCCTGTCAGTCAGCCTGCTTGCCCATCTACCCTGCTGTCCTGAATCCCTACCTCCTGTTGTTGGGAGGTGTGATTCAGGGTTATGAGGTTGTGATAGGAAATACTTAGGGTCAATTTTATTATGATGTTTTATTTATTTTTTATACCTGAAGCTCTGCTGTGGGCTATAAAAGTGGCTCTGGCACCTTCTGGGGTTTTAGCATAACTTGTAAAGCCCCTAGATGGTGACTGCTCCGCTTGCATTCCGGTTTCTGAGGGGTGCAGATTATCTCCCTTTTTGCTTACCAGAGCCTGACTCAGACACCATCTTTTTCCACAAGATGCTCCGTAGCGAGGCCGCTGGATCCTCCATAGAAAGCCTTTATTTTTTAATTTTTTTCCCCTATCCCTTAACTAGTCACAGCTGAAGGCTTGATAAAATCGAGGCTTCACCTTTTGTCAAACGTAGGAAAGATACATAAAACAAACGAATCGCTCCATTTTCTTATATCTTTTCTTGATTGGAATTTCAGTGAACAGTTATTATAGGCATTTCAGAAAGTTTTCTATCTTAATGAAATGCTCATTTTCTATTTTGGGGGGAGGTGCCAGAGCTGCTTTAAAATGCTGTTCATAGAGATAGATTGCCTTTAGTACAAATGATGTTGTACTTGTGGAGCCACGACAAGATTTCGTACGAAGGTATTATACCCCCTGTCAATTTTTTAATTTATTTTTTTGTGCATAGTTGACCCTCTAGCCAACCTTCTGCACTAATGCATAATTTTACCACCTGACATGTTTGTAATATGGACAACCAACATGTGCAGTGGTATAGGTAGCCATTTTATATTAACCATGATTCCATCACCCATGCTATGAGGAAAAAGGGATGGGATTTTATTTTTATTTTTAGACCGTTCTATGAATACCTTTAGAGTTTATTGCTTAAAGGATCACTATAGGGTCAGGAAAACAAACTTGTTTTCCTTACACTATAGCATCCTTAGGACCCCCCTACCCTCAGGGTCCCCTTCCCTTGGCGCTGAAGGGGTTAAAACCTATATGTGAAGTAGATCCTAGCCGACACCACAGGAATTCCAAGCCGGACAGACGGACCATCCAAGTATATCCGTTAGTGGGGATCAAACCACTAAGTGCCTCTTTTCCCAGAGCTGGCAATAAGCTCCACCAAATGTGAGTGAAATATATTTCCTTTGATTATATACCACATCAGGACCAACAATATTTCACCATAGGCAGCTTTCTTTCTTGTTTTTTATCTTCACATATATGGACTACCTACCACACGGACGGAGCCATACTTGAGGATTAATATCGTGGTACTGCATATCAGTGAGACTGTTTTTATTCTATATTTTTAAGAAAATCCGGATGAACTTTATTTGATTTTATTATTGTTGTTTATTTTATCAATACACGATCTTATATATTTCAACATATCTGTTTTACCTAAGCGCAGCCCTTGACCCCCTCTTTTTTCTTATTTATTTTATGACCTGCACAGTTTATTTAATTCTGGCCTCTAAAATGATTGAAATAAATAATTTCAAAACCTCTGCCAACTAAAGTACCGGTATGTGTGTGGTTTACGTTAAAAAATGTCTACGCATAACTACATGCAAAGAAAGGTATTTTGTGAAGAACTGTACAGCTGTTTCATTAAGCGGTTTGACGCACAATTATAAGATCAGAGGAGAGGTTTTTGTACAAAGCTTTTAATGCAGAAGGTTTATTTTTTTTCTTTTCTTTAGATAATTGGATATACATTTTTCAACATTAAAAGAACTGATTATAAAAAAAAAAGTTCAGATTTGGAACAGGGCTATATGCACTGTTCATCAAAACGTCCCTTTAAGAAACATATTTTCGTTCGACATGAAAACCATTTCTATTGTTTTAGCTGATGCTCATTAGACATGTGGACGCGTTTAAAGCTACATGATAGATTCGCAAACAAATTACTGAAAATGTCTAGTAAAGCAAATGGTTCCTTTTACATAAGAATTCCTTGGAGTAGAAAAAAAGGAAAAACAATAACATCTGGCAAGATATCTGTAAATAGTTTATAATATTCAGTGGTTAACCTCTTATGGTTTGCTAATTTCTTTGAATTCAGAGATGTTATTGTGTTTCACATAGCCTGTCTAAATATCTCTTTTCGGGATTTCATTTTGTGGAGCAGATCATAGAGAATGATTCACAGCAAAGGGTTGGATTTTTGTTTTTGACTTAAAGGAACATTGTAGGGTCAGGAACACAAACATATATTCCTGACCCTATAGTATTAAACCCACCATTTATGTGGCTTCCCCTTGCTCATCCCCCTTAAAATTTACCTTATTCCAGCGCTGTGCTGGCCCCGCCCCGATACACCTCCTTGATGACATCAGCAGAATTGCCAATTTTTAGCCAATCCAATACTTTCCCTATAACTAAGATCGTCACAGTTCTGGCCAATCAGCACCTCCTATAGAGATGCCTAAGGGCAACGGCCACAGCTTTTATTAGCAAGCCAGCATAACATTAACAACTGTCAGCTGCTGGACTTTCCCAGCAGATGGCTAACCATAACTTTATTCTTCCCGAGCCTCTTTAGCCTGAAGTCCGTTCTCAACCAGATCAGGCTGCGACTCCAAGCCCCTCCGGGCAATGATCTCAGTTCCACTTGTAGGCGAAGGACAAAACGCAGCTGTGACAAAATAAACAGAAACAACACCAAACACATCTCATTCAGCAATAACATCCCATTTTCACACCAACCCAGGGAGGGTAGGCGGGAAACAGCACTGCCAGGTTCACTCAGCGTGCTCTCCAGTGGTCTGGTAAGTCTTTTTCCCAGTGTCCCTGGCCCTGGTGCATCTCCAACATTGTATCCCTTGTTGCTATGCCAACCTCTCCGGGCAGCAGTCATGCTCCCCGCTCCTTATCCACTCCGGGGGTTGGCCTTTCTATTACTCTATTATTTGGCTTCGAACCTTATAACATGCTGGATTAGAACAATTGATGTCCTTTTATTTTATATTCTTTTTTTTTTAAGTGGCAGGTAGCAGTAAGACAAAGGGTAAATATATAGTGTGGAAGGAAGATCCGATTTTGAGGAAAGATTTGTGGTGAGACAGATTTGTTGTAATGTAGATCAGATGAGGGATTTGGTCGCTTTTATTTTGAAGAATAATAAGGGGGTAAGTGAGAAGTGATGGAGGCATCAACTGGAAAGTGATATGCAGATTATTATTATTATTTTTTTTTATTTGTATTTTATTAGAGTTTTAAGGCTCAAAATACATCTGGATCGCAGTATATAAAAGAAAATAACATAGTGACATAAAAGCAATAACACAATATATTTACATTAGGTGGCACTGGTGTCATCAGTCGTCTGTGTGGGTCCTGGGACTTGCGTCAGCTTAACCATCCTCGCTGATTGCCTACATGTTAAACGGGGTATGTTGGGCTGTAGACCCAGCATACTGTCTGGTTGTCCTGAATGCGTATGAGAAGGCTCCTGGTATGGCAAGTGTCGCCAGTATGTGTGGTCCGAATTATGTCTTTTGAGTTCAGAGTCTGTCTGTCTTCCTTGGGGGTCTCTACTTCAGTCGCTATCCCCATATCTTCCTGTCACCTGTGATCACAATCCCCCTAGCAGTATCCAGGGATATCGTCTGGCACTGCGTGAGTTGTGCCACGAATATATACTGTACTATGTTGCTTGGCTTTCATTTGTACTCAGCCAGACTTTATTAATGGCACGGAGTGCCCCGAGTTTAGGCAATAGGTCCTGGGACCTGACGCTGTGCGTAGACCGTAACTGATATATATGCAGATTATTTTAATCTTTATTTTAAACAAAAATACTGTTCCCTGACTAGTTGGAGATCCTAAACAGTGAGCTTTTTACTTATATCTCAGGTAAAAGTGACTTCTACATCTTCTTTCTATTGCATGTGCCTACATGTATTGCTTTGACTTGCAAAGCATGTACTTATCAACTCATTAAAATTCAATTAGGCCAAAAGGAGATTGTCATTCTGGGACAGCAAGGGCCCCCATTTCACATGCACTCTTATCTGATATTGACAGATGCAGCAAATTATTGCATTCCTTACCTTATCCTTCTCACAAATTATAAACTGATTTTATAAAGTAGTGATGAGTCAGGTCATGCATAAAAAATTTCCATGACTGTTTTTTTTTTTTTTTTGCATATAAGCAAATGGTTCTGACCCTACACCTATATATTATAAAAAAAGTTTTACTTTATGTTTACTTTGAATAGTGTTACTTTTGTTGTTATCAATTGATGTGGTACATTCTGGATGAGTGACTTGAATGCCTCTTTTTTTTTGTTTTGTTATAGTCTATATCTCTTGAACAATATGTGGTGAGGGGGGAGGGGAAGGAAATGCATGCTTGCTCATGGCATTCTTTATACAGATGCAGGCATAAGAGTACTTCAGTGAGTGTAATTTTTTTAAAGGAACACTATTGCGTTAGGAATACAATCCTGTGTTCCTAACATCATTGAGCCTCTGTTCCTAGTTATATTCATGTCCACCCCCCACCACCCATAACATTTTTAAAAATAATTTTACGTACTTCTTTCCTGCGCAGAGAATTGTTGACCTCTCCGCCTCCTGCAACATAATAGAGGAGGCGGAGACATGATGTGCATGCGTGGTAAGCCCCACATGCACATCCAGAGCTTTCTTATTGGCTGCAAAGTCTAGTGCAGCAAAGCACCTGTGCAAAATGGCAATGCTTTAACTTGAAGGGTTAAATGTACAGAACACCCCAGGCACCAGTATAACTTTAAGGAATATTAAAGTAAAAGCTGCTTTGTCACCTTCTGGGATCTTTCAATATTTTACAAAGACCCCCATTGCTGCTTCCATTGCGGTGGCACAGGGCTGGGTTTTATTCACATGAACCTGTGCCTCGTGACTGCCTCCATTTTCTTCCATGGGATCCCACATTAGTGCTGTACACTTGCTCATGCACAAGAGTACAACACTGATGTCTATGAAGGATCCCACAAGGCTGTGGGAGCCTCTACAGACCAAGCCCTTGTCTACTTGGTCATCATTAATGACCGCTCGGGGCTTGACAAAGGAAGCTCCTCGTTTTAGTCAAGCATAGGAAAGATACCTACGTTGTTTTATAAGCTCTTCTGACCGAGCTGGAATTTTAGTTAAATTCCAACGCAGTCTATGTGAGCAATTAATACAGATTTTATCTTTGTTTTGTTTTTTTTGTTTTTTTTTATAGTATGGGGGATGGAAGAGCTGCTTTAAAGGGCTATGTCACAAACATTTCTTGTAAATAAACTAATTTTTTAATAAAACAATATGCCTAACAGACATAATTTCTCTAACCAAGCTACAGTACTTTAAGTTATAAGTAGTAGATTGCATTGTGGAGGTAGCCATGCTGGCATTACATCATAACATTCAAACTTCAGTGGGAGTTGTTTTTTTTGGAAACTTTCTAAAATAAACAAAGTCTTGCAGCAACCTATCTGGATTTGATATTTGGGGAGTATCTCCCAGCATTTCAGTGGAAAAAGAGAGGGTCATGAAACATGAGACGCTGAAATGCCCATAGCAAGCTTGGATGAACATGTGGCGCATGCACATCAGATCTCCAGTGTTTCTCCATGAGGAACATTTGATTGGACCATTGTGGGAGGTATGTTTTGCTTGCGCACACGAGGGGGCCTATGCAACTAGGGACAGTGACACTAAAGCGTTAGAATTCAGGTTTGTATTCCAAATTCTTTAATGTACCTAATAACTGGGTATCCTGTACCCAAGTCAATCACTCATATTTCATCAACCTTAAAAGGAGGAAATACTTCCTTCACACTGCTAGGAACATAATCTGCAGGTCTGAGTTATGGGAAGGTTCTAGATTTGTTGAATTAAACCAATGAGCCAGGCCTACTGGCCCAAAAATCTTGCACCCTATATACTGATCCATTAAGCAGATGATCCTAGATCAGATGTCCCATCCTGAATCTGAATGCAGTCCGCATAAGATGTATAATGGCATTTGTGTGTGTTTGTTTTTTTGTAACACCGTATAATATTTTGGGACCCTTATTAAAAAAAAAAAAAAAAAAAATGCAATAAATCGGACAATAAAGACAAATAACACCACTCACACACCTAACCATTTGTATATTGACTGTTTTCCAGATGGATGTAAAATACAGTTACTATGCAAGTGTGTGTGTGTGTGTGTGTATATATATATTGTGTGTGTATATATTGTGATCCTTGTTTGCAGATAGCACGGTCCTCTAGGGTAAACAACAGGCACAGTCCTTTGGTTTTCATATAATCCAGGCAATTTTATTGGTAAGTCCACACAGCAACACAACTAAAACATAAATATAACAGGTTTCTCCTTTAAACAAAAACCTAGCTCGTCTGAGCACTGACTCACTTTTAATATCCCTTGGTTGCACCAACCTTATTAGATAGCAACACGCTGCTCTCCTTTCTGCACTCCAGTGCTCTCAGCTAGCCTGCTGCTTTCCTTTCTGCACTCCCAGTGCTCCAAGCCAGCCTTAACTGCTTTCCTTTGTGCACTCCCAGTGCTCCAAGCCAGCCTTGACTGCTTCCTTCTGCACTCCCAGTGTTCAGTCTCCTTGACTCTCTCACAGGAGAGAACAGCGTCTCTCCTACCTGCTTCCAGGACGGAAGCCAGCAATCCCCCCTTTACCTGCCTAGCAGGGAGGGGTTTATTCCCAGTGCTACAGCTGATTATCTGCAGTTGAGCAGTGGGTTGGAGACAGCTCAAAACTCTGACCTGGAACTTATTTCTCCCAGTTGTATGCAAACTGTGGAGTGGAGCATTGGCCTACCCTGCTCTCCAAATGCTCCACCCCAGGGGCCCATAACTAAGCTTTGGTTTGTGTTCCCTACAACACATACTACACATACACCCCCTGGGGTTAAATGTTATAGGCCTCTCTGCCTTCACTTTATCACAATATATATACACACACACATGCATACATACAAACACCATTAAGTGTTGGTGTTTCACTATGAATTTCAGACTGATTTATATAAAAGATATACCTTTTAATACATATTCATTTTCTACATAATCTAATTCAATTCATTTTTTCTTAAACCTGCTTTTGATTAGGCAAAACATTTGTATTTTCTTACTTGCCTGGAGCATTGGGCATGTTGCGTATAGTCTGTGCATGCAATTAGTTCTGTCCTGGTTAAAGGGTTAATAAAGCCCGTTTCATGCACTGTAAGAGCTCTGGATTTTGATCTATGGCTGCTTTGACAGAGTGCTGGAATCTCATCCATTAAAGCTGGTTTAGCATTTTTGGCTTTGAATCACTCCAAACAACTTAGCTCAAACTACTTTTGTCTCAAATGACCTGCCCTGCATATGCTACTAATTTTGCCAATTTTACTTTGTGATTCTTAGTGCATACTGCATGGTATTTGAGTAGCTGCTCTTCTCTTTCTTACCTTCTAAAGTATATTGTTTTAACACTGTCTTTTGATTACATATTTTATACAGAATTTGTCACGTGTATTACTTGCATAATGAATGTCTGTCATTTCTTAAACATTTGCTACAGCAAATGTTCAGTTTCCTATAACCAGAGCATTTCAGAGTCAAATACACGAGGCAGGAAATGTATTTGTAAAACCGTTAAAATTACAGTAAAGCCATTGTAATTTCATTTACAAAATGGTCAGTATGTAATGTCAGTTTGTTTTTGTCACCTTCACTAAAAACTCCAAAAAGTAAATAAATTATGTTGAATCACATGTGAACATTGTCTGTGCTCAAATTGTCACTATGGTGACCTGTTTGCTGATGCTCTGACATAGACGTGTGCATTTGTTTAATTTTGTGCGGTTAGTTCGTACGAAACACAAATGAACTAATTGCGATTTGACTGAAATAGCCAAAAAACGAAGTGATTGTAGACAAAAATGTGTCTATGCACTTTGTTAATGCAGCCAATTACTAGGAGGGATCTGTCATATCCCTCGTTGAAATTTGATAATTTAAAGGTTTACTGCAAGCACCACGACCACTACAGTGATTTGAAGCGATCATGGTGCCTGGAGTCTGTATGTGCAGCTTTTTAACGCTGCACACACAAAGATTATCATCTGTGCTGCTGGAGGTGTAACTACATCCAGAAGTGTCATTGTAGTGTCATAAGCCTACTCCGAACTAAAGTTCCAGGTTGGCTAATGTCTATTCTGAGATAAATAATGTGTTATGTAAAAATGAATGTAAGATAATGGGTATATAGACCTCTTTAACATTTTACAATAGAGTATTTAGATGTAAGCTGTGCATTTGGTGAGGCAATAACTGAGATGCTGTCTGAATGTTAGAAACATGGCGAATTTGACATGTTATGTTCCTCACCCTATCAGATTGAAGATGGAGGGAAGGCATCGATGTCTGAAAAGATGGAAGTTGGGGATGAGCTGGTAAATATTAATGGAACCCCATTGTATGGCTCCCGTCAGGAGGCGTTGATCCTTATCAAAGGCTCCTACAAGATTCTCAAGATGATCGTTAGGAGGTAATACCTTATAAAACTAGTTTTCCATATCGGCTTATGGCTGGAATGTACTCTCATTTAAAAACTAATTCAAGAGACTCTAGTCTGTACAAATAAATACAAGCTACACAACACTAGTTAAGTAGTAATGAAATATTCCCACTGTTAGCCAATTTTATTGCTTATCATATAGTAATATCGGACAGAGACTTGAGAAGTAAAATACAATTTCTGTCTCACAGACCAAAAAGTACTACAAAGGTAACAAAACATCTGAAACACATACATTTGCTAGCCATTAGGCCAGCCCATTATATTCATAAATGCATATATCTGAGCAGAAAGGAAATCTGCACTTGTGATTGGCATAATAAAATCCTTTAGGACTAGAATGTGTTTGCAGACATATGGCAGCTTTATTATGAAATGCTAAACAAGAAAAATGGGATCTATTCACGAGAGACATGATGGCTCAGAAATTGACCTGAGGTGAAGATTTGCAAGAATTCTAAGGAATTTCCTTTTATGTATGTTCTCAATTTAAGTACTGCCAGTTCTCTGGAAGGTAGGCCACTGATGTATTGAGGATGTAGATAGTGTTTGTTTAGGGAATGTATTGTATATGTATAGGTAATTCAGTGTATGTATCTGAGTTTGGGGTGTAGGATAGATACTGTGTTTTGTGGGGTTGAGAGGGCATAAGTTCTACTTAATATTATTTTTTTTAATTTTTTTTTTACATTTACCCATATCCTCTTAACTCAGGGAATTAATAATAATTAAAAAAATGATAAATATAATATATATATTTAGTACATTTATTGCAATTATACCCCACTAAGAATGTATGTTAATTTCAGTTCATGTTTCATCACACAAACCTGGTTACACAGTTAGTGGTTACATTTTGTTGAATAAGAGTCAAAAATATATGCCAGCCCCATAAGTCATTGTGCTATGTAGTGTGTGTTATATATATATATATATATATATATATATATATATATATATATATATATATATATATATATATATATATATATATACATATACATATACATACACACAAAAATAGTAATGCACTCCACCTTCCTTGATGTACTTGCCCGGTGCTTATCAGCAAATAGATACAGCCAAAAGTACAAGATAGCACTCCAGGGACTTCCAAGTAGAATGAATAAAACTTAGCTTTTATTAGCTCAAAATAAAAGTCAACGTTTCATCCTGATGAAAGTCTGTGATACAGACTGAAACGTTGATTTTTATTTTGAGCTAATAAAAGCTAAGTTTTATTCATTCTACTTGGAAGTCCCTGGAGTGCTATCTTGTACTTTTGGGGATATATATATAATATAATAAAAATATATATATATATATATATATTACACACACACACACATATATCTATCTCTCTCTGTCTATATATATTATTGGTATACTTCTTTTTCGAATTCAAAATATTAGTCCTTTCAGGGTAATTAAATCATACAGTAAAGCATACTCACATGCAGACAATCTTACTGATGCACACAAATAGGCTCATTGACAGACAATCTCAATGACACACAGATAAGGTTACTGGTACACATGCACACACACACACTGAAGCTCACTCACTCGCAAATGCGCACACACACAAAGACATCCACACACACAGAGGCAGGCATCCACACACACAGAGGCAGGCAGACTGCCACACACACATACACACACAGGCAGACAGCCACACACACACACACACACACACACACACACTGGCAGACAGTCACACACACAGTCACAGACAGTCACACACACACCCCCTCACAGACAGTCACACACACACACACTCACAGACAGTCACACACACACACACACTCACAGACAGACACATACACACACACTGGCAGGCAGTCACACACACAGGCAGTCACAGACAGTCACACACACACACACTCACAGTCACACACACACTCACAGACAGTCACACACACACACTCACAGACAGTCACACACACACACTGGCAGACAGTCACACACACAGGCAGTCACAGACAGTCACACACACACACACTCACAGACAATCACACACTCACAGGCAGTCACACACAGACACACTGACCTCCTTCTTACCTCCTGGAGGCTGGTTGTTGGGGAAGCAGGGATTCCTTCCTGCTTCCCATGCTGCAATTACCAGGGCCCCCGCCTGCCGCTTAGCTCCGCCCCATCTTCCGGTAAGCCCCGCCCCCACAGCAATATATATATATATTTTTTCAATCCCGGCTGGCCATGTGCGCGCTTATCCCATGGGACCCTTTGCGGCCGCACTGCTCGGGCCGGCCGGGATTACAGGAGCCTGGCCAGTAATGAATAGGCCAGCCCCAGGTGCCGCGGCCCACCGGGAAATTTCCCGGTATCCCGGTGGGCCAGTCCGGCCCTGCTAAGAGTACAGCGCTGCAGAATATGTTGGTGTTCCAGGAATCACTATACTGAACGCCACAGCGTGGGGGTTTTATAGTAGAGCTATCTGGTGATTTACATCTACCATGCAGCAGAGAAAGCACAGACAATTGGATAATAAATTGATCAGCATATGTAAAAAAAAAACAAATATATCATTGCTATAATAACATGTAGCTTCTCTAAAGGGTACAAACCAAAGAAAACCCACAAGCTGCCGGCTTTGCTAAAAGTTAATAAAAAGTAAAAAAATCCCCTTAAAAGACCACTATAGTCACCTAGACCACTTCATGCAATGAAGTGGTTTGGGTGCCAGGTACCCCAGGTTTAAACCTTGCAGCTGTAAACATAACAGTTTCAGAGAAACTGCTATGTTTACATTGCAGGGTTAATCCAGCCTCAAGTGGCTGTCTCATTGACAGCCGCTAGAGGCGCTTCCCCGACGCTCAATGCGAAAAACGCTTTGAGCACGCAGAACGTCCATAGGAAAGCATTGAGTAATGCTTTCCTATGGGCGCTTTTGATGCGTGTGTGGCTCTGGCTGCGTATTCGGCTCCACTCGGGTGCTGACGTAGGAGGGGGAGGAGAGGGCTCTCTTGGCACTGGATAAAGGCAAGTGGCTGAAGGGGTTTTAACCCCTTCAGCCCAGCGGGAGCGGGGCCCTGAGGGTGGGGGAACCTAAGGGCAGTATAGTGCCAGGAAAAGAGTTTGTTTTCCTGGCACACTAGTGGTCCTTTAATTGTTGTCAAATAATTGATTTCCAACATTTAGTGAGCTGCAGCCTATTCACCTATGCCATTAGTAGAAATAACTGCTAATGACTTCTAACTACCCATTGTACAGCGCTACGGAATATGGTGGTGCTATATATAATAAAATTATAATAATGGTGTTGAAGATGTTTAATGGCCAATATGCCATCCATCTTCTGGAAATAAAGATTCCAAATTGGGACTGCCCCCCTGGATGGATCTTGAACTGCTGGGACACATGCTGTAAAGTACTGTGCTATTTTATGGGAGCAAAAGGCAGGTATATATAGGTCTATCCCTCTCCTTCTTAGTGTGTGTGGCTGCGGGGCTCCTGGATCGTAGCTTGTCAAATCGGTCCCTGTGCCTGGAGATCGGCCGCCTCTCCCGGGTACCAGGTCGCCTCTCATGTTAGGTCAATGGTCAGGCTGCGGTATTTCTTGTCAGATGGATGTGGGTCTTGTGTCCAGAAGCTCTCATTTGATTCAGCAGTGAGTCACCTGCATACAGGGCTGTAAATATCTCGATTTTGGGCAGTGAGGGTTGAAATTAGGTTCAGCTGTGTCAGAGCACTCAAACACGTCCTGCCATCTTGGCTGCCAGGCCCCCGCCATGTTTAAATGTTTGATGCTGTTTTCTCATTATAATGTAAATAATTGGTGCCACCCTGTGGTTGAATTAAAAATGAACACACACTATAACCTGAATAATAATACAAAGCTTGGTACTCTATGCACCAAAACCAATACAAGCCATTAAAGTGTTTATGGTGCAGTGAGTCTGTTGTAGTCCATTTTTGTGTTGAAATTGCTCTTCTGCTGCACCTTGGTTGGTGCTAGAATGATGTTCCCCATTACCCTGTCCTAATTTAGGTTAAGATTGTGTATAAGCTCTGGATAAAAATGGTTTACGTGTAATAGATGCCCATATAACTGTTACATGTAAAAGCAATAATTGTTCAATGTATTTGGGAGTTTAAGTACAATACATTTCCGGTTTCATTCTGTGTGGTGCGCTGTAATGGTTATGGGACTTGTAGTTGTTTTTTGTTAACAGTGGTTAATTGGCTTCTTAAATTGCTTAGGTGGCATGTTGAATGATCACAGAAGTATGAAAACCAATCTTCTCCCTCCCATAGCAGCTATCTTCCACAAAATGAATGAGGCTATAAATGGATAGATTAACTGCATTCGATTGCATTAGTACACAGTCTTTCCATAGGATTAGGTCTGGTTTGGTGTTACGATCTTCCACTTCCTACCACATAGCCCCTTGTTACCTGTATTCCACTGCTTGTACAGGTAGGCATGGTTCTCTACTCCTTTTATATTTTTTTTTTTCCTCCTCTTCCTTTATTCTCTTTCCAATACCTATGTCTTTCTTCCATAACTAGTCAGTATTACCTTTCTTGCAATATTCTCTTATTGTCATCAGTTTACCTTTGACTGTAGGGGTTTTCTCACTTAATCTTAGCTCTTAAGTTATTCTTTAGCATCTTGTTTACTCAATAGTTTTATGATCCTGGCTTTAGGCTAGAGCTATAGTCTCTCTGGATCTATGGCTATGGAACACCCACCGCTTCCCCTCCCCCATTGCAGGTATACCACCTGACCATATCCCCTTCCCTTCCACCTTGTGTCAGGGCTCCATCCTGCCTTCCTCCGCTAATTGTAATGTCTTTAAAAAAATAAATAATTACTTCTCCCCCCCAGTTCAGATAGTGTGCATGCGCTCTTCATAAATCTGTGATTGGACTACGCAACGCCCCCTTGTAATGTCAGGAGGGGGTGTGGATGCCAGCGCCTAAAGCTTTGCCTGATGCTGGCAAATTCCAGCTAAATCAAATGCTTTTTTTGCAGCTTTTACTGTAAATGCATGGTGGGGGGATTTAAGTAATTGTGCTCAATAGGGCATATCCCCCAGTCCAATGGGTTGGAGTAACCCTTTTAATGTCAGGAGGTAAAATACATCTTGGTGAAACACATTTATTCTAGGGATTAAAGACATTAAATCAAATATTTATTTGCTTTGCTGTTTTATGAAATGAATAGATAACTATAGATTTAACCTGAAATGTAAGGACCTGAAAAAGAGAAAACCTGAAGATAAAATTGATTCAAATGAATACTGTCCTAGAACAGGAGCATAGACGCACCGACTGGGTTGATTACCCCTCTCAAGACAATGAAATCCATGATTGTGATAGGGAGGAAATGTCAGACATGTAGACGCTACACAGATTTGGCAGACTGGCAGCCAGGAAACTAGTCTGGGATGTCACTACGAAACCAACAATGACTTAAAGAAATCTGCATTTTGTTTTTGTTTTGCTTAAAGGGTTACTCCAACCACCATGACTACTTCTGCTTTCTGGATTGGTCATGGTCGTAGGAGTATGGATGTGTAGCGTTTCATTTAGAAACACTGCACATCCAGAGTAATTGGAATCTTTGTGCCAGGGGCAAGTTGCACCCATAGCACATGTGACATTGGCAGCCCAGGCCAATGTCAATTCTGTGCATAAAATACATCTGTGGTCAGCATGACATTGAGAGCCTGCAAGGGGGGTCTTGTGTGCCCCTCCCTACAACCCTCCCACATCCCTTTTTGTTTTTTAAATCCACTCCCTCTCTCCTCCCCTTGCCAAGACAAACCATGTGCATGTGCTCTGAACCAGCTCAATAGTCTAAAGGCTTCTCTAAGAGAAGCCTTTGATTGGACTGCTCGCTGCTGCCAATTAATTTCAGATTGGTGTGTTGAAAAAAGGGCAGGGGGCTTCACTCAGCCCTGGATAAAAGTAAATTTAAACTTATTTAATGTTTTTATTTTATTTTACAGTGATCTGGAGGGGGTGGAGGTCTACAGAATAATGCCCAGTAGGGCATTATTCATTATTTAAAGAAGGGAGTTAATGTTCCTGAAACATCAATAGACTGCAATTTTAACAAAACTGGCCATATGACAAAGTTTGTGGGGCAAAAATTAAAACGAATGCCAAAAAACAGTATGCAGATAGTAATTACTACATTCCCTGAAACCCCACAACTGACACTCTACAACTATTGACTATGTTGGCTCAAGGCTGACCCGATCTCTACCTATATAACTATTTTGAAGCCTCATAAGTTTTTCCACAGTTGAGTTTGGTGTACTGACAGACTTAGAGATTGTTCTGGTTTTTGTTTTTTTTTCCGCTGATACTAAATGCATGGTAGAAGATGAACTGGGTTTTATTTGTTTAATTATTTATCTTTTTTTTTTTTTTTTGGTTTATTATTAAGAAGGTAGAAGGCATTTACTGAATTCTCTGAACTGGGCTATCTGCAGTTACTTTTTTGAAGTATTTTGTTCACACTGTTATCCAGTGATTAATGGGTCACATTGCATATTTCATAGGAATAATGCAAACACCATAACCACGACAAGCCACTGTTGTGCTTATGAATCCAGGTGTGCCCTGTTGCTGTCCTAGTGTAATTTGTTTAACCATTTTAGAATGGTTTGAGCACCTATCTGGATCCAAGTGAGCACTCTTTGCCTTAGCCCTTGGTTGAATTTCTTTAAGAACAATTTGATTAGTTCTACTGAGCTATGCAGGGCTGCACTCTGCCAGTAAACACCAAGGCTAAGCTATATAGCGTCATCTGGCTTCTCCTGCGAGAGCAGGGGCACCCATGTAAGTTATTAAATGGATTGTGATAACTCCAATTTTGGTGTGCGGTTAGTGGAGAGCTCCTGATCCTTCGTAGCAGCAAGCCCGGTGAGTGCTATAGTAATTTGATGCTAAAGTCATTGTATATGTATATAAATATTTGTTGCTATGACAATTTGATTAGAATTTTCCCTTCACACCACCCACTGTTTTAGATTTTGTTTTCATTTCAACACATTATCTTCTCCTTCACAAATCCTTTTTCACACATTACTCATGTCCTTGTCCTTGTATTAGTCTGATCTTATACACTTCCTATTCACTGTGTACTTAGGGTCACTTGTTTTTTTATTTTATTTATTTATTTATTTTTATGTAAAAAAAAAAAAAAAAATGTATTTTCTGAACTGAGCCAAACTCCCAGAATTCTATAGGGGTGATAGTCCCTTTGATTGTTCCACAAATTTCTTCTCCCCCCCCCCCACACACTTCTTTCTGTATAAATAAACACTGTATTGTTTGTAGGACCAATGCACTTCCTGCCAGCCCAGCTAATTGCCGAGAAATTTCCTACCCAGGAGTGGGGGGGGAAGTCATGGAATGCGGCCCCTCGAAATAATATACATGGGGAGGAGAAATAAACGGACATAATGGTTCTTGTTCTTAGGTAGTCACGATAATCCCACAGCGTAGGGGAGGGTTAGTCTCAATATGTTTTACATTTGTACGGTAAGCTTATTACAGAGATTATTTTGTTACGTGTGAAAAATAACTTCATAGATAAGGTGTGTTAGAAGGGTTCTCGGTAAAAAAAAGAATTGATGTAACAGAACTTTCATTCTCTTTCTGAACATTTAGCAAGCTCATAGCATCTTCATCTTTTACAGAACCACAAATCCTTTAACTACTTTGTTTCCCTGTGCCTGCCAATTTTGGATTGACTAAAGAAAAACACTAGAGTTGGTAATTTTGTTTGGTTGGTTTCCTACCCCCCATACTCATATAACATAGCATATATTGGGCAATTATCCTAAGCAGAGAGAGATAGGTAGATAACCTAAAGAGCAATCCCCTGTATCTCTAGTCTGCAACCTGCTTCTCGCATAAACACCTTCCTGTTCTTATCTATTATTCTCCCCCGTTTCCTCTGGTTTTCCTGAAGTGTTTAGGAATGTCGGGGAGGGGACCTGAGCAGCGTCACTGTGCATTTGGGGACACTCCTTCTCCGTAGGTCACATCATCTTTATCCCCCCTAATTCAGAAATGCACCAGTATACTTGTCTTCCTCTCTTTCGCCTCCCAAAATCATTGGAAAAAATATCTCATTTTCCTCTCGTAAAAAGAAAAGGCTATTCTGGATTTGTGTCTGCCACAGATGTTGCTCTTTTTTTTATCCTCTTAAGACTTTAGTTTAATACTGAAAGAGTTAAAAGAATTAAATTATTTTTTTTGCCTGCACGTCTTTACCTTGCACCTCCTGTATTGATCTTCTCTTCTAGTAAGTACTTCACTTCTACTATTTACTATGATTACCTTGTGACCTGTGGGATGAGCAGGCAAAGAATACTACATGCTTGAATTCTACATAAATTGGCAAATAACTTGAAAGGGGATGCAGGACTCTATATGAAGTGTTTTTGTATGCAGTTTATAAATACTGCATGCGATTGAGTTCAGTACACTAATTACTCTGTTCTTAATCATAAATCTATTTATTCACATCCTAAAAGACGAAGGCAAATTGCAGCCTAGAATGTCTGTGTACATGTGTAATGTGTGTAAAAATGATTTAAGTTTATTTCGGCTGGTTTGGTAGATGAGATGGGCGTGCTGTTGTTTTCCTAAATTGCCTGTTGTGAGTTTTAAAAGAAGAATAGTGCCCTCTGCAAAGACAGGTGGGTGTGTGTACAAATGTAATTGTATAGAGAAAATCATCTATAGCTGTAGAATTGATGAACTTTATTATTTTTATTTTTTTTGATGAGGACTGAATATTAAAATATTAGACTTGGATATACTTATTTACTAATGTACCGGCATATCTCCTGAAATAGCTTATTTTTGAAAAAAATTTGAGCGCTACTATTTACAGTTTTTCCTATATCCTCTCCTTAGCATCCTGTTCCTTATCACCTTGCAGTTAAAATATTTCCCCTGTATGTCTAAAGCCTGGCTTCATCCTGAGCTGTCCTCACTAGCCCTCACAGCTCTCTAAACAATACTTGTCATCCAATCCACACATTCTGATGCCTATTAACCAAAGAACAATACATTCTTAAGTTAACTTTGGAGAAAAGTAAATATGACTTCTGGTGTATGGTCAAGTGCAGCGAACTGACCTGATGGTATGTTATTGGCTATATATTCACCTGTTTGTTTATTTATTTTCATTGTAATCCATATATTACATGTTGATGAAATGGTTATAGTGCCCAAAGTCTACATGTACCGTCTTTCCTTTTAAGTGTAAAACCATTTTAGAATGATTTTAACAATTAAGTGTAGCCCTAATCTGGCTTCCCTTCTTCTGCAGCTTCAAATGTGAAATCATTTGCTTGAGCAACAGTGATAGTCGGAGGGTGTCACTCAATACTCAGCATATCATGGGCGGCCATAGCCTATCATAAGATACATATATGTGGGGATGTCAAGGTATACAAATAAGGGAAGATGGGGGTGCAGAGAGACACAGGTCATGATGGGGAAGGTGCCAACCTACAAATATATCTGCCATATAAACTAGGTACACTTTGTACAGAGGAGTAAATACCACTTTATTCTGATGCTGAAACACAGGCCTTGACACCAGCATGCAGATGTCCTGGAGAAACATTATTCTGTTTAGTACATAGTTACCAAGCCGTGCCAGTCATGTCAGAGGTGGGCAGGAACCAGGGTTTAGAACTGAATCTGAAGCAAGTAGTTGCCAAAGAACATAAATAGCAGTTAAGTACGTTATTTAACTCTTTGATTAATTATGTATTCATAGCTTAACAGGCTATAGTTCACCCTCACCATAGATAAGCACCCTGCTCCTTACCACCTTGCAGTGAAACTATTACCCCTGTATGTCTGAAGCTCATCCTGAGATGTTCTCAATATCCCTCACAGCTCCCTTAATACTTGCCAGCCAATCCACATGTTCTAATGCCTATAACCCAGGGGTGCCAAAACGGTAGATCCCCAGATGTTTTAAAACTACAGCTTGCATGATGCTTTGTCATTCTAAAGGCATGCAAAGCATCATGGTAGTTGTATTTCTACAACATCTGTGGATCTACCTTTTGGACACACCTGGTATAATCCAAAAACAATACATGAACAAGTTAATTTTGGATAAAAATGAATGACCTCTGTTGTCTGATCAAGTGGAACAAACTGACCTAATGGCATGTTATTGGCTATATATTCACCTGTTGTTTGTTGTGTTAGATTTCTTGGTAGTTAGCATACATGTGTTTTGGTTTTTGTGGATAGGATTTTGGCGAGCAAAAAAGATTCATAACAAAATAATTTTGACTTAAGACATTTGCATTGAGCCCCCTTTCACATACTTTGTAGTACATTGAATAAACAGGATTAAAGATTCTTTTAGCCAACAATCTTCCACTGCTTAATTCATATTAATGTTTTTCCTTTTCTTTTAGAAGGAACATTTCAATTGTCAGACCACACTCATGGCACCTTGCCAAGCTATCAGAGGTCCATCCGGATGTGGCCAGCATGCAGTACCCCATGGATGCCTTCAGTTTGTCCTGGCACTCAGGCTGTGAAAACAGGTGTGTTTTAAATAAATAACAGATTCTAAGAAATCTATTGAGACCGTTTATTTATTAGAGGGGGAGGGGATGGTGGCTGTGAGAATTATATAGAAGCACACTCGAGCATTTAATATGTATGATATGCATTCTGTATAGAAGAATAACTGGGTTTTGTCTCTTTTTGTTGCAGTGAGCTTCCTATGCAGTGGAATCCTCTTTCCCGACACTGCAGCACAGACAAAAGTAGCTCTATTGGTAGCATGGAAAGTCTTGACCAGCCTGGACAAAATTACTACGAAGGAACGCTATCTCCCATTGACCCTGGAATGTACCAAAACAAAAGGGACTCTGCATACAGTTCCTTCTCTGCAAGCTCCAATGCTTCAGATTATACAGTGTCTGCAAAGACTGAAGAATCATCTCCTATGGACTCTATCTTACAAGGACTAGGAAATTCCAAGCAAAGTGATGGGAGATATCTGCACACAGGTCAAGGTACTGGAGATCCTCAGGGGGATCTTTCAAACCTAACTCTGGTTGAAAATTCCCAGAGACCTTCATCATTCCCCTATGATGGAAACCATTTGGCTGTTATAAAATCTCCTCAGCCACCTGTACGTAGGGATAGTCTACGTGTTTCCAAAAATCAGTTGAACCATTGTGAAAAGAGGAGGGCTTCGGCTCCTGGTGACTCTTTGCAGATGTCTGGAAGATGGCATTTGGAGAATGAGCAACACAACAATTTAGAAACTGGGCGATGTAGGTGTGGCTTGGGACTTTGCACTGTACATCTAAAGGAGAGCTTACGGTCTGACCAATATTACATGCTGAGTTCACAAAGTGACAGAGCACCGCTATGCAATGACAAAACAGCTGTGATTGACAAGGATCAACAAAACCATTGCACTAAGACCCAGCAGGGAGGGTCTGGGGAAAATAAAGAGCATCGGCTATTTAACTGTAATGAGGCAAGGGAAGGGATACAATGCACTGTTCAACAGGTGAAGGACACTTTGCCTAATTTAAGTTGTCCACTTCGAAAGTCCTCTTCTAACACAGAACATTCCAGTATACAGACTGGGTTTGCAAGTGATGTGTGGGATATGGCTCAATCACAAGAATGCATTAGTTTTCCAAAAAGCCAGTGCAATGGAGAAAGTCCCAAAGAAAACATATGCAATAGCTTAAGGGATTCCGAAAGCTCCCGGGCAGATTCATTGACCATTTTGAACAGTTTTCAGAAGACTGAGGGTCAACAACGTGTTTCTTCAGAGACTTGTGTTAGAGAACCAAATAAAATAAGTAATACGCATCAAACTTTTCAACAACAACATTCAACTGCATTCTTAAGGCAACCCAACAATTCAGACACTCCGCTAGAAGGGAGCCAAAAGCCAGAAGAAAGTCAAGTGCCAGCAAAGAAGCTGGGGTCCTCACGCCATCGTTCAGCTCAAATGAGAAGGCGAAGTGACAGATTTGCCACAAACCTGAGAAATGAGATACAACGCAGAAAAGCTCAACTGCAGAAGAGCCAGGGGTCAGTGCTTCATTGTGAGGAAGAACCAGTTGAGGAAAGAGCGGAGCCAACTGAATGCCAATCACCACCTCGGCCTGTTCCTCCTCCACCTCCTCCTAAGAACAAATCACGGTTGTTGGAAATTAAAAGAGCAAATGCAGAACTTTTTAGGAAATGTGCAGACAACACAAATCTGGAACAAAATAAACCTGCAGTAAATGAAAACATTGAAGTATTAAAAAAGAATCATGGAAGGGATTCCGTAAATAATGTATTAAATACAAGGGAAATAGATGTAACTCAAGAGAGAAAATCATTGATCTCTATAAGCCAGAACCAAAATAACATGCACTTAGCGAATTCCACTGAATGTATTAACCATGATTCACTGACTCATGAGCCTAAGCCAAAGACCAATGATCCTTCCATTTCTAGTTTTAAGAGGGAATCTCAACAGAGAGGAAGAATGTTGTCCAGATCAGAAAGTTTTTATGAAGAACAGATAATTGTACCAAATGATGTCTCAGTTCAGAGTCCTAAAAGTCCTGAAATACAGGACAATGAACCAGGAAGCCTGGCAAAATGGACCGCAACTGTGGCAAATTGTAATGCTTTCTCCAGAACCTCTCCAGTCCCAGATGTAAAGGATTCTAATGAAGTGTGTAAGGTGGATTCCTCCTACAATAATTGTAACAAATCTGCATTTGAAAATCCAGCAAATGTGTCTGAAGATAGTATTCAATACAATACTCGTATATCTTCCAGTCCAGAGGTCACAAGGAATCGTCATCCATCAAACAGAGAGCTTCTACATTCAGAGGGAACTACTAGGGAGGATTGGAAATTAGATTCTTTGGGGAATGTGGATCAAGACCAGAGGTTCCAAGAAGTAAAGTCACATAAAACTGGAAGACAAAGTGGTTGTCCCTCAAATACGATTTGGAAATCTGTCAACCAATCTCAGAATTTTGAAGATCACTCTTCCATGCAGATGCCAAATAATGGTCAATGGGCCTGGTCCCCAGAACGTAAGCTGCATCCTTATGCCCATTTGCCCAAGGGGGCCTCCCAAGATAGTATGTGTGTTGAAGGTAGTATTCTTCCTATCACAAGAATCACAGAGGAGCCTGTTTTAATGCCGTTTGCTGATCGAAGGAGGTTTTTTGAAGATAATAGTAAGCCCCCCATGTCTTCTCACATTTCTATCAACTTGAAACCAAATAAAGAAATTTTTTGTCCAAGCTTACCGGATCAACCTGTTTCTCAGATGATTTCTGATCTTAGGAGACATTCTATAGACCATACCTACCATCCATCCTCTCCTAGCAGACAGAACAATTCCATATATTCTGAATATTGTGTAAATCATCCTGTTGATCCACCATTGTGCTGTAGTCAAGGAGGACATTCATCTGAATATATTCACCCAATGGCATATGGATGTCGGGTACATGAAACTTGTATGTACTGTTCTAGTGACCTCTACCCAGCCTTGCTTAAAAGAAACATACCAGCAGGCCACCACACTTGTCATTGCCGTCACCACCACCGTCACCATCACCAATGGTCAAGATGCGGTGATTGTTTATGTCCTTCCCAACATAGCACAATGGATGATGGCAGCTCCATGCATGGTGACCCATGGCATATGAGAAAGCCTTTGTTGCAGGTGAGACATGGTTATATTTTCTTTTATACTTTTGTAGTGCAGAGCAGAGTTTGTACTAAGTTAGCATTGGGTACGTTATATATTTATTTTAATATTTCTTACACACAGGAATTACAATCTGGAAATTACAAAGTCAAAATTGCATCTCATAGCTAACAATTTGATATGTTTTGATGTTTACTTTAAAATGATTTTAAATCTGTCTATTTCCGAACGTTTCATCCAATATAACTTTATAACCTATAAAATCAAACCCAAACAATTCCCACCTTCATTTTAACAGTACAGCCTTTCCAGTTCCACTTGTTCACAAACCATATGTTTTAACCATACTTACAACTTCTCTATGCTGAGAATAAAACCAGTGGCTAATGTCATTCTATAAAATAGAAACTGATAGGAGTTAAATACTGACATTGGGAGCTGGCTAACAACAATGTTTATAGTTCAGGAAAAGTCTTGACAATCATTTGTGTTCATTTTTTGTTTTGTCTGATTCTTTCTTTGTTTGTTTTTTCTCCTCTGTCTCTCTGTGGAATGTTGGATTCAGGATGTGTCAATGAAGGAATGGAACCAACCACTGAAAATCAACAGGAAATGCAGCCAGTCTGTGAGGTGAGAAGTTTGGTCGTGTGTGAGTTGTTATTGCAAGATCCGATGGGGTGGGGGCAAAGGGGAACATTTTACTTTGTGCTTAACTAATTCCCAGCTAAATGCCTGTTAACTTACCTGGCACGTTTTCTAAAATCCCTTAAATGTGGATATTGTTGTGTGTCCACAATGATAACCTGGGCATAGCTAGAGAGCACACCAATCCCTACACACCCTGTCATTTGCATGAGAGAATTGGTGAACATGCTGGTCATATATGTGCATGCTAACTATTTATTCTTTTAGCTAGATTAGACACTTGCTCATGCAATTAGGAGCTGCCAACAGAATAAAGTGGACTGCCATCATTCATCTGCCATTTAGTAATAACAATGCTGTGCAAAGTTTTTATAGGATATGTACAATTGTATAAATCCATGTAATTGTCTCAAAACCTCTTCTTAGATTTCTTTATGCATATAGGGTGGGTTACACATGTGCAACTCCCAGTACTCAAAGGTCTATATTTGATGGCCTGCAGCTGTCCATTATATTAACACCCATAAGGCACTACTAGTCTGTAAGCAGACAGGTCCAGAACCCTACAAAGAAAGGAGGATTTTATCGGTAAGGGAGGGAGGAGTAATGAAGAAGCAGAATAAGAAGATATAGCAAAAAGAGAATGATGTCTGCTAATATAGAGGAGTTGGGGCACAGGGAAATGTAAATTAATATGTTGAGGGGAAAAAAATAGTACTGCAGGTGAGAGCAGGGAATTCCTCCTATAGTTCTCAACAATGTGCTGTAGTTCTGTAATTATGCTTTTAGTGAGTATCCCTTAATTTGCCCGAGAAATAAAGGAATGTCAATGAAGGCTGTAAGTGAGGTGCACCCTGATCCCAAGCAGGGTCAGTCTAGTATAGTGTACGAAGTAATGGGGATAAGTTTACATGCATAACCCTGGCGGCTCACACAACCACACACTTTTCACCTAAGTGACAAAAATAAGAATCACATTTGTGTAAATACTACAGTGTGTGTAAATAAGACCCACCAAATGTGTAATGCTATATAGCACAAGTGGGTATTGATGTATCCCAATTTTAATGTAGAGACCCCTTCCCACTCCAGACCTGATGATGAAGTCACCTTCAGTTTTATTATTTGAGAATAGGTATCACCGCTCAGATTGTAAAATGTTCCTACGAGGTAGAAAACTATGGGACAGCCAAAAGCAATGTGTTTGTTTTCTTCATTTCAACAGCAAACAGATGAGATCTTGGCTTTTAACGTCATAAATGAAAAGATACACATCAGCACGAAAATATATTTCATATATAAATGCGTTTTTTTATATGTAAATATATAGGCGGGGTGGGGGGAAGGATCTAGTACATTTCTCAAATGGTTGATTAAATGGAAATCAGTTTGTAATGTGCTAAAGTATGAGTTGCCATTTGGAATTGGTAAACATATGGATATTGCTGTAATGTCAAACAAATTTTAGGAAGAATTTGTGTAGCAAAGTGGGACAAACTTCCTGTGCGACCTCGGAATGACCTTTTCTAAGGTTCTTTTATTACCTTATAAGGTCTGCCCTTTGTAATACTAGGGGAAATGATTTTAGACTTGCTTCCTTCTCATTTCTGATTCTTTAGTTCAAGGTTTACAAAACGTTTGTCCTCCAGCTGCTTTTAGACAGCTCGGGTTTTATTGGTATCTCGGTGATCATCTTAACGGAAAGAAAATATCAACTAAATATTAAAATATGTAGTTGGGCTTTTGATATCCTTGTAATTAGGGATGCACCGAAACCGAAAATTCAGGATGCCCTTGGCCGAAAACCTAAAATGACACTTTTCCCCTAAATTATTTTAAAATATATTTTTTTATATAATTTTATTAATATTAGACTTTTTAATTGTCAGTAACTCACAGTAAATTTCATATTTTAGACCATAAAACTAAACTAGAAAAAAAAAAAAATTGTTTTCAGTTTGGCTAATTTGGCCTAAAATAATAAAATCAGTTTAACTTCACTTTCACTTCCTCACAATTGACAGCTAAGTAATAACCCTGAATTTATTTCTAGGTCAAAGAGGTAGCTGTTGTAAAACTGCAACTCCCATGATGCTCTGTGAGCCTAAAGGGGGAGAAAGCATGATGGGATTTGTAGTTATCCAGCACCTGCTGCTGCAGGTTCTACATGTGCTGTCCAGGTTCGGCCCTCTCACCCCCACTATTGCTGCTCCCCTACTCCAGGCCAGCAGGTGTTTTCTCCCTCCAGTGGAGGTTGCGGCTGCTGGCGATGTTCGGTGGGGTGGTCACCCAGTGGTGGGACTGCCTTCCCCCGACACCTGCCAGAAAGCGTGCTGCAACACAGTGGTTGCAAACACTAGAGAACACGGCTTATGGCTTTATGGCTGTATCAGTTCTACTTCCGTGCGCTACTTTTTCTGGTGTTTATAACTCCTGTGCACTGCATGTTTGACGGTCAAATAAGTAAAAAAAAAAAAAAATATATATATATATATATATATATATATATATATATATATATATATATATAAAAAATGTACATGGCAGCTCACTGTGCTGGGTTTCTTATTGTGGCATCACATGTGGGTCCCGATGTCTGGTCCTCTGCTGCTAGCCTGAAGCTGGGCTAAAAGAAGAAATCAATAACCTGCCCTGGAAATTTTGACTTGTCCTTTTAGTTCCATATCTGTCTTTGGGTCCAGTGAAAATGTTAAATATAAGTTTTCGAACTGGTCCTTTTTATTGAATTGTGTATACAGGCTGTTTGACCCATTCCCGACTGCTGTATTGATGTGAAAAGGATAAAAAATAAACTGTAACCCATTATAACTATATCATGCTGTCGAGACTGTATATTAATCCATAAACCAAAACAACATCAACTTCTACAATAAATATGACCAGATCAGCATGTAAAATACCGAATTACTGGACAATGTAAAAACCAGAAATATTGAGACATGATTGTTCTATTTCTCTTATATCAGTTATCTGCTTCATGTTTCATGTACAAATTGATCAGTATGGCTAGTTCGTTGTAGAACTGCATGATAAGTCAGAGATACATTTGAAAACTGGAAGTAACACATTCATTGACGTTGTTATGGGCCAGGTGTGTCCGAGACATGGCATACCTTCAGGGATTAAATTTACACAGTTGCCCTGGCTACCCTGCTCTCTGCCGCTACAGTAAGAGGAAGGTTGTGCTTGGCTGCTGGTGTTGGGCAGAGAGTATCTGCTAACGCTCTCATGCTATCACTGTCTGCTCATTGAGAAAAATAGTACCATTTCTCTGAAAGTTTCTCAAAATCCGTAAGTATGCATAAATATCTACACGTCCAGTGTGTTCATTGACCATCAGTGTTCTATTCTCCAGATGGTACATAGTATACATTACATCATTACAATACGTACTTCTATTTGCCTAACTATATTGGGTCTACCTATTGTGAATGTCACCTTGGTTTATTTAACTATTCTCCAGAATAGCCTAAGGCAGATCCCAAGCATTCTTGTATTCCCAGTAGACCAAGGTAAGGAACTAAGGAACTGACAAACTGCTCAGCTGGAGAAGGCCTTTGTGAAGAGAGCTGAATTTCAGATAGAAAATTTTGGCTGAAATTATGGCTACTGCCAGGCCTGTAATGATTGAATTGCAGTCCTTAAGCATGGTTTGATTTAAAGCCAATGCTCTCCAGTTCAAATACGGCAGCCTGAAATCCACATATCTGAAATAAGATACCCAATTAAAGACTTTGTGGGAGAAAGACTATTTGGACTCAAAACTTTTAGGCAGGCTTAGCCACATCCACTTAATCGACCTTTAAAATTAGAAGTTTTAGGTAAGGATCCCAAGTTTTTTTTTTTTTTTTATGTGGAAATTATAAATCGGATAGGCCTATGCTTTAATACATTCAGCTCAGCACTGCTAATTTTTGTATAGATTGACAAATTCTGATCCTTGCATCTGTGTGTAGAAATGCTGTTTGAAAAAAGTCACAATAGGATCTATTTTTTCGCTAAATAAATAAATCTTATTGTTGGAATCCATGTCTATGTCCTGTGATCCCTTGATCTAGAATATTTGTCCATTAAATTATGCACATAGTTCTAATTTTTTTTTGGTCACAAATTGTGTATTTGGTGAAAACTTGTTATTCCTTCACCTTGCCTTTGTACCATCTAGATTTCAATGCTTTTCTTCATTTTGTCACTAGACCACTGTAAGTGTGTTTCAGTTAACTGTATCACATATGTTATGCCCATTACAATCAAAGCAAGACGTCTTTCCTGCCCAAAATATGCCTGCCAGATTATAGGTCTGCTACAAAGTAATACACTTGGAAATGCCGACCTATGATAGCTAATAATTAAATGTGTGCAGTTCCTTTTGTAGCTTTTGAGGCGGGTTTTTTTTTTTTTTAAGAAAGTACATCCCATAATGTGTCATTAGGTCTTTTGCCCCCCCTGCATTCATAGACTTTATACGAAGGCTGGTATTGTACTATAGACATGTAACTAGCATTGTCTCAGGTCTGTGTGTAATTGTCTGGGTTTCACATAAATATTTCCACTCTCCAGCTAACTCCTTTTGATTTGAAGTTCCTGGTAGAGGGTGTGATCGGCTCAGACACACTCGCCCTCCCTTCCCTGCCGGTGACAGGAAAATAATGTTTCCATGAGTCAGATTGCTTAGAATAGGAGAGCTGAGACTTAAAGAATACAGTCTGAGAACTTAAAGCATTTCAAGGTTATCAAGTCTGTAACCTGTAGCCTGTATTATGTGTTTATATACCCTGCTTATGCCATGAGTAGCTCCAGTCGCATTAAAATAAATTAAAAATAAACAAAAAACAACAACAAAAAAATACCACCCTGCTTGCGTACCATGTTATGTATGTTTATAAAACATAATACAAAAGGGAATCTTCCAGGACTTCGGCAAAGAGTTGAGGCAGGTTGAATGATGCTAAGTGAGGTATCCCAGATTTTGTCCCAGTGACGAGTTATAAAATATCAGAACTCTGTTTAAAGAATGCAACATTTCTATATGCTCTCTCCAAAACATCTTTTTAAATTGTGTGCACATTTTATATGCTGTCTGATTCATTAAAGGACTGCCACTTAACATTTATAAAAAAAATAAAAAAAAAATAAACAAGAAACAAAGTTTGACAAAAGAATGCCAAATATATATATATATATATATATATATATATATATATATATATATATATATATATATATTATTCATATTTCTTTTTTTTTTTTTATTGTTTTTTTTTTTTACTTGCACTGCTTATGAAATAAAAAAATATCCTCTTGATATGAGGATAAAATGCCGCACACTTTATATGAGGGGCTTCCTGGTATCGGTGTGATGGACACCGTTTGTACTAGTTGCTCATTGCTTCATACAAGGATAGAACATTATTTTACTTATAATTAATAGGATTCCAGCTAGAGAGAAGTGAGTCAATACAAATGTAGGGCACAACAAGAAAAAAGGCCGGTATTCATTAAAACATACATGTGAACATGCTCTAAATACTGAATCTATTGTTTTTATTTCATAGTTCGATTAAAGTTTTTTTTTTAAATTTTTTTTATTCTATTGAGTATTTGAGGTTTATGTAATTCCAAACCTGCTTTGTGATTAGAGGTCAACGTAGTACAAACCTAAACTGTACAGGAAATCAAATTAAACTAATTTCCTTAATTTATATTTATGCAAGTGTTCCGATACGAACATTGTAGCTGCAGGACATTTGCTACTATACCTGGTTTCCTGGTGAGTTATAACAAAATAGTATTTGTAGAATCTGAATGGGATAACTTTCAATATTTGGCCTTTCAATCATGCATTGCTGTTTTTTAATATCTGGCTGTATGTCTTTAAAAACATTATATACAGTTTATGAACGGCTTCTTAGACATGTAATTCTCATTGTCGTCTCTCTCTTACAGTGAATTATGTCACTATAACCCTGGATTCCATCATTCTGGCCCATTCAGACCTTGTTGCGAAGGTAGTGACCAAGACTGGCCCCAGTATCACCGGACTGTGTCATCCTGCGACCTCTCCTGTGATTATTCCCCCCGACAAGTGGAGCTGCCATCTTTTCAGGAAGGGCCTCCAGACCCTGGATTAGCTCGTGGTAGGACATATTCTGTGAGTCAGCTTAATTTAGAGTCTGTAAGAGAAAGAAGAGATAATTCCCTAGCAAAGGTTGAAGAAAGAGACCCACCTGCTCCAACAAAGAAGAAAGGGCCACCTCGCCCACCTCCTCCAAACTGGGAAAAATACAAGGAGCGTCGGGCTTCTCACCAACTTGCCAGCCCTGGCCTACCTGATTCTAGCGAAAAGGCCAGTGTGTCATGTCATAACCAAGCGGTGGAAGCTGCAAGGCAGCGTTCTCAAAGTCTTCCTATGAACCAAGGATTTAAAAAAATGACTGAGGCTTTCTCACCTCCCTCTTGTGAAGAGCTTCAGAGTGGAGATCGTGTTTACAAACTTTCAGAGTTTAGCCCAGACACACAAGGCTCTCAAGATTTTACTACCTCTGTTTCTCCATGCCTTGATAGTGCAAGGTAGGTTGTGCTCTTATTACCTGGACTTCTGTTACAGTTACTTGTTTGTGAAACTGACATTTTGGTAAAAAGAGCTTTTATTTATAACCCACTTAAAACCAGTTGAAATAATTATGCAAACGTTATTGGACTTGTGCACCAACACAACTCTTACACATTTGTAGTCTCCCCACCCACCCCCAGATAATTGACTGTAAATATCAGTGCTTCCAATATCCCATTTTTTCACTTTCTAAAATCTTCATTTTTGCTGGTTCCTATACAGATGTGCATATTTTTCTGTCCTAATGTAAGGTGTCCAATAACACAAATGTACAAGTCCTCAACATAGCAAAGGATTGGTGGTGGTGTAGTTTAACTAACAGCTTCCATAAGTAGAAAGTTGATTATCTGAAATACAAGTTCTGCTAATCCCTGATCTAAGCACAAATGTAGCTGTACATAGTGATCTTTAAAATCTTTTAATCACCCCATCTCCCATACACTTGTAACCCTTGCAAAGCTGGATTTAACATACCCTACAGTTTGCTCTATAGAACTGTAGATGAGATTGTCCATGCTACGTTTTGGAGTGGATCAAATGTGTGCAGGAAGATGAAACTTTAAAACTCATCATTTTATTTTATTTTTTTATATTAGTTTTTGAATACTTTGTATACTAGTGGTTCCTACCCCAGTTATGAAGACATGACGACACAGGCTTTGTTTGTATCAACAATGGAACAGAATTGGGAAATTGCCAAAATCCTGTACTATTGTTGTGCCTTGAGGGCAGGTTTTTAAACCACCAGACTGTAGAATGCATCACGTAACAAACAATAGGTTAATAACAACCTTTAAATATTGCTATTTTAGCCTCTCCCGCCATACCATTTGCATAAAGTAAAAAGTGCCAAATATGAACGCTGTAGTCATTGTGCACACATCTCCTCTGCTCCCAAATTATGTGGGCAACATTCCTCAATATTCTGAGTGCTGATTGTAAAACTCTGTCCTCTCCATTAGAATAGGGGCATTCACAGTTGTGACTATCTTTGATTCGGTCACTGTCACAATTTTGGGGCACTTGTTCCAATAAATCTGGGACAATACAGGCAGTATGTGATTGGTTCACTATAAGTTGGTTAAACGGTCTCCGTTAACTGGAAACATCCCTAAAGGAACAGATAGATGCACAGACTGAGGCAATTTGTGCTCCCATTGTTTTTGTTTTTGTCACTGAACCTTTCCTCTCACACGATTCACTGTAACAGCAATCCTATGTATGAACACCAAGTACAGTCAGTCATCTTCAACACTTGAGCTTATGGTTGCTTAATTAAACCAAAAAATTGCACTGTGATCACTTGTTACACCCTTAAAACACATGCAATAATGTGCAACATTGTTACTTGGTACCAAGCACATTTACATCATGAAATTCCTGGCACTCTGTCACAAAGGGTTTATGCCTGTTAATTACTAAAGTGTGCTTGAATTTTGGAAGTGTCACATCCCTAAAAAGTCTCTCTCTTTTTTTATATATATTTTCAATATGTTTAATTATTTTTTAATTCATTGAGGGAAAATGACATATTTTTTCATGTATACACAGGCTTATTCTGCATCACTCAGGCAAGATCCCATCTTACCCCACCAATTTGTAACACACACGGCTCGCTGTTCTCATCAGGCATGCTTGTTTCCATGTCCGCCCCCGTGCTACTGGTTTAAATAATTCTGTGTCTTTCTTGCTCACACCCAGTAGCCCACACATTACAAGCTTTTAAGGAAGTATAGCACATTGTGCAGTTTTTTGATCACAGGACCCTTCTGGCTGATAAATATGGCGTTGACAACACCCCACACAAATAACCTTGCAATGAATTTAGTAACGAATAAAACTTTGTAACTTGGAATCCTTATTTAAAATGGATGTTTAGGAAAAGTAGGCACAGTAAAGATACACTGAACAAATACACTGCTGTTTGATAAGGTAGCTGTGAGATATATTTGAGTCTTGTTACTGCTATTCCTGTGTAAGAAATGCATAATGTCTATTTTGTTAAAGGAACAATATAGGGTCAGGAATACAAACGTGTATTCCTGACACAATAGTTGTAAAAATCCATGCCACGGTGCCGATCCTCCCCTTGCCACCCCCTTTAAGGAAAGCATTGGATTGGCTGAGATAGTCCATTCTGATGATCTCAGCCAAGGGTGTGGGGGCAAAGCCGAACACAGTCATGGCCAAGAGAGTAGGTATTTGGGAAATATGATGGTGGGGTGGGAGGGAAGGCACTGTGCAGACTGTGATGGTGAAGTGGGAGGGAAGGCACTGTGCGTAATATGATGATGATGATTGTGGTGGGAGGGAAAGCAGTGTGGAGAAACTGGTGGCATGGCTGAACAGGAAGGCACTGTGGAGAATACAGATAGAAGGTGTTAAATAAAAACAGAAACAAAGGTTCTTGCTTAAGCTTTAAAATTGATTTTAATATTTTTGAATAAACGTTTTAAAATGATGTAATATGAAAACGTTAATTTGTTTTAATATTTTTGATGGTTTTTGTCATGTTCTACTTTTCATATATTTTTTGATATTTTAATATTTAAAAAAATATATATTTTAAAAGTTTATGCAAAAATATTAAATTATTTGAAAAGTTTTTATCAAACAATATTAACTTGAGGCTTTGGTGCCATGTACGTTTTCTAAATCTTTCGACATGTTGCTTGGTATAGTTTTCTGACTGTAAAATCATGTATATTTTGTGCTATAGTTTTTAGATCAATTTGTTTTACTTTTGGCAGGTTGGATCCACATTCCTCATGCCTAGTGTCACCTGACCGATTGCAAGGTAGAACGTTGATAGGTCATACTTTACCTTCAGAGTCCATTTCTTCCCTTTGCAACCAAGAATGTGTTCTGGATGAAGATGCAATGAATGCAAAGAGGCTGGATTCAACTGTTGAGGGAGATGCAGAGGATAGTGACTTTCATTCTGAGGATGCATCTATCAAACCTGTTCCCACAGATATTTCTGGAAGAGAACAAGTATCTTTATTAGATGACTTTCAGGGCAGCTACCGCCACTTTGAAGATGAATGGTCGACCGACAGGGAGTCTGAAATTTCCATTCCAGACAGGTATGTTTATTTTACAGAAGACTGTAATTGTGTTGGGCTGGATATGTATGGATTCTTGTGTAGCTATATTAAAGTGATTCTGTAACTTCTGAGTGTTTCATAAAGATCTAATCTTTAGAAAAAAGGGGAGTTAGGGGAGGGTGGTACACCCGTAATATGCATTTTTAAACCGTGGTGCTGCTGTAAATGCCACAATGTATACAATATACAGATTGAGTAACCGTGCATGCATAAAAATACAGTTTTATATTTTACAAGATTACTTAAGTCACTTATTTTGGCAAACAAACCTGGAGATTCAGTGAAGTACACCACAGTACCCCAATATCTGTTGGTGCAACACTAATTGTAAAATCGCTGTTGTAAGAACATTGTGAATATGCACGTTCCAAGTGTGCCCCCAATTCCCTTTTTTTCCATGTACGGGCAAAAGCTTTGAGACTTGAGCAAGGACTAACCGAAAGGCAAGCTACTTAGTTTCTCTAGCATGTTTTTGCTCATTTGTGCCATTACATAGAGAGCCTGTACAATTGGCATATCAGACTGATCCAAAACCAGATTCCTTTTGGGTTGAGCACCCCGACCACTGCTTCAGGGGCCCCTTTTGGAGGTGACCACATGGAAGTATAAATTTGAGGTGGTTTTGGTTAGCAATGTCACTTTAATGATATTTTTATTTGATATAGACCAGATACATGATCTGCATAAAATCACAATCCCTTTAATTATATAGTAGTTGCACTGTAATTATTTTAATTTTGTTTTTGATCATGTTAATGTTGCATGATATGTATTTATATTCACAATGTTCTTACAACAGATTAATTAAATCTACTTTAGTTCATTTAACTGTAGAACTATTTAATTTGACTTGTGTTAAAATTAAAAGTCAGAAAGGAGACTCCCACCCCACTGCATCTATAGTAATAATATTTCAACTGGTATTCCACCCAAAGAAAGGGTGGAGGAAAAAAAGGACACTATTTTAAACCCCTAAAACATAAGCAGAGTTTTAATGTAATGGGTATAAACAACCCAGATAACAGTTTCAACATTCACAGGAAAAGGGAAAAAAAAACGTCTTTGTCCATGGTGTTTCCTTAGGAGGTTCCACTATTCTTAATATTTAAAAGACCTGTTGCGGTTTTAGTGCATTTATTAGGCCTTTTGCCATTTTAGGTTACATTCATTAAAGGGATACTGTAGTGCCAGGAATACAAAGCTGTATTCCTGGCACTTGCTCTCTCTGCCTCTCCCCTCCCTCGTGCCCCTCTCCCCAGTAAATAAAGGGTCAAAAACCCTTTATTTACTTGCCTAAAGTCATAGCTCCGGCCCCTCCTCCGCCCCGCGATGAGTGGGGTCTAAGGTGCATGCGCAGCAAATGCCGCGCGCGCATTAGACCTCCCCATAGGAAAGCGTTGATTCAATGCAGAGCGTGAGGGTGTCCAGCGTCACATAACCAACCAAAAGTCTGTTATGATTCCGGTAGACAGCCACTGAGGGCAGACTTAGCTCTGCAATGTAAACAGTGCCGTTTCTATGGAACTGCAATGTTTTACATTGCAGCACTAGATTCAAAAGGGACACAGCACCTAGACCACTTCAATGAGCTGAAGTGGTCTGGGGTCCTACAGTGTCCCTTTAAATGTGGATAATGCTGATGTTGCTTAGATGAAGCACTGTACTCTGTGTGTTTCCCTTTGATACTCCATTTACAATTTGATTGGTTTATGGCTGTATCCACAATAAATACTTATAAATATTGAGATGACTGTTCTCCAGAAATGTAAAAGAAGTCCAGATCTACACAGCAGAACTCCATCTGAAACGCAGAGAATATTTGGGTCCCTAGATCTTCTTCCTCATTCCTATTTATCTATATGTATTTCCACTGAGGGTAGACTAGCCATTTTCTAAAGTTCAAAGGCATTCAGCCAGTGAATGTTGTCCAAATAGGATCAAACTTGACATTGCTGAAATGAACGAGAGCTTCCTCTTTCTCGATATTGAGAAGTCAAAGGCACCCAGGGGACATGGGTGAGTGTAAAACGTTCGAAAACAGTTTGCATATTGTGGGCTTGCACCAAGTTGCACTTGGCATCATAACCACCACAGTGATCTGTAGTGGTTATTGTGCTTAACGTAAACTGCCTCTTGAATAATAATAGCAAGCTCTTGTATATTGACAAAATATGTAAACATAAAAATAATTGTCAGTTTTATTTTTGTTTTATAGTATATTCATTTAAAAAAAAAAAGTGATCACATCTGATGACATGTAATGTACGTGACATAATTTTGAATATTTAAAGTTATTTATAGATCTATGAGCTAGAGATTGAATTTGATCATATTTAAATTAATGTCCTATGCGTGATCTCTTCAGGTAAATGATGCTTTTCTTGTCGTTCATTACTTGTAAACGTAAGATTCAAGGGCATAAACTAATTGTCTGATGTTTTATATCTATAACAGATATGAGTTCCAACCCATCTCACCACCACCACTGTGTGGTGCAGTAAGTCCTACCTCCTGTGCTGCTTACTATAACACATCTGCAGCCAAAGCAGAGTTGTTGAATAAAATGAAGGATCTCACGGAAGTGCAAGAAGAAGGCGATAAAGCCACTGGAGTGGTGGAGGAAGAGGAGGAGCTGACAGTAAAAAAGGTATGTGAAAGTAGCATTTAGATGCCTGCCTCTTAAAGGGACATTCTTGTGACACTTTAATTTATTACATTTTTTTCTCATAAGGGAAGTGGGCTCTGCCTTTTGGGGGCAGTCCTCTAGATATAAGGGAATAAAGTTGGGACAGTTAGACAGAACCTGATAATCGTGACTCTCCTACTAATATTGGGTATACTGGGAGGGATGTGTTTCCATTTCTATTTAAATCTTTTCTGGCTATTGATAAAGACCTATAGTAACTGGATAGTGATATTGCTTGAACAAAAAAAAAAAAAAAAATATATATATATATATATATTTTGATATACACACACGATACCAGTAGAGAGCACTCAGGAGTCTTTCAAGGTAAATTTCATCTGTTGCTTTATTGAGCAATTACAAATTCACACAACGTTTCAGTCTGTAAAATACTTTTTTTAAAGACAATTGTGTATGTGAGATGGATACCTTTTATATACACAAAATGCAGTGATCCTATTTTGGGGATGAACACGTGACATGTAACAACGAATCAGAGTGATGTCATTAATGACGTAAACATGTTTGAATTACGTAATAAATTGAAGTTAACCCTATGTGTAACTGGTATGTGAAACATACTCTCGTGTAGATAAGCCAGAAAGTAATAAAAGATAAAAAACTGTAAAAATAAAGTATATACATATGTTTCAACCCTAACCAAGGGAACATAGATACATAGTACATATCGTCATTCGCTAAATATTAACTCCGTTATATAGCAAAATATTGTCAGTGCAATTTTGAAGCATTATACGATATGGACTACTTCCATCATGGAGTTACGGCAAATAACTGTATTATATTAATGCATTCTGTAAAACATAGCTCAATCATATATTATCGTCTAGGTAAAAAACAATATAATGAGTTCTTCTCTTTTAAACCAGATGGTGATAATGTTTCCAACGTGTATATCCAGAAAGCCTCACGTCTGAGTAACAGGTTCTCACGATCTCCTCCTCTGGGTGAGATGGGTTTGTGATCTATTCCCTTAAAGCAAAGTGAGGACAGGCTATGTCCCATCTCAAGGAAATTCCGGGCGACTGGAGTGCTTGCAGTGCCGCTTAGTAGTGCTGAACGTATAGTAGGTCTGTGACCCCGCATGCGTTCCCTTAGGTCATTAGATGTCTTGCCCACGTAAGTGAGACCACAGGGGCATATAATTCTATACACAACATGTGTGGTCCTGCACGTAATCCGGTGTTTAATTGTGTACACCTTTCCAGATTTTGGGTGACAGAAAGTTTTACCTGGTATCATAGAATTGCACGCCAGACAGTTCAAACAGCGAAAACATCCGGCTTTTGTGGACACTATATCTCTGTGCATCAAATAGTCTCTCTGATTTTTCCCTTTTCTGTAACACATAATGGGCTGTTTTTTAAATACAGGAGGCAGGGATGAGTCATTGTATAGAACGTGCCAATTTTTTTGAATGGTATCTCTGAGTTTTTGGGACTTTGGATGAAATGCCTGAGGGAAGATGAATCGATCACCGATGTCTTGATGAATCCTGTTTTCTGCAATTGATTCTATTGCATTTCTGTATGCCACATTCAAAACAGTTTTTGAATATCCTCTTTGTAGGAATTTTTGGAACATGTCCTGAATCTGTATCTTCGCCCGGCTGTCATCTGAGTTATTGAGCAATACTCTTATGAATTGGGAGATAGGCAGTGACTCTTTTAGTTTTCTAGGATGGAAACTTGTTGAATGCAGAATAGTGTTCCTATCCGTTGATTTAGAAAATAAAGTATATCCTAAGCGATTGCCTATGATGAAAATGAGAAGATCCAGGAAATTGATATTAGTCATACTAGACTAGACTAGACAGGTGTAGGAAGGGAATTCAGTGTGTGCATCATGTTAACAAACCTTTCCTCTCCACCAGTCCATAGAAGAAGGACGTCATCTATAAAGCGGAGGTATTGCAATATATGTTCTCCACAAGGCCCAAGGATCTGTTGTTGCTCAAAAACAAACATGTATGCATTTGCATACATGGGGGCCATAGGAGCCCCCATTGAAGTTCCTGTCTGTTGTATATAGAATTTTGTTTCAAATCTAAAATAATTCAAAGTGAGGCATAGCTTCAAAAGTTCCAGTATATACTGCAGAGGGGGATTCACCCACTCAGTAAAATTCTGTAGAACTTCCTTGATTGCTAGTATACCATCTTTGTGTGGGATTATTGTGTATAAGCCAGACACATCAATCATTGCTAGTAAAATCCACTGTCTTTGACACAGGTAGGCAAAGACAACACTGGAGTTTTAAATATCTTGTCCAGCCATTTACTGATGGGCTCCAATAAACCACCAATTGCTGAGACTATAGGTCGTCCTGGGCGGTGAATGGGGTCCTTATGCACTTTTGGAAGTGTGTACAACACCGGACACCTGGGGTGAGTTTCATGTAAGTACTCAAAGTCTTGTTGTGTTATATAGTGGTTTTCTACCCCCTCTGTGTAGTTTTCCCAAATTCCACAGTTGGATCTATTTCAGAGCATTTGTACACTTTATCATCTGAAAGTTGTCTTAAAATCTAATTTCTATAGTCTTGATATTGCATCAAGACAATAGCCCCACCTTTGTCCGCTGGACGAATAGTGATGGCAGTATCTGCGGCCAAGTTGTTAAGGGCATCCCTTTAAATTTTGGAAATATTGGCACCTTTTTTGGTCTTATTGAGGTAACGTCTGCTTTCAGATCTTAGGCTCTGTGAGAAGACCTTCAGGGAAGCGTTATTACTCGATGGATCAAATAAACTATATAATTTCATAGTTTCTTGCTGTTCATTTACAACATTCTCTGGGTGAAATTTAAAGAAGTCAGCCAGTCTTAGTTTACATTGGAATCTATATTGATCAACTTCCCATTCAAAGTCATTAATATTAGTGGTGGGAATAAATGACAGTCCTTTTGATAACAATGTGGTTTCAGGTATTGTTAATATGTTGCGAATATATTGCAATACCTCTGCTTTATATATGACGTCCTTCTATGGACTGGTGGAGAGGAAACGTTTGTGAACATGATGCACACACTGAATTCACTTACCAGTCGAGTATGACTAATATCAATTTCCTGGATCTACAAATTTTAGTCACAGGCAATCGCTTGGGCTATACTTTATTTTCTAAATCAACGGATAGGAACACTATTCTACATTCAACAAGTTTCCATCATAGAAACCTAAAAGAGTCACTGACTGTCTCCCAATTCATAAAAGTATTGCGCAATAACTCAGATGACAGCCGGGCGAAGATACAGATTCAGGACATGTTCCAAAAATTCCTACAAAGAGGATATTCAAAAACGGTTTTGAATGTGGCATATACAAAGGCAATAGAATCAATTGCAGAAAACAGGATTCATCAAGACATCGGTGATCGATTCATCTTCCCTCAGGCATTTCATCCAAAGTCCCAAAAACTCAGAGATACCATTCAAAAAAATTGGCACGTTCTATACAATGACTCATCCCTGCCTCCTGTATTTAACAAACATCCCATTATGAGTTACAGAAAAGGGAAAAATCTGAGAGACTATTTGATGCACACAGATATAGTGTCCATAACACAGTCATTACAGAAAGTGACAAAAGCCGGATGTTTTCGCTGTTCGAACTGTCTGGCGTGCAATTCTGTGATACTGGGTAAAACCTCCTGTCTCCCAAAATCTGAAAAGGTGTGCACAATTAAACACTGGATTACGTGCAGGACCACACATGTTGTGTATAGAATTATATGCCCCTGTGGTCTCACTTACGTGGGCAAGACATATAATGACCTAAGGGAACACATGCGGGGTCATAGATCTACTATACGTTCAGCACTACTGAGCGGCACTGCGAGCACTCCAGTCGCCCGGAATTTCCTTGAGATGGGACATAGCCTGTCCTCACTTTGCTTTATGGGAATAGATAACATACCCATCTCACCCAGAGGAGGAGATCGTGATAACCTGTTACTCAGACCTGAGGCTTTCTGGATATACACGTTGGAAACATTATCAACATCTGGTTTAAATGAGAAGAACTCATTATATTGTTTCTTACCTAGACGATAATATATGATTGAGCTATGTTTTACAGAATGCATTAATATAATAGTTATTTGACGTAACTCCATGATGGAAGTAGTCAATATTGTATAATGCTTCAAAATTGCACTGACAATATTTTGCTATATAACGGAGTTAATATTTAGCTAATGACAATATGTACTATGTATCTATGTTCCCTTGGTTAGGGTTGAAACATTTGTATATACTTTATTTTTATAGTTATTTATCTTTTATTACTTTCTGGCTTATCTACACGAGAGTATGTTTCACATACCAGTTACACATAGGGTTAACTTCAATTTATTACGTGATTCAAATGACGTCATTAATGACATCACTCTGATCAGTTACATTTCACCTGTTCACCTCCAAATAGGATCACTGCATTTTGTGTATATAAAAAGTATCCATCTCACATACACAATTGTCTTGAAAAAAGTATTTTACAGACTGAAACGTCGACTGAAACGTTGTGTGAATTTGTAATTGCTCAATAAAGCAACAGATGAAATTTACCTTGAAAGACTCCTGAGTGCTCTCTACTGGTATCGTATACAATTTGGTTGCAGACAGCACCGGAGCATTATATATATCATATATTATGTATGTATGGTGTGTGTATTGTGCTCACTACACATTTTTGCATTTTTTAATGATCAAGTAAGTTCAGCATTTGTTTAAATGCAGATATAGGTATACATACGGACAGATTTAGAATATTTTCTGAAAAGCGTTGCATTTACGTCTTCTGTACTTTTAGCACATATGTATGTGGCGTAGACTTTAGTTATAGTCTAGCTATGGTAGTAATATAACACAAAATGGAGAAATAAAGTAAACAGAGTGCAGGTCAGGAGTCCGGATACAAGTCAAGGGCTCAAGGAGTCAAGGGCTCATGAGCTGCACCACTCCTATTACCTACATGGTAGTAATATACACTGCTCAAAAAAATAAAGGGAACACTTAAACAACACAATGTAACTCCAAGTCAATCACACTTCTGTGAAATCAAACTGTCCACTTAGGAAGCAACACTGAGTGACAATCAATTTCACATGCTGTTGTGCAAATGGAATAGACAACAGGTGGAAATTATAGGCAATTAGCAAGACACCCCCAATAAAGGAGTGGTTCTGCAGGTGGTGACCACAGACCACTTCTCAGTTCCTATGCTTCCTGGCTGATGTTTTGGTCTCTTTTGAATGCTGGCGGTGCTTTGACTCTAGTGGTAGCATGAGACGGAGTCTACAACCCACACAAGTGGCTCAGGTAGTGCAGCTCATCCAGGATGGCAGGTCAATGCTGTGGCAAGAAGGTTTCCTGTGTCTGTCAGCGTAGTGTCCAGAGCATGGAGGCACTATCAGGAGACGTGGAGGAGGCCGTAGGAGGGCTACAACCCAGCCACTACCTCTGCCTTTGTGCAAGGAGGAACAGGAGGAGCACTGCCAGAGCCCTGCAAAATGACCTCCAGCAGGCCCCAAATGTGCATGTGTCTGCTCAAACGGTCAGAAACAGACTCCATGAGGGTGGTATGAGGGCCTGACTCCACAGGTGGGGATTATGCTTACAGCCCAACACCGTGCAGGACTTTTGGCATTTGCCAGAGAACACCAAGATTGGCAAATTCGCCACTGGCGCCCTGTGCTCTTCACAGATGAAAGCAGGTTCATATGAGCACGTGACAGACGTGACAGTCTGGAGACGCCGTGGAGAATGTTCTGCTGCCTGCAACATCCTCCAACATGACCGGTTTGTCAGTGGGTCAGTAATGGTGTGGGGTGGCATTTCTTTGGGGGGGCCGCACAGCCCTCCATGTGCTTGCCAGAGGTAGCCTGACTGCCATTAGGTACCGAGATGAGATCTTCAGACCCCTTGTGAGATCATATGCTGGTGCGGTTGGCCCTGGGTTCCTCCTAATGCAAGACAATGCTAGACCTCATGTGGCTGGAGTGTGTCTGCAGTTCCTGCAAGACGAAGGCATTGATGCTATGGACTGGTCCGCTCGTTCCCCAGACCTGAATCCAATTGAGCACATCTGGGACATCATGTCTCGCTCCATCCAGCAACATCATGTTGCACTACAGACTGTCCACGAGTTGGCAGATGCTTTAGTCCAGGTCTGGGAGGAGATCCCTCAGGAGACCATCCGCCCCCTCATCAGGAGCATGCACAGGCGTTATAGGGAGGTCATACAGGCACGTGGAGGCCACACACACTACTGAGCCTCATTTTGACTTGTTTTAAGGACATTACATCAAAGTTGGATCAGCATTTAGTGTGTTTTTCCACTTTAATTTTGAGTGTGACTCCAAATCCAGACCTCCATGGGTTGAAAAATTTGATTTCCATTTTTAAATTTTTGTTGTCAGCACATTCAACTATGTAAAGAACAAAGTATTTCAGAAGAATATTTAATTCATTCAGATCTAGGATGTGTTCCCTTTATTTTTTTGAGCAGTGTACTTGTGGATTGTTCGTGCAATTTAATTTAAGGAGAAACTATAGTGCTAGGAAAACAAAGTTGTTTTTTTGTCACTCGCCACAGGTTTAGGCCACTGAGAATAAACATGAGGATGTGATTTTTGTAAACTATGGCACAGCCATACATGAAAAGTTTGCAAAATAAGTTTTAGTGGCATTTTAATACACATTCCTCTACATGGTACAAACAACCAAATACTATGGCTCCTGCAAAAAAGTAAGCAATCAAATTTTACTTTTTATATAATGAGTGGTTTTGGAGGAAAATGCTAAATCAAAAATCATGATAAAATATAAAGAAAGCTACATGTACTAAGACATCACTTTCTTCTTTTGGTTTATCCTGCTTCCTCTAAATAAATTCTCTCTTGATTTTTACCTAGATGCAGTTGATCGATAGTATCAGCAAAAAGCTTTCTGTTCTTCATGAAGCACAAAATGACCTCCAAGAAGAAATTGGCGCAAACTCCGCCCTGGGATGTGAAGTTGGAGAGCTGCTCAAGTGTCTTTGTAAACCCAATGAATATGACAAATTCCGGATGTTTATTGGAGACCTCGATAAAGTTGTGAATCTGTTGTTATCCCTGTCTGGACGTTTGGCCAGAGTTGAGAGTGTTTTGAGTAGTGAAGATCCTGAGCCATCTTTGGAGGAGAAGGTACATCATTTTATTTACTCTTGTTGTAATGGTTTTACCACGCAAGGCACACAATTGTTCTAAAAAAATTGTCTAATGTGTACATAGTTAATGTAGCTGGACACCTGGTAACCCGACTAGTTACATCCGCTATAGAAGGATTAAGTGACCCATCTTCCCCAGTAACCAGACAACACACCGTTCCAGGGGTACAAAAACTTGGCCACACTCTGCTTTATACTGTTCCCATGCAAGGGGTGGATGTCACACAAAGACTATGTCCTCTCCCAGGGTCCTCCCCCTCCCACGGGTCGTGTAACGGTTCCGGAACCCCAGACTCTTTGTCCTCTATTCCCCCCACTCAGTGGGCCCTCCCCCTCCCAGGGGTCTCCTCCCTGGAAACGGAATCCCCATCCCTTTGTGCCCTGTTTCTGCCACCTATCCTCTGGGATTCCCACCTCCGGTGGCCAGGGGTCTTCATCCCACGAGCCTCTATACTGGGGAGGCCCAGCGCGAAAAAGTTTCCTGCCCCGGACTCCCAGGTACAGAAAGCCTGCTAACCCATCATTGTCCCCATCAGAGTGTCCCCACCAATGTTAGGGATCCCCCCGAATGGTAACTGGCTTAGTTCGTGGGATTCCTAGGTCAAACCAGGCAAGGGAAGCGTCTTTGTTCGGGACATGAATGCTCCCCCTGGCCGCCGTCCATCTATACGCATGGCAGCCACCCACGGAAGCACTTATTAATTACTTACCCTTGTAGTTTCACACTTATGTTGCGAACTGCCAATGTTCTAATTGATTGGTGTGAACACTCCAAGGGGCCCTAGGGAGGTCTAGGTTCGGTAGCCGAACGGGGTGGGAATCAATCTGCGAATGCTCCCCCTAGATGGCGTTCGTCTAACAAATGGGCCGCCACCCAGGGACGGCACGCGCTGAGGCTTCCGTTGCAGTTTGCGGTTTCCCACCTCGTTAACTAGGTGTAAACGTTCTAAACAAACATTCTACATGGGTTATTGAGATGGTCCCTGTTCGGGAGGCAGGCAAAACACACGAATACACATAGTTTTATGGGAAAACATGGGGGTGTCACACAGCAGTTAACTGAGAGTTAGTAGTCCCGCCACAGTTAAGCCTATAAATGTTGTTCCTATGTCTGTTTTTCAACCTTTTTATACCTATACTAAAATTACAACTTGACTGGTTAGTGTTAAGAGTTTATGAATTGTGAGTTGCTGAAACTAGCTGTATGTTGTTGGATTCATTTTTGAGTGTTGTGTGTCTTACAGCTAATAATTGTATGTTTTCAATGCAGTTGAGTCTTCTGGAGAAAAAGAAGCAGCTTACAGACCAACTTGAAGATGCAAAGGAACTGAAAGCACATGTCACCCGAAGGGAGCAGGTGGTACTTGAGGTAGTTTCTCGGTATCTCAATGAGGATCAACTTCAAGACTACCAACACTACGTCAAGATGACTTCTGCTCTCATTGTTGAACAGAGGGAATTGGAAGACAAAATCCGACTTGGAGAAGAACAACTGAGATGTCTCAGAGAGAGCCTGTAACAATAGTTATATGAATGGAGAACTGCTTGGTTATCTTTAAATATCTTTTTAACTTCAACTTTTTAAGTTCCAACAAAGACCTAATCTGCTCTGGAGATTTTTAACAGCATATATATACGTTGCTGATGATTTTTTTTTTTTTTCCCTTGCTCAACACTACATCTTTCCCCCCCACCCTTCCGCAACTGAAAACTTTTCATGCATCATCTCGACCATTTCACACCTCTTCTACACTACAATATATGGCTTCATCCTAAAAGTTACTAAAGCAGACCTCTAATTGTTGCACTAAATCCAGTATTTGGAATTTAAAAATTTGCTTAATACTTATGTTTATTAGCAAGGTGCTGGTGAATATAGCAATGTTTTACTCCTGAAAATATCTGTGCCAAAGGTTGTTTTTTTTTTCAAAGGAAGATCTGACTTGATTTTTAATCATCATCGTTGTGTTAGTCTGGAATTTTCATTGTCATAATGTTTGAGACCTATGTCTTTTTTTTGTTCAATCCATGCTGGTTTTTGTCACAGCATGGCAAGAACTGGTTAATGACCATGCGTACAACATAACACTTGAGACATTGTTCATATTATACAGCTGTAGAAATTTAAATATCCCAAGATCTTTGCATTTATGATTTTTGGGGTATATGTAAAAATATGTACTTGCATGTATCTTCTCACCCCAAATTTCATTTTTTATTTTTTTATTTTGAGTGTAGGAGATTTTTTATGATTACATATACTGTTTCAAACAGAAGTTTCATCATAAATGACTTGATGATATTTTACTTGCAGAACCCCCTTGCTAATGGCTAACTGGAAATTGCAAGAAATTTCAAAAAGGGACAGTATGGTTGGTGTGCTTTTTGTCTTCTGATGTAAATCCTAGCTCCCAAAATGCATACATCAGTGGGTTAAATTTAAAAAAATTTGCTTTTAATGCCGTTCTACTCAGAGAGACAACACACTGCAATCTTGTACCTCTTTTAATTGAGGATTTAAGTGCCTTAATACGTTGTTAGTCTATATAATTATATATATTTGATGATACAAGTGTACATTTCATTGCAATCTTAGATCCACAAAGTACTATTTTGTCCTAACTGGAAAACAAAGAAAAATCTGAAGCACTCTACCTCTTAAATCTCTAATTAGAGCAAATCTTATATGACCAAAGATCACAAAAATAATTTACTCAAATCAACAATTTTTAAACCTTACTGACTAAAGGGTAAAACGCAAAATGGAATGTGCCTTATATTTAGCTCTAATTATTACTTTATAAAAGAAACCTATAGCTCATGCTATATATACTATGTTATAATTTCAGTAACGTTTCTTTTATTGTTTTATTGCTTTACATTTTATTTCCTCCAAGGAACATTTTAACTCCATAAAACATAGCTTATCTATGAATTGCATCATATGATTTGTGCCAGTAGTTCCAAATATTGTCTTATATACCAGGCCTTGTAATTTTTATTTTACCAATATGATGCATGCATACAAAAAACAAAAACAAAAAAAAAACACATTTACACTAACAGATATATATTTTATGGTTATTCTTAAAAATTTTGGCACACTAATATTTTTTTTTTTTTTTTTATTTCCTAAAACTTCAGCAGTTATCTCTGAATTCCTAGTTAACTCTTTTATTGGGGAGTTTGAATATTTTTTGTAATTTTGTATTTTATTTAAAAAAAAAAAAAGAAAAGAAAAAGGAATTTGGCCAAATAGAAACATGTATTTTGTTAATGTTACTCAGGACCAAGCCAAAGACTCAAAGTATACATTTCTAAACTAATACCAAAATCAAGTCAATTTTTATGATGTATTAAAATTTTTGTCTGCACATTCTTGATTGTAACCCCTTCACGGTTTAAAAGCTTGATATTTATGCATTCTGAAAACTGTTATATCTGTCATATCTTACATAAAGAGGTGACAATGACACATATTTGTTTCGGATCCATAATCTCCCATTGATTACTTAATTATTCCATTAGCACATTTATGGAATTATTATTTGATGGCAATTTTCTCTAATCCTTTTTGTTCTAATTTCAAACTTTATTATTGGTGACAATTTAGGAGCCTATACAAACCGTATCTGTGTGGGTTTCAGTGCTTACAACTGCTACATATTGAGAAGTTGCAAAATCTAATCAAAGGGTGTTTGATTTTCAAACAAATACAGTAATGTCTGGGCAATGCTATAAATATTACCAAAAAATGTAGACTAGTGAAAGAAGACCTTTAACTGGAAATTAACCACTTAAAAAACAATCTGAGTATATTAGCCAATTCTTTGAAACTTCAGTAGCCTTGCTTTTATTTGCAAAATTGAGCAATGACACCTTTTGTTGGATAAAATAAATGAAATATAGCATTTTTAACTGATTAGGGGATTTTAAATTATAATTAGGATAACTGGGTTAACGTATAAGAGAATAAGACACCAGGTCGATGGGGTTAAGCCCTGAATTAAAGGAACACTATAGGGTCAGGAACACAAACATGTATTCCTGGCCCTATAGTGTTAAAACCACCATCTAGCCCCCCTGGGCCCCTCATGCCTCCCTAAATATAGCAGAATCTTACTTGTATTCAAGCCTGAAGCTGTAGCTCTGCATGCTGTTTGCCTCAGACCAGCAAGCAGTCTGCTGTCAAAATCAGAAGTGGTAGCCTGATCCAATCACAGTGCTTCTCCATAGGATTGGCTGAGACTGACAAGGAGGCAGATCAGGGGCAGAGCCAGCACAATTCAAACAGCCCTGGCCAATCAGCATCTCCTCATAGAGATGAATTGAATCAATGAATCTCTGAGGAAAGTTCAGTGTCTGCATGCAGAGGTAGGAGATACTGACTGTTTGGATGCATTTTAGGCAGTCATGACACAGGAAGGATCTCTAACAGCTATCTGAGGATTGGCCAGTGGAGTAATCACTAGGCTATAATGAAAACACTGCATTTTCTCTGAAAAGACAATGTTTACAGCAAAAAGCCTGAAGGTAATGATTCTACTCACCAGAACAAATTCAATAAACTGTAGCTGTTCTGGTGACTATAGTGTCCCTTTTAAACTTTATTTGAAAGACATGAATAGAAGGCTTGAAAACCGTTGATAGTCCAGTGTTTAGGCAAAACACTCTTTGTTAATGTGTGCAGTGGTTTATTTAATTCTGATACAAACAATTATATACTATTCACCATTACCATTATATCTGGATTTTTGTTTTCTTTTAACTTTTTGATAATTTTTCAGATTTAAGTATCATGTATTTTTTTTTTCTGTAACAATTTTTATTAAGAGCAATACTAGTGCTTGCTTACACCCAAACATACAGCAACAATAAGGGCTTACAAATATCTAAGCCATGGCTGGGCAACCTTCGTCACTTGAGGTGTTGTGGACTAAATCTCCCTTGATGTTTTATAGAAACATAGAAACATAGAATGTGACGGCAGATAAGAACCATTCGGCCCATCTAGTCTGCCCAATTTTCTAAAAACTTTCATTAGTCCCTAGCCTTATCTTATAGTTAGGATTGCCTTATGCCTATCCCATGCATGCTTAAACTCCTTTACTGTGTTAACCTCTACCACTTCAGCTGGAAGGCTATTCCATGCATCCACTACCCTCTCAGTAAAGTAATACTTCCTGATTTTGCCAGCATTATGGCTGTAAGTGCATTATAGAAGATGTAGTCCATATCATTTGGAGCGCTGAAGTTTGCTGACCCCTGATCTAAGCTACGATCTGTATTAACAGTGTAACTTTGATACACGACAGCCAAATGTATGAGGAGTTTGTTCTATATCTCTCATTTTGTCACCAAGATAATATATCCAGGCTATTTCAGCTGGATTTGAGATGTTTAATATTGAGGTAGTAATTTTCATAGGCACCAAATAGCTAGTTTGTTTGATCCAGTCATCTTGAAATGGGAGAGTATCTTTTATTTATATTTTTATATATATATATATATATATATATATATATATATATATTGTGTTTGTGTGTGTGTATAAAAACCTAAACAAACCAGTTATAACTACAGTCCCTTCCACTAGCTGGAAAGCAAGGGTGCCCCCTGCTGGTAATTTTGTAGCACTTTACTCTCTATAGTACAGTAGTTCCATTAATTACTGGCATATAATGCGAAGATTTATATATTTAGTATTCTTAATACATTATATCATCCAATTACAATAGAATGGCATTACATTTGTAAATAGCCACATTATATAACTGGAGAATAATTAGATTTATTTTGTAATTTTTATAACTTGAATTAGTAGGGAAAAAAAGTAAAATACTATATTTCTGTCCAATTTTATAGCCATACAAAAACACTAGAACACAAAATAAAATATTTTGTGTAACAACAAAATAAAAAATATATAAAACATAATAACCGCTTCCCTCAGCAGCCTTCCCACAGGGATGCCCAATCAAACATGAATGTACAAAAATAGGGGAATACAGCTGTTTTAAACTAAAAGCAATTAACAATACATAGTGTAATAAAGTATTAGGCATGTATAAAAACACGCTACTGGTAGCACTCACAGGATGGAAATAGTCAAAGCGCCTTAAGGGTGCCACCCCTAGGCCATAGGGGGGTTGTGGAAATCCACCTGGCTTCTTAGGAACACAGGAACCAGAAGGAAGCAGGAATCAAATAGTATAAACGGTTTATTAATAAGAAAACAGCGGTCCTACGCATTTCGTTCTAGACATAGAACTTCCTCAGGGACCTCTTCAATTTAAAACAATTTCATGCAATACTATTGAAATTGATTCTTGCTTCCTTCTTGTTCCTGTATCTCTAAGAAGCAAGGTGGATTTCCACAACTCCTCCCCCCCCCCCCCATGGACTTGGGGTGGCACCCTTAAGGCGCTTTGACAAATTATCATCCTGTGAGTGCTACCAGTAGCGTGTTTTTATACATGCCTAATACTTTATTACACAATGATTTGTTAATTGCTTTTTAGGTTAAAATGGTTGTATCCCCCAATTTTATATCCATGCCTTTAAAGTAAAAATTTTGTATAAAATAAAAACTAGCTTCAAATGCTTATAGCATTGACAAAATAGGAATAATCCAAGAATTCTTACCACGAGAATCCCAAGTTGTAGGTTCTCCACCCACACAAAGCACAAATATTCCTATATTCCAGGACAAAAATCCAGAATCTGCTGGAATAACGTTATGACCCCAATTATCACAACAAAGGCATATAAAATAAACTGAAATGAATATAAATACAAACAGACGTTGCAGGGGAGTTGAGGGGACACAGCAGGATAATGCCAACGTTAGCTTAATAAATCCATTTTGGTGTATGGATCATGCCCTGCAGTCTCACTGCCCAATTCTCTGCTTTTTTAGAGTTAAATCACTTTTGTTCCTGTTTATGCAGCCCTTGTCACATCTCCCCTGGCTGTGACAGAGTCAGCCTGCATGAAAAATGGTTTCATTTTCAATCAGCTGTCACTAAGTTCAAGTTACAGAGATAAACATTTAATCTTACACAGGAGGCACCTGCAGGATCTAGAAGGTTATTAACAGAGTAGGAGATAAGAAATTCTAAATTAAACAATGTTCAATAAAGGAAGTTTAAACATTGGATGTATCTGTACAGGAAGTATTTAGGAAGGCTGTGCAAGTCACATGCAGACAGGTGTGACTAGGGCTGTGTAAACAAAGTGATTTAACTTATAAATGGCATAGAATTGAGCAGTAAGATAACAGACCAAAAGTCTGTTTGGAATCTTGGAAGCCCTCTAGTGGCTATCTGGGTGACAGTTACAGAGGGCAGGCTTAGAAGTTGTCTGGAACTGCAATGTTTTACATTGCAGCAGTGCAAAAGTGCACTTAGCTGAAGTGGTCTGGAACAGTGTGCCTTTAAAAATCTCCTATAATTTCCACAAATTCTATTTTTATAAGCTATGCAGCCTAGATGTGGTAGCCTTTATATCTCAGTACTATATATGAGAAATTTGACCTAAAAGACATTTTTAGGATTGATCTAATGTTGGTTCCCAAGCCAGTTGTCGAGGCATATCATCAATCCCGGATTTAGGAATTTCGCAGTTTTGTTCCACTGGGGATACGATACAACCTTGACTGCTGGTGTGCTTTGCAGACTACTGGTCTCATTCTAGTGTGGAACCATCCACATATACTTATAAGTAACTCTTAAATGTTGGCAATCAGGAATGCTATAGTGTTTTGAAAATTCTCCACTGCTACAAACGTCACTTTAAGCTGTGAAGGGGTTTACAATTTTTTTTTTTAAATGAAGTATTAATGTTTTTTCTTCACTTGTAAATCTGTTTGTTGTGCCTATGGCAGTTGCAATTCTTGTAACATTATTTTGATGGAGAGCTTTCTCCTTTTGTAAATTATGGATGTCCCATCTTTTTCAGATTGTCTTTTAAATGGGACTCCCTCTGCACTATGGTAAATATAACATATTGGTGCTAACAGTATCATGTGAAGACTCATTTTTTTTTGTTTGTGTTTTATGAATGAATGTTTGAGATTATTGTGTGCGGTTTCTGTCATTATTCAAAATGTGCTGGATATTGCACATGTGACCTATCATTATACATTAGTGTTGCAGAAAACATGTATTGTTTTCTGTTATGTCCTGTGAGTGTGTGTTGACTTGGTGTGTTTGTGTCTGATAGACCCGCTTCAATCTGGTTTCCGCGCTAAATACTCTGTGGAAACTGCACTGACCAAAGTATCCAATGATCTACTTGCTGCAAAATCTCTTGGTCACTACTCTATCCTAATTCTCCATGACTTTTCTGTGGCTTTTGACACTGTTGAACATCAGCAGCTTCTTCTCATCCTCTGCATTATCGGTCTACAAGATATTGCTCTCTCCTGGTGCTTCTCCTATCTCTCCCAGCGCTCTTTCGGTGTTTCTTTCTCTGGCACTGCTTCTTCTCACCAACTCCTCTCTTTTGGTGTCCCAAAAGGTTCAGTCCTTGGTCCCATACTGTTCTCCATCTGTACTGCCTCCCTTGGTAAACTCATTAGCTCCTTTGGCTTCCAATATGGCTTCCAATATAATTTCTATGCGGGTGACATGCAAATCTATTTGTCCTCTCCTGATCTCTCCCCGTCCCTCTTGACTAGAGTCTCTGACCGCCTCTCTGCTATTTCTAACTGGATGGCCACCCACTTCCTTAAACGCAATTTGACCAAAACTGATATTCTGGTCTTTCCTTCCTAAAGTGTTGCTACTTCCATGTGTGTCTCCCTCCAAGTCAACGGTGCTACCATCGGCTCGCTGCCTGGGTGTTCTCTTTGACTCTGACCTCTCGTTCACTCCGCATGTTCAGTCTATTACCAAATTCTGCCGCTTCCATCTCAAAAACATTGCGCACATCCGACCCTACTTAACGCCAGATGCGACTAAGGTGCCGGTCCATTCCCGTGTCCTTTCTCGCCTTGACTACTGTAACCCGCTTCTCAGTGGACTTACGTGCTCCCAACTTGCGCCGGTACAGTCCATAATGAATGCGGCGGCGAGGCCCATCTTCCAGTCCGGCCACGCCTCACTCTTCTGTCAGTCCATACGTTGGCTTCCTGTAAGATATAGGGCTCAATTTAAAATTCTGGTTCTTGCTTTCAAATCTCTACATAATGTTGCTCCCACCTATTTATCCTCCCTAATACACCTATCTTCTGTTCGTACTCCTACCTCAGATGCTCGCCTTCAAGACTACTCACTTTCCTCCTCCGTTAGATGCTCACCCAGTCTCCACTTCTTCAAAAAATGAAAATCACTAAAAACCCACTTCATCATAAAAGCGTGTCAATTAAACTATTAATAGCTCCCGACTAATTCCTCTCTTGAAACTGTCAATAGGCTAATACTATCCATACCTTTTGTGTCACTTTACCCCACTCCCTCTAGCATGTAAGCTCATTGAGCAGGGCCATCAACCCCTCTGTTCCTGTGTGTCCAACTTGTCTGGTTACAACTACATGTTTGTTCATCCACCCACTGTAAAGCGCTGCAGAATTTGTTGTGCTCTAAATATTAATATATGTGTAATACATATTTCAGGGGGCAGATTGCTGTTTCAAACCCCACACGTTATCATCTGTGGATTACACCTCATCCTACATGATTTGGCGGCGGCTGTACAGTACAGGGTCCTGGCCTGCCTGGGACTAGTGGGAGTTCTGGTATTTTAATTCAGTCCTGTCTCAAGATTGATTAACCCCAGTAGCTGCAAATAGCAGCTTTTGTCTGAGACTATATCTCACTCGAATATTGGCTAGACTGGTACATGGTATTCCAATGCTGTCCTAAGATTAATGGAAACCTAACACCAACACCAAAAAGTAATGTAATATAAAAGATACAGAACATTAATTTTGTGTATTATCGGGAAGTAATGCCATCCTGGGCTCTGGAGATATTCATAAACCAGTCAAACTTTACTCATGTGGTTAATGATGTCCTCAGAGCTGCTTTATGGCATTATTTTCCCATAACACATGGTTAACTGTTATGTATCACATATATCTCCACATGTACTATTGGGTTTTCAGCATCTTGTAGTGTTCATTTACTGTTCATTCCAAACACAGGGCTCCATTTGTATCTCAAATGTTTATATCTAGCAAAATGTAGCAATGATTACCTTCATATGGGTGAACTACACTTCCTATAATGCTTAGCCGCGTTAAAGGGACACTCTACTGCCCAAATATAAAATTATAAACCAGTTAAGTAGATATATCCCAGATGAAATTATGCATGCATTTATGCATTTAATTATGCATTTTTTTTCATTGGGAGTTTATCTAAGACCAGCTTGCAAAAGATGCAGTTCTCTTGTCCTCCACTTTTAACACCAACTCTAGACTCTCTGTGGCTGTCCAATCAAATACTTACCAATTAAGCTCATTGAGAAGTCTTTGCAAGACAGATGTTCTGAGCAATTGTTGAATCTTGATTTGTAGCCTGACTGTAGTTTAATTAAATTAATTAGGGAACCTTAATAGCAACATTTATTTGGACTAGAATGTACTATGTATCATGATATTCAAATAGTATGTACCAGGTCTTCCCAAACTTTTATGATCCAAGACCCAGTTTTGAAAATGGTAATTTTTCGAGACCCACTTGCTTTTAGTGCATATTTTAAAAATGGCAATCAGCTTTAGAGGCATACAACTGGCACACCATGGCAATCCAATTTACAGGCATACGATTAGCAAACCAGGGCAATCCACTTTACAGGCATACAATTGGAACATCATGACAACTTTAGGTGCATAAAATTGGCACATGATGGCAATCAGTTTTAGAGGCATACTATTGGCAAACCATGGCAATTGGCTTTAGGTGCATAAAATTGGCACACCATGACAATCCGCTTTAGAAGCATAAAATTGGCATCTTATGGCAATCAGCTTTTAGAGGCATACAATTGGAACATCATGGCAGCTTTAAATGCATAAACTTTGCACACCATGGCAATCGGCTTTAGATTCATAAATTTGGCACATCATGGCAATCCGTTTTAGGTGTATTCACATTGTTAAAGGATTTTTACATGAGTCAAGTCTAATTTCAGTTTATTTAAGTAATTCTCTAATTTATCTCTTGCAGACAGTTCCAAGTTGTACCACTGGGCGTCACCTTTGCATTACCATTGGCTACACTCATATTGCTGAGTAGTTTTTACAAGACTGTCATGATACAAGAAAAATAATAATTTCTACTCAATAGTCAAATGTAACTCATCAGGACCAATATGCAGAAGAAATTACCGTGACTAGCTCCAGCCATTTAAATTTAATTAAGGCCTATTTCTGAAAATTGGAGAGGGTGAACAGGTTAGTTGGCAGTGAAAATGGAAACATTTTGGGGGAGTTAGAGGTGAATTGCCTGCAGCAGTAGGGGGCCAAAAATATAAATCTTGTTCCAGAGCCTTCTGTTTATTAGTTCCGGGGCTTATTCTTCTATAACCTCTCCAAGGTGTATGGAAATTACTGCTTGCTGCAAAACAACGTGCTTCTCCTAATCACACATTGCCTTCATTCTGCAAACACAGACAATACCTTAATACTAATAAAGTTGGGTGCTGTACAAAGAACAATTTAACCTTTACCATTTGTTAGTTAGTCAATATTTATGAAACAAACCATTCTTATACGCCTGTTTTTCAACCTCCTTAAAAGGACACTATAGTCACCAGAACAACTACAGTTTAATGGAGTTGCCCTGGTGAGTATATTGAGTCCCTGCAGGCGTTTTGCTGTAAACACTGCTTTTTCAGAGAAAAGGATAGTGTTTACATTGCTCTCTAGGGAAACCTCTAGTGGACACTCTTCAGAGGGCCACTAGAGGTGTTTCCTGGATCTGTGCTGCATAGTGCATCACTGATATTCAGTGTCTCCCCCATAGAGATGCACTGATTCAATCAGCATCTCTATGGGGAGATGCTGGCTGGCATTTGGTCCTGTCCCGCCTCTTTGATGATTTCAACTAATCCAGGTAAGGGGGGGCCAGAAACCTAAATGGGGGTTTAACACGACAAGATCAGGAATACACGTTTATGTTCCTGACCCTATAGGACATAAAGGCTTTTTGTTTAATATCCTATATGTAAATGTAAATTTCTTTGTTTAGAAATGGGGAAAAATTGAAACAGATATTTGTTTACACTTTTCCTTGTTTTTTTAGTTGTACTGTATGTGTAAAATAACAACAAAAAACCCTCAAAATAGATATGCAGTTGCAATCAAACTTATGCAACCCTTATTGCAAATCAGGTTTGTTGTAAACATTCACAGACTTTCAGCTGTTTGCAATTAAAAATAAAACTAAAACAATTGAAATAGCTCAACAAAACATGCTTCAAGTGATTTCTCGAAATCCAACTGAAATACGACTTATAATGAATTCTCCAGTCTCAAAATTATTCAATCTCTTCACGGCAAGCATCTTTAGTACTTAGTAGAGCACTCGCTTGCTTTTATGACCTGCTGCAAACAAAATTAGAAATCTTATCCCATTGTTCATGAGCAATGGCCTCCAGTTCAGTAATATTCTTGTTTGCGTGCTGTAACTGCCTTATTCAAATCCCACCTGAGATTTTCTCCTAGGATTTCCTGGTACTCCAATTAATCAATCTTGCCTTCCACACGCTGCAGGTTTCCAGTGCCAGAGGACACAAAGCAGCCCCACCTGTAGGCAGTGTTTTTTTTGAGCATATACTTCATTCTTCTTCCTCCGGACATACCACTGATCCATTGGGCCAAAAGGTTCCAATTTTGTTTGTTTCATTGCGCCACAGAACAGAATCCCAAAACATCTGTGGCATATTAAACCAACTTTTTTTTGTGCTTGTGGACCTGTAGTGGTGTATGTCTTTGAGTTCTGGCATAGAAACCTTCTGTGTTTAGTATGCGCCTTGCTGTGTTCACTGAAACCTCAGTGCCTGTTGCCACCAAGTCTTGCTGCAGGTATTTTGCAGTCACTCAAGGGTTTTTTTTACAACCTGCCTACTCGGAAATCTGGTTGCAGCCATTGATGGCTTCCTTTTTCTGCCATGTCCAGGTAGTCTAACCATTATTCCTCCAATTTTGAACTTGTGAACTATGCCTCCAAAAGTGTTTCTAGGAAAATTCACTGCCTTCGCTATCTTTTTGTATCCTGTTACTTGTTTCTGACGAGCGATGATCTCTTCTCTTAACTTTGTGGACCATTCTTTTGACTTATTTCTAACATGCAGTCATATGTGACACTCAGCAAACCCTTAGCCAGTTCAGGTATTTCAAGTGTTCCAGCTCAAACAGGTGCAAAAGCCCCTGATTAGTTGCATCAGGTGTGCTTGAGACAACACCTGTTCTAAATATTTGTGCTGTTGTGAGGGACTTTATTCAGGAGGTTGAATCATTTAGAAACTGGCGAAGTCATTATAAGTTGCATTTTCAGTAGGAATTGGGGAAAATCCCTTGAAGCATTCATTGTGTTGAGCTATTTCAACTGCTTTTGTTTGATTTGTTCATTGCAAACAGCTGAAAGTCTGTAAATTAAGGATTTTTTTTTCATTCTTACTTGTATTTTCTTTTCCTGATCATCCACCATAGCAGTCTTAACCAATAGCTTATCAAAAGGATCCCCTCTGCCCACTTCCTACATTAGTAACTGTAATTAGCTTCAAAATCCTCTTTGAAGAATGATGATGATGTAATGCTGCCATGCTTAATGATCAGGAAAAGAAAATTATGGTTCAGTTTGGAAACAATTTTCCTTATCCCTCATTATCCCATTGAAACATTAACAAATGAGCAATACAAACACAGTGTATATATACCTATTGTCAAGGATAGAGTTTAGATACCACTAATAAATATAAAATAAAAACATCTTATAAACTGCACAAACCTAATTAGAGGGGTAAAGCCACTTAAGATCCAATGTATGGACTTCCCCTGGTAGTGTTATCAACTGAGAGGTGAGGTAAGTTAAACCAGGTACGATTCAAAGTAATATTTTCATCCAAGGCTGAAAAATCAAATCACTATTTTAATAAAACACATAATCTTGCTTCATATTAATTTAGGGAAGTTTCAAATGTATTTAGTCCCTACATAATTGGGACATAATTTTAAGACTTTAGGTAATTTGATTACAGACACAGGTACATCTTATCCAGTGTTTAAACTACAATCACCTTAAGGGGTGAATATTATTGTAAATGGTGCTACCTTCTCAATACCAACAAAAAAAAAAAACCCATAAAATCATACTTTTTTTTTTCTCTAGTTTTACTTAAGAAAACATCACACAAATGTAATCTAAATGAATTAGGTCTTATTTTAATGCATGATATTGTGAAAACAATAAATGTATTTTGCAGGTATGACAATGAAATGAATAAACTAACATTATGTACGTCTACAAGTACTTAATACTACTTGATATTTACCAGGATACTTAAACATAATTGTAGCAATGCTCGTTATTTTTTTTGTGGTTTAGATAGGAAGTATAAAGTACAAGAGATTACATTATTAAATATGTGTTTGTTAGTATTACATGTTTTTGAATGTGAGTGCAGTAACTACTTCATGGACTCTGTGCTATTCTGGGTAACATAAAGTTTGGGTCCCTTGTGTGGCCAAATATCTTCTTCCTGACGTTTGAACTCTTTGACGCCCTCCAGGGCAGCGGTTAATTCAGGGGTAAATATGTTGTTGGTATAGCGATAGGAATTGCTGAGTTTCCTGAAAGAAGATTCCGAAGAACTGTCGTCATTGTTCCCGTCGTCTCCGATTCTCCGTACTATCATTTTTATACCACCAAGGACTGGCTCCTCTTCTTTCTGTCCTTCAGTAAATACTTTCCTTATGTCGTGAACCAGCATTACTTTTGAGGTAAAGATGCAGAGCAGAATTATTAAACCTGTTGATACCCCACAAACAAAATAAAGTGCAACCTTCTCTGGCACATCTGAAAAAAAGAAACACAAGAAAATACTAATTAGCAATATTAAGCCCCCAACATTGAAAATAAATGCTACGTGACTGCTTTGTGTTTGGCAATTATGTATTTTAGAAGTTCGTGGTGACATGTTAGAAGCCGGTCTATGAACAAACAAGGTTTTGCTGTTATGATATTGTAATTTGATTAACAAAATTCCATAAATCCTCATTAATTGGGAGCCTTTAAGGATTGTTTGTGAACATGCAAACATCTACTGAACAAATTAAAAATACTAAACATTTTAATGTCATAATACAAGATGATAGAGCCCAGTGACCGCATAATTGTAAGAATAATATAGTGAAATTGACAAATGAGAAGTTAAAAACAAATACTGGCCATATCACTATTAGGCTAGAAAAACCCTGTGACTTGAGTCGGTCAAATAAGGATCCTCATCATCAGAGCTGGGTTGCCTCACTGACTAATGGAGACTTTGCCAGCATCAGAAACAGGCTGGGTCTCTGCTGTGTACTTGCAGGATTAACAGAAGCACTGAATTGGAGCTCCTACTCAAGATACATGTCTCATATATAGGCCCACCATTATTCTCTCCCTTCTACACTACTTTAAGGGTTAAACCACTTGTGAACCATTTTTTAACCCCTAAAGGTGAGCCAGTGCCAGGGGCCATTTAGCACCATAATATCTACATTTCAATGAAGTTGTTATGGTGTCCAAACTGGTACTTTAACTTTTTTCCTGCTGGCTGCTAGTGCTATCACTGGGCAAATAGTTAAATAGACATTTTTGGACAACTTTTGGCTGTTATTTTCACGGTCATTTATCAAGTATTATATCCTCAATAAACGATATTGAACAACGGAATCCGTTGGCATACAGAATATAAGAGAGACAATAGGTGAAGAAGACCCTGCTCAAACAAGTTTAAAGGACAGGAGAAGGGATTGATGGACAAGATGACATAGTAAAAATTTAGCTAGTATAAGTGGTGTGTTGAAAAACTGAACAGTGGAAGTGGAGAGCATGAGCTGGGTAATTGTAACATGGGAAACGTCACCCAGGAGGACAGTAGAGAAGGTGGCTTGCAGAGTGAAGTGAATGAGGATGGGTGTATTTGTTGTGTAAGAGGAGATGTGGTGAGTAGAGTTGAGTGAACCCTTTCTGTAAAGCTTGGGTTCGCACCGATCATTACGTTTTTTGGACCCCGGACCCGAACACGGACATATCACTGTATGTTCGGGTTGGAGTTTGGTGTTTGGCGATTTAATGGCGCGTTTTGAAAGGCTACAGGGCAGCCAATCAACAAGCGTTTGACTCGTGTGCCCTTAGAAGCCATCACAGCCATGCCTACTAATGGCATGGCTGTGATTGGCCAGTGCAGCATATGACCCAGCCTCTCTATATAGGCTGGAGTTTTTGGTGCTAAAAAGTACATTAGTAGGGTGCACTTCATATCTGAGAGTCAAATAGAAGCGTCAAATAGTGCGCGTACTGCGCAGTTGTAAACATTCTAATTGTTTTGGGTGCTAAACTGCTAAATAGTACATTTTGGGGCCTGCTCTTCATATCTGAGAGTCAAATAGAAGCGTCTAATAGTGTGCTTACAGTGCAGTTGTAAACATTCTTATTGTTTTGGTGCTAAACTGCTAAATAGTACATTTTGGGGGTGCACTTCATGTCTGAGAGTCAAATAGAAGCGTCAAATAGTGTGCTTACTGCGCAGTTGTAAAAATTTGAATTGTTTTGGTGCTAAACTGCTAAATAGTACATTTGCGGCCTGCACTTCATATCCGAGAGTAAAATAGAAGCGTCAAATAGTGCGCTTACTGCGCAGTTGTAAACATTCTAATTGTTTTGGTGCTAGACTGCTAAGTAGTACATTTTGGGGGTGCACTTCATATCTGAGAGTCAAATAGAAGCGTCAAATAGTGCGCTTACTGCGCAGTTGTAAAAATTCTAATTGTATATGTGCTAAACTGCTAAATAGTACATTTGCAGCCTGCACTTCATATCTGAGAGTCAAATGGAAGCGTCAAATAGTGCGCTTACTGTGCAGTTGTAAAAATTCTAATTGTATTGGTGCTAAACTGCTAAATAGTACGTTTTGTGGCCTGCTCTTCGTATCTGAGAGTCAAATAGAAGCGTCTAATAGTGCACTTACTGCGCAGTTGTAAACATTCTAATTGTTTTGCTGCTAAACTGCTAAATAGTTTTGGGGCCTGCTCTTCAAAACGAAGTGTAACTTTGATTCAAATTTACTACATCGGTCACTTGTAATATTGTTTCACACTTACAACACTTGTTACACAGATCTAAGTGATAGAAAACAGATTGATATTTTCTACACTAGAAACTACCAGATAACAACCTGCTATATTTAAACCTGTTATCAATAGCTAAGAGGTACTTAAACAATATTGTAATTCTGGGGCAATACCCTCACAAGTCAAACTGACAGGTCAGTTTATAGGGAAAACTGTTGCCTGGATACAATTCTAAAACAATTTCCACATGTCCTTCAGAAACTTTACATGCTGGAAAAACACAGGTGCCAACTGCTGTGGCTTTCTGCAGTGTGCAGACCGGCAAGGAGGGCAGGGTTAAGAAGTGGGTGGAAGATGATGTGGAGGATGATGAGGTCCAAGACCCCACATGGAATCAAGGTCATGCGAGTGACGTGTTCAGTTTGGAGGAAGAGGCACTGGTCGCACAGAGGCACCAGCACTGCATAAGAGGGAGCAGGGTGCAAAAGCGGAGTGGCTGTCCCCTAGCGCTCGTCGGCATGTATTATCTTCCCACAGTTATCCAAGTAACAGTTGAAGCGATAAAAAGAACCATAACAGATTTAACAAGCCATTCACAGTTTCGCAGTCCGGTGACCGGGACCCAGACACTGTCTGGGCGGCGGTCGGACGACCTGGGCCCAGAATGCCTGATGTAGAAGTTAGAAGTCACAGTGTGGAATGGATTAGCAGGGTCTGGTGCAAGGTAACCGCACGCCTCCTGGTGTTGAGCACCAGCGTTTGTGCTGCCACATACCAGGACCCTGATGCAGCTTCAGTAAAAAGAGTACTGGATACCAGAAGCAATCACCAGACTGATACGCAACTTGGAACAGGATGTGACATTGACTGTAGCTGCTGTGCGCGCTTTTGGCATTCTTACCCTGCTGCTGCTGGCCTCTCTGCGCTGCAGCTTAACTTTGGCCTTCCCGCTCACTGCCTCATAGGCGACGTGCTCACAAGGTGGAACTCCACCTTGCACATGCTGGAGAGACTGCTTGAGCAGCAGTAGGCGATAGTGGAGTTTCAGCTGCAGCACGCACGGGTCAGTGGCTCTGCACCAGACTTGCCCTTCAATTGATCAGAGTTAAAGGATTTCAAATGGACTCATTACAATTACAGGGCCTCTAAAGAGTCCTGTATTGTTATTTGTCGTCACTACCTTCCCGCGTCGGGAGTGGGTCATTTGCGCGCCTGCTGCCTTCCTTGCATGTGGTAGCCATTTGTCAGTGTCCGTGTACAGAATTGAACCCTGATTCCCCGTTACCTGTGGTCACCATGGTAGGTGCAGTCAATGGCATCGAAAGTTGATATGGATTGACATACGAATGCGTTGTCGCCTTCTCGTTGGGAGCACATTGAAAAAGTGCTCTAGCATGACGAGCTGGG